CGAGGCAGCATTGTGAAAGGCTACAGGGATTTTCGCCACTTCAGCGTGTTCCCGGATAAATCTGCAAAGAAGGTGAGGGAAGAGTTTTCAAACGCGTAGGGTGAGTGTCCCCGTAGGGCGTTCGTCACCGCAGCTTTGTCTAGTCTGGAAGCGTATGATCAGAGAAGTAAGACACCATCTTGGCTTGTGAGACGCCATGTGCCTGCCGCCACAGGTCTCCTATGTTCATTCCCAGGTTTGGTTTGTCAGCCTTCTGGTTTTTTGTTTTGCGCCCCATACCGGTGTGGTTTGATCGGGGGTCCAGCGGGATCGATTTTTGTGGGTTATTGCTGAGTTTTACGCTTAGTTCAGGCCTAGTTGCACGGAGCTCAGATGAGATGTGACCGTTCGGGTCAGATACTTGGCTCCGCCTCCCCCCCCTTTAAGATACATTTACCTTCATCCTTAGTTTAGTTTACAATACCTCGGCCACAGACCAATATTTACAGCTAACAAAAGGAAGCACCATACTTGGGTTTTATTTTCACTAATAAGGGAATTTTGGAAAATTGTTAGGGGAAACCCTTCTCCATATTCACAAGGAAGAGCCATTAATAGTACCCGTTTCATGGCAAGGGAAATCCCTTTTATCAACACAGTACTGCACGTTCACTCATTGTAAACGTAGTCAGGTGTTTTCCAGTAATCCTATTAATACGTCTAACCCATTAATAAACCATAGCAACAAGAGATCCCATGCTTCCTGAATCCTATGAGTACGGGCACTGGGCATGGAGGATCAAACTATGGTCGGCCTTTTGCCATTGTTCTGTGATACTCGGTTGGCACTGGTCCTCCTGTGCCACTTGGTATTTACTAGAGTTATAGAAGAGATCTACCCAGAGTCTAGCGTCTGTTTGTCCTTTTCTTTCTGGCAAGGCATGTTGGCATCTTGCCCTAGTGTATGCATAGATGTCCATCAGGGCTATATACTAATGTGAGCATTCAATGTGAATTTCACTTTTAAAGACAGAGTAGCTAAACTGAAATCACAGCTGACAGAGAATATTTCCAGTTTGGCTATTGTAACGTATCACCTGGCACCCCGACTGGGTACCTCCATTGAAGGATGCTCCTAGCGCTTCCTGAGGGCTCCAAGCACTCCAGCAAACACCTCCAGACCCTGGACGACACTCAGTCCTGGAAACTATGGAACCGAATGGGGAATTAGCTCTAGTCCATACAAGGACTTTCCCTGGTGAATCTCCTGTAAGCTGGAACAGCAGACACGGGAGCAAATCTTCCCTCCAATAACTGGATGACACACAGTTTGGAGTGTAAATAGGAACAGTCTTTTAAACAACAATAAGTCAGCGCCAGTATGTGGTTATTTGTTTAATATCTTTAATACCACTTGTTGATGTGTTTGTTGTCACAATATATGCTGTGCCTCTGGTTACCACCTTTTCATTGGTCCTCTGCATATTATCTAATTATATTAACGGTCTCTAATTTTGATTCTGGTAGACATCATTTGTACTATTTACAGTATTTCAATCTTTGACTGGATGTCCTGATGTTGTTAACCTACATTTCCTACTTATAATTGGTAGTTGACACAATTTCTATGGTCCATCCTGGTAATGTTTCACAATCTGAATAATGTGCTCCTTCTTGCCTTTGTCGAACAATATCTACCATTTGTTGTTGTTGGATTGTACGTCTCCTGTAACTGAACATTACTGTATCAGACAATCCATTTACAATGTTAGATGCGGTTGAGAATTTAATATTTGCAATATGTAGTCATTTTGCCAGTGGTTTAATATCAAACTCTCCTATTTCTATACTAGGCTCTGCCTTTTCTTAGCGGCAGATATTATTTTGTGTTTCCTGTAGCTACATGGAAGTAGTTCACAAGGCAAGAAGTATTGTCTTTAATAAATACATCCAGAGAATAATGGGATGTTCAGTTTAATTCTCCTCTCTATCCTTTGATAGTAGGGTATAACTGTTCTCATTCAGCAGTGTCGAAAGTTCAGGACTTGTTCCGGCCTGGTATTTGGAAGTTATGCCTTTGACAAGGTTCTGATGGTGACACCTGTTGAGTATTTCCTCTATATTAAAGGACGTTAAGTTCCAGTTTTGCTAATTTCTAGACCTCCTCTTTATATTTTAAGGGTGTTCTCCTCCAATCTATTTTATTAGTCTCCATAGCAAGATGGGTGTCTCATTTATTGCAGGAGTTTGTCTTGGATTAGTCTAAACTTGTTTCTTTGTATTGGTTTGGTTATCATAACTTTAACCCCCTTAAGGACGGAGCCAAATGTACACGTTGTGAACAAAACAAAACGTAAACAAAACCTGGCATTTGCGCTACATGTCTGTCCAACCGTAATTCACCTCTTTCATATTAAATACAACCACCCTTATTATATATCATTTTATTCAGGGGAAACAGGGCTTTCATTTAATATCAAATATTTAGCTATGAAACATAATTTAATATGAAAAAAATGTGAGAAAAGATTTTTTTAAATTTTTTTTTTAGTTCTACATGACATTTTAACGGTCAATGTCATAATACTGTTTGCTTTTACTGCAATAAAATACACATATTTGTATTCAGCAAAGGCTCACGTGTAAAACAGTACCTCCTATGTACAGGTTTTATGGCGTTTTGGGAAGTTACAGGGTCAAATATAGCACATTACATTTGAAATTTGCCAGATTGGTTATGTTGCCTTTGAGACTTTATAGTGGCCCAGGAATTAAATTTATACCCATAATGGAATACCATTTGCATTAGTAGACAACCCAAGGTATTGCAAATGGGGTATGTCCAGTCTTTTTTAGTAGCCATTTGGTCACAAACACTGGCCAAAGTTAGCGTTAGTATTTGTTTGTGTGTGAAAAATGCAAAAAAAAAGCCAATTTTGGCCAATGTTTTTGACTAAGTGGCTACTAAAAAAATACTGGACATACCCCATTTGCAATACCTTGGGTTGTCTACTATTGCAAATGGTATGCCATCATAGAGGCAATTTTCATTCTTGGGCTACCATAGGGTCTCAAAGGCAACCTAACCAATCTGGCAAATTTTAATGTGAAAAAAATTAAACACAAGCCTTATATTTGACGCTTTAACTTTTGAAAACACCATAAAACCTGTACATGAGGGGTACTGTTTTACTCGGGAGATTTCGCTGAACACAAATAATTGTGTTTCAAAACAGTAGAAAGTATCGCAGCAATAATATCGTCCGTGTAAATGCTGTTTGTGCATGAAAAATGCAAAAAACTTCACTTTTACTGGCGATATCATCGTTGTAATACATTTTACTGTTTTGAAACACTAATATTTGTGTTCAGTGAAGTCTCCCGAGTAGAACAGTACCCCCCATGTACAGGTTTTATGGTGTCTTGGAAAGATATAGGGTTAAATATAGTGCTAGCAAATTAAATTCCCTTTACTTTCGGCATGGGTTGTCAGGCAGGTCGTGCTAATTGTCATTAATTAAAATACCTAATTATGTAAAAATATTTCATAAATATATATGTAGAATTAATGTATATATATATATGTATATATAGATATATATTTCGTTCTACGTGTATTTTGATATAAATATATATATATTAATATCACAATACAGTTAGAACGAAATAACACATCTATATATTTTGTAATTGTTTATTTTTAATTATTTTTTTTATTTTATTTTTTAACGTATTTTACATATTACTCCCTGGGATCGCCGGCGAACGGGTAAGTAAAAAAAAACAAAAAAAAAAAAACTGAGGGCGTACTATTATGCCCGGCGGCATTTAGAGCCGCCTAAAATAGGACGTAATAGTACGTCCTCCGGCGTTAAGGGGTTAATTCCTACCTGGCACTGTAATTCTCCAAGATTTTCCCTATATTTAAAAAAAAAAAAAAAAAAAAAAAAAACCAGGGAGTTGCTGACCAACAACCTCTGGGGTACAGCGACTTGTCTGAGCAGATATTATGACAATATCCTGTTGATTACATGTCTGGCGGTTGAGAAGGCCGATTAGGTTTGTGCAAATCAATACTATTTATTTATTTTTTATAACTATTAGCTGTATTTGAACTCTCCCTACCCACAATTATTTATATACTGCTTGGGTATTACCCATGAGTAAATGCTGCCACGTTTGATTAGGAATTTGGGAAATTGTTTCAAACTTACCAATTTCACAGTTTTATTTCCTGCCCTTTCTGTTGTGTGGGGTGGAACTAACCCATGAGTAAAAACTAACATGTATAATGATCATCAATTTTTCTTCCTTATTATTTGACGCAGCTGAAACAGATTTATTTATAATTCTAAAAGACACCTAAGCCATTATTAGGAAGGAATGATACATTCTTAAATAATTCCATAAGTAAGACACCGATCCTCCCCAATAAGAGCTGAGGATTCCTTTACACTTGTGCTCAAATCTATTTCAGCTACGTCAAATAACCCACTTCTAAACTATTCAATCCGTCCGGGATTTACCTGTGGCCTTAAGACTCCATAGGTAAAGATTTGATGGATTGATTCATTAGATTAACAGAAATTCAATTCATTCAACACAGCTGAAATGGATTTGTGAACAAGTCTACTTTCTCTTTCTTTTTTGTGTGACTTATTTACCAATAGGGAACTCTCACACACCGTGCTCAATCAGAACTTTGCAGAAGTTTTCAGGAAAGCTACATCTCAATGATTTCTCAGATTAAATATCACCATTCCTGTTTTGGTAAAATATTGGTTTAGAAACTGTGTGTAGACAAGTGAATTTCAACTGCCACTTACCTACATCTGATGTAGGTAGTTTTGCTTACGTTTTAGGAGAGAATCGTACAGCAGAGACCTGTATACTTTTCATGCGATCTGTATGAAACATTTTAGAAATGTGTGATACATAGAACAGAGGTTTTGGTGCCAGATCCTCTGTTATACTGGTATAATAAAAAAAACAAAAAAAGAAAAAAAAACACAACAACAAAGAAGAAGAAAAAACAAAACAAAAACACGTTTATATAAAATAAAAAAACAAAATAACAGAGCAGATCATTAAATCAGAAACCGCAATAACCAGCGGCGGGGAAGGGGAGGAGGTTAAAATACAATATGTGCCTGTTGTGAGAGTACCGAGCAAAGTGACAAAACATAAACCAGCTGTGTCAGAACGCCACGTAAAAGGTAAAAGGAAAAAAAAAAAAAATCATTACCCGATCTACAGCAGGAGTGGCTAGCTGGGTGATGGGTATTGCAGCCCAACCATTAATCAGGAAATCTCCACTGACCCCTTCCTGCTGCAGAGACCTGCTCTCCCCCTCCCCCCTATAGTAGCTGCACAGATTTGCTTTTTAAGCCTTATCCCAGAACCGGCCAAAAAGACTTAATAATTAACCCGCCCCCGAGGGAATGAAAATGGTGCTGTATAACGAGACAGAGTATCCAACCACACAGTAACCCACAGCTAGCCCTATTGCCAAGTCAGCTGGATGTGGTAATATGAAAGCGAGAGTTAGGGTAGAAAAGATACTCTGAGTCGTGGTTTTCAGTAAGATGAGAATTATTCTTCTTTCGTACTGGAAGAATCTGCAGGTGCCTTGCTCTGCAAAGCATTGTCAGCCTTGTTTCGGTCAGTCAATAAAATAACCTCCCAAGCCCTGCGTGTGTCGTACCATCTAAATCTTCCCCGTAATGTCCCCGTAAACCTGTTAACCCTTGCAGGGCATCACCCTGATAGATCATATTCCCTGTTCTCACCCTGCAGTGCATTATCCCACCTAGCCCACCCACAACAGCATAATAAAAAAAACAGGTCCAAAGAGAACTGATAGAAACCTTATCGACAACCTTCACCCACCCCCTTCACCTGGAGTGTGCTGCACCCTCACTTGCAATGCATATGTTTAAACGCCTGATTACTGTGATAAGCAGATCGTAGGGGCAGAGATGATAATGTTACACTAGAGGCCGTTCGTGACCTGTCACAAAGGTTGCTTAAAACTGTCCGGAACCCTTTCATTCAGTGATGAGGGGTGTCCACACCCCAAACCGTGGAGTGAGCTAGTAGGAAGTTCCTTTTACCCCCATTAACAGGTCCATACCAGAGTTGGCTGCAGTTCTTTGCCGCTTCTCCCTGATATGTCAACAGTTAAACTTGGGGTCTTCAGTGCACCCTCCTTGCCAAAACCCAAGCCAAATGCCAGGTAGGTAGAGGAGGCAGATACAGTAGAGTTGCCCCAAGAAGGGGCAGTAGTGCTTTCGCAGAGGTTTCCACATCTCCCACCGCTAGCTCTCCCGGGTCAGCACTTGGTCCTCCACACATTGGAAGGGTTTTCCGTCCGGTTCAGAGGGCGGATCTTGTAGCAGCCGTTGGAAACCCTCATGGGTGAGAAGCCGACAGGAGCGCAGGTCGACATGCTTCAGCCGTGGGCATCGTTTAAAGAATGCCAAAGATTGGTCCATCAAGCGATGACATCCTAAGGGTAGAGGTGGAGATTAGTTACTAGATGAGTATAATAGAAGATTGAGCATAGTGAAGCAATAAGATATAGTTAAGGTGCAGACAGAAACAGTATGCAAGGGGGGAAAAAAATGCAGGAAGGGGAAGAACATAACTATACAAGAAGAGAGGAGGAAAAAAAAAGTGTGAAAGTACAGAACAATGGTGATTGAAGAAAGAATTACCAGTGAGGCTGGGGTGGGTGATGGAAGCAGAGTTACCAGTAAGGTCAAGGTGGGTGAAGAAGATAGGGTCACCAGTGAGGTTGGGGTGGGTGAGGCAGACAATTAAGCAGAGTTACCGGTAAGGTTGAGGTGGGTGAGGCTATCTCTCAGGGGTGAGGTGGCTGCGGTTAGAATGTGGATTCCGTGATCACTTAGCTGAACACAGTGACTCAGGTCCAGACGATTTAGCCGCGGAGTGTAACGGAGCAATAGACGCAGGGCGGAATCTCCTAACTCCAGACCACAGAGACGCAACTCCGACAGAGAGGAGAACCGACCCCGGGGGTCTGACACAACTAATGGATGAGAGTTCACCATCAGTATAACCACTCGGGTTTAGCAAACACTTTATATTCTGTAAGCTCATTACCTCCAAAGACCCCCCAAATTAACTTCATCGCCTATCAGACCCTCCCCTTTGTACTATATCAGGATCGCAGGTGATTGGCGTGTGACTATTTTGCCCCATTCAAAAGCACCTCACCTGCTTTACAGTCAGAGGAGAAAGGAGACAGCAGCTCACGGAGATGGGAAGTTTTCATTCCCTGGACCCAGCCCATATCCAGTAGAGACAGGCCGGGAAAGGAAGCTGTACAGAGGGAGGACACTGCACCCCACGTGCAGCCAGCAACCAAAAGTTCCTTTAGACCTGTGACAAATAAATATATTTTTTATGCAGACTAAGATCTACCCAGAAAAAAAATGCTTCACTTACGTATAACATTAACAATGGACCATAGCCCCCAACACAATCCTACCTCCACCACCATCCAGTCAGCGGATCTAAAGCAATGCCGTCAATACATCCTTTCCATTAACCATCTCTACCCTCCATGCATCCACTAACCCTGCTGGAATTCAGACTGTAGACCTATGTGCAGAATTCCCTGAACCCTTCTTTTATATAACATCATGTCCACAAAGCCTCCAATCTCCCACTATGAAGTTTATTCAGAGGACATTGAATTGTAGTGAACTGAAAACCCCATTTCAAGACTGAAGAAAAAATTGTGTATTTGGAATAATTCAGCTACAGCCGCAGATAGCTTGGTAGTATTTTGAAATTCAGTATTTAGTGAATGAACACTTATGTATTTGTTGGACAACCTTAAATCACAGCCCCACACAATCTCTGCACTTTAGAGACTCATTAACAGGAGTCTTCATTCCTCACCCTGTAATCGATGGATTAGCCAGGTCAGTTGCTTCTCTGATATGTTGGTCCAACTAAGATCTAGCCTGATTGGTTGTCGCCGGACTATCCCACTTAGCATTGGGGGTGTGATTGATTTTCTACGGCTCAGGTCAATGGAAGTCCATAGGTGGCGGTCACAACACCTGTCACAAATTGCAAATAAAAGGATATTTACTTTTAGAACTAAATCATTTATACGTACGCAGCACATTAAATGATGCAGCTCTGTCCTCCACACAAGAATAATAATTCTACAAATGGTGATATTAAAATTGTGAATCTGGGATCACAGATTTTTCACATTTCTCCTCACCCCATTTTAAAGCCCCATTATGAAGCCAGCACTCCCACCACTTGCCCTTTATGCCCCCTCTCACCATCGGCTCCAGGTCCGGCAAACCCGCATGCAGACACAAAGTTCCTTTTGTCCCAAGTGTCTGAAAACAGACAGCCAGACTGCCCTCTGCATCACATGATCTGCCCCATTGTCCAATGGCAGAGAGTCTGGCTCAGGGCTGTGGGGAGGGGGACGTACCACATGCCGCTCCAGCTGAAGGGGAGGTGGCTTGGGTGGAGATGGGACCAGAGGCCTCTTTAGAAGTTGACTCCGCGATACGGTTTGTCCTATATTATTCCTACCACCAGGTCCCTTTCTGGCCCCAGCACCTCTCCTGTTTTCCTTTTCCCTGACATTGCTCCGGGGTGACTTCTGCTTTCCATTTTTTGCCCCATTTTGTCCATCACCCACTGCAGCGGATCCCCCTCCCTCCTCTTCATCCTCTGAGCTGGTGCTAAAGCTGATTCGAGAATCCCGACCCTCCCCCCCTTCTCCGGTGTCACTGCTGCCCCGGGAGCCTTTTGAGTCGGAGTCCGAGTCAGAGTCTGAACTAGAACTGGAGGTACTGCTGCGTCCTCGTTCCAGCATCTGGCACATCTGTTTGAACCGTTCAATCTTCTCTCGCTGGTGAGAACGGTCGGAAGGTGGGATGGGTTCAGCTGGGACCTGTGGCTCCTTTAGGGGAATCCAGAAACAGCAAAGGAAAGAGAAAGAGGAAATGAGGAGAGTAGAAAATAAATAAATAAATAAATTACATCAGAGATCTCAAGGCATCATTAAACAAAATCCTCTGCTCTCCTCCATAGGACCATGGTTCAGATTACCAGCAAAAAACAGGAGTGTGGAAAGGGCAAGCATGCTTAGGCAAAGAATTAAAAAAAACTCCTGCCCCTAAATCCTTGGACACTCTGCAGCAACACTGACAAACATGGCAGCATGTCCATGGTATATTGTCTTTGGCCCTGGCAATATTTCTATAAGTACACTAATTTTGGGGAATGAAAGTTTTTTTTGTTTTTTTGTTTTTGGTTTTTTATAATTCTTATATAATTCTCATTAATTTTGTTGTGGAATCTTGCATATTTGCCAAATAAAAATACTTTGCCCACATCATTTGATAACAGAGTGTAGAATAAAATTGTTCATCGCGTATAGTAGGACATATCTTAGATGGAAGCTCTATGGGATGAAAGTGTTTTTTGATAAAGCACTGCTGGCAATCTGAATGAACACTCCCTGCTGTGATTAGAGGGTATCGGCCAAACTGATAGACTAAGCCACGGTCGGGGGCTACTCTTACAGATGGGCCCTCTTGGGAATTACAAACCTGGGCTGCCCTTGTGGCTGGGACTGCACCAATATACCAATATACCAAAAACATTGATCACAAGGTCCCGACAGTTGGGCATTTATTAATATCCCGATGGATGAGAACTAGGAAATACCCAAATTGTACACTAGTGGGAGTCCTGGATGACTGGGTGGGTTACCATAGCAATACAGAAATTGTATCGCTTGCTTCTTTCTGTAATGGAATAACAAAAAACTGAATTTAAAGGAGAACTGCCACTTCAATGGAAATTACACCATTGGATATCACCTAGAACTCGCTGGGATATTCTTTTACATTTATATTAAAACGTTTGCAAATTACAATCCAGATCAGTGAAGGCACACACTGCATTTGGAGACGAGAAGAAGAAATATTGTTTCATTTTTCCCTACTGTACACTTTCTCTATGGCGACTGATTGGTAGAAAGGACAGAGCTTATAGCAATGATTGAGAGGGAGCAACATGGAGACGCAAACTTGCAGAATAATGATATGGAGTTCAAAGCTGTATTATTGTATTTAATACCTCAAATATATAACGCAAACTATTAAAGATTGTCGTTTCTCTTAAACAGTAATGTTTTAGCTTACAGAGAAGGTAAACGGCATCTATGCACTAAAGCCACTACATCAAGACAGTGGTTTTGGTGCGCAGAGGCCTTTCACGCTTTTGCGTGCCCTCTGCATTTCTACTCTGGTTTATAATAAATACTGTGAGGATAAACGAAATCAGCAAGGCAATAACAGACACAGGTTACCAGTTTTCAAACACGCTCACTAACCTTTTTAATTTTTTTGTCCTTCTCGACTTTCACCTGTAAGGTGAAGAAAAAAAAAAAAAATCTTAAAAAATTTTAATAAAAAAAAAAAACACACAAAGTGTTGATATCGGGGAGGGGGGAATAAAAAACAAAAACCAAAAACCTAGCATGAGAGCCATCAGGGGGAATGATTTATGGTGTACACAGACTTCCCTGACATAAGAGACAAAGCAGGATGGGGGAGAGCAAATAAGAATGCAACAAGCAGAGAGCGCTGCAGGGAGGATGAATCAGAACATGCAGAATATGAAGTTGTATACGACTAGCAAGCAACAGATTCCATGTCACTGTGAATAGCCATTGGTGGATACTGGTGGCAGTCGTGGGATCACTACCTTTTTCTTAACCCCTGGATCAGGTGGAGGCTCCTTTTCTTTCTTTCGCTTGTATCCTGGATTGTCTTCTGATGGTTTCTTCTTGGAAGGAGCTGAGTCGTCAGTCAATTTCCACCGCACGGTATCCTCTCCGTTATCTAACCTCCGTTTGCCAGAACCGTCCAATGAGTCCTGTAAAATGAAACCCAGAGATATTTCAAGTTGGGAACCCCACATACAGCTCCTGGTTATTTCAGAAGCATCCCTTTAAAGAGATACATTAACTCTAGCGCTGAACAATGTTTGAAGGACTCTTTGGCGGCTGTCAGAGTGACGCCGTTTACACTGCTCAGCCAGCAGGGACAGGCTATATGCCCCAGATCCAAAACTTTAAGCTGCAGCGTTTGTGGTGCCTATAGTGTCTCTTCAAGGGAGAAACCTACACACATCCCAGAAAGTATATGATTCTGCATTTTTATTTTATTTTTTTACCTATAACTCCACACATTTTATATACATGTTTAAAAATGCCAGTGTGCAGGAGGAATCAGGTAAGTGAAAATGTTTTTTTTTTGTGTTTTTTTTAACCCTTTATTTGCTTTGGGGGGGGAGCAATAGGACCCTATAAGGTTAAGAACACATTTTTGTATTCCTAAAAACACTGTAGTGTTAACTTTAAGCAAACCTGTTACCTCAATGTGTATCCTATTTTGAAGATGTGCTAAATATACACATTACTTAAAATGATACAACATTATTACTCACAGCACTATCATATGGAAACAATATTAAAATCCTTCGTAGCAAGTCTGTTTTCCCTTTCACTATGCCAAACATCCCATCGTAAGAATAAGCAAAACATTCTTAGCATTTAAACATGTGAATCAATGCACAAATCAAATCAGAACAGCAAATGTATAAATAGATTAGAACTGTATTTAGGGATATCAGAAAGTTCACATTAGGTACTGTATCATATTTTTCATTTACGCTCTCTGAAACACACACACACACACACACACACCACAGATTACTAGCAGCTGGTATTCAGTGGATGTGCAACCTGTCGAATGCCGTCTCTGCCCACTAACAGCATGACGTCACACTGAATCCTGGTGGCCATTTGGCCTGAGCATCGTGACGAGTGGCTGGCTGCCGCTCCTCATATCTCCCTGTGAGCCACCAGTGAGTTGCGGTAAGTCGTTCCTGGGTGGGCAGTCCGGCTTTCCTACTGCCAGAAATGCATTCCCTGCCCAACACTAATCCACCCTCAATGCAGCCCTGACACTTGACAACAGCAGGGCTAAAATAATTTTTTTATTTTTTTTTTATATTAAATCTTCCTGCCCGACACTCAGAACTGCATGTCCCAGGTGTCGGACGATATAAATTCCACATCTCTGATTACATATTAAAGTAGTAAGCGATTATACTACATGCAGTATTTATGGTTTTGATATATTAGCCAAGCAGCATAAACACGTAAAGGGACACTATAGTCACCAAAACAACTTTAGCTTAATGAAGCATTTTTGGTGAATAGATCACACCCCTGCAGTCTCACTGCTCAATTCTCTGGCATTTAGCAGTTAAATTACTTTGTTTATGAACCCTAGTCACACCTCCCTGCATGTAACTTGCACAGCCTCCCTAAACACTTCCTGTAAAGAGTCATCTACAATTTATCCTTCCTTTATTGCAAGTTCTGTTTAATTTAGATTGAATAATGCCCTATTATGTTAATAGCGTGCTAGACCTTGCAAGAGCCTCCTGTATGTGATTAAAGTTCAATTTACAGAGCAATACATAAAATAGTTTAAGGTAAATTCCATCTGATTAAAAGTGAAACCAGTTTTTTTTTTCATGCAAGCTCTGTCAATCATAGCCAGGAGAGGTGTGACAAGGGCTGCATAAACAGAAACAAAGTAATTTAACGCCTAAATGGCAGTGAATTGAGCAGTGAAACCTGAGGGGCATGATCTATACACCAAAACTGCTTCATTAAGCTATAGTTGTTTAGGTGACTGTAGTGTTCCTTTAAAAACACATAATAGTGTTCTTACATATATGAAAAAGTGATAAAACCCTTTTAGAATGTCGCTGCTCCCAGCATCTCTGTAGCTTTACGAGAACGGTTAACTCCTGCTGAGGAGCTTCCAATAGTCGTCGCGAGCGAGCTCATTGGCTAAGAGAGTTGGCTCACTGCCTAGCTTAGCTCAGACAGGACTTCTGTCAAGAGAAGATTATATTAAAGATCGGGAGCTGCGCTGGGCAGACTCCACGTAAGAGGTCAAAAATTCTAAAATGGTAAAAGGAATCCTGGAGCCATGAGCATAACTGCACACTGTAGTGGTTATGGTGCATGGGATATTCCTTAACTAATATCCTGTTTATGAGAAAAGAGCCTGAAGGTATTTTTAGAAAGTTTCTTATCAAAATTGTCCCCCCAAAAAGAATATCTGCCAATACTCATCTATAGTAAGTACAACGAACAGTAAAACAAAACAGCTGTACTAGGTAAGGCAAAAAAAATGCTACTATCCCAGTTATGGGAAGGTGATGGGTAATGATAAGGCTAAATGTGATGCATTCATTAAATTTCATTTTAGATTTCTTTACAAGTGAAAACAAAATAATAGCCAGCATAAGCATGACGTTTGAAGCATGACAAATGGAATTAAACTCTTTCCCTTCAAAGTATGAGTTCATTCATGACCTTAAGAGATTGGACTATACCTTGCTTGTACGACCTTCACGTTTACACCTGGGACACTCCCAGCAGTTCGGGATCTCCGTATTAATGACCGCTTCAGTCTTTCCCATCTACAGGAAGGAAGAACGAGTAAAAGGGAAACGATAAGAAAAACCTCAATGGATGCGCAACACCTAAATGATGCAGCTGATCACACGCAGGCAGGAAGAAAGAACAGCATGGACACACCTTTATACAGCCAGGGTGGACAATCTCATTACAAATAGTACATTCCATGAGGGACAGGTTGAACTTCTGATCTTCATCCTGGGCAGTGTCTTCCTTCCCTGCGTCCCCGCACAGGAGGCACACCGCTGTGTGTGGAAGTACAGGCTGCAAGGCAGAGTACATGTGTCAACATCCTTTCTCTGGCCCAATATTCCCTCATTCATTTACACTCACTCAAATCTACATATATACCTTCTCCCCCAATATACAAACAATCACCACTTTTACCCAAAATCCATCTTCCTTGCTGTGCAATCCTCTAGATTTACTGTTTGCTGCCATTAAATACCCCTTACTCAACATACCTTGTCTTATTCACCATCAGCCTTCTCACATGGTGTCATTATTGGCAGCTATCCAGTGCCCCTTCCTCATTCATTATACAAGACCCCCAACAGCCCACTTTTTGTCAGTCTACCCACCCTGCTATATCAAATGAATCGCCCACTCTAAATACGCCTCACCATACTCCGCCACCACTCTTACCGCTGTGCATTGCCTCTTTAGACAGGACTGTTTCATGCGCCCAGGACCTCCAAACTTCTTCATGTCCTTACAGAAATGACACTCTCCACATTCACTGCGCACACAGGCCTCGCACCTTCGGCAGCGCGTCCGCCTGCGCCGCGCAGCCCCCAGATTCTTCCCAGACATCTCCCAACGGGCCAAGCAATGTCTCAGCTGCGCCCACTCCTGGAGGGTAAGAGAAGGAGGTTACCAATAATTACAATTATTGATATAGCGCCAACATATTCCGCTGCGCTGTCCAAGATAAACAAACATTTAATTCTAACAAAGTATGACGTACTGGGAAGAGGAGGTGAAGGAGGCCCTGTTCAAACCAGCTTACAATCTAATGTTGGACAATACAGTGTGTGCAAGACCCTGCCATATCTTCCCCAAAAAGACTGTTCTGTCACATGACAGACACCACCACACACAAAGTAATTAACTGTCAATTCATAAAGGCTGATCCAAAGATCAATAACCTCTTCTACAGTCACTGTTGGTGGCTAAGAGGATATATGGTGTAGGAATACATAGAGTTACACAGAGGCAGGAATATAAACCTTCCTTCCTTGTCTTCGCCTTGTATAGAACGACCTTCAATAAACTATAAAAAGAGATTCCTTAACCAAAACAGTCCAAAGTAAGGGAAGCGTACAGACCGCCCGCCTGCTGGGTAACATTTTGTACATATGCAACCGGCTTTCTATGTGAAATATTTCACAGAGGTTCATTTACGTAAAAGAAAGTTGTGAAGAATCGATATGGAAACTGCAATTTGTAACGCAAAATAGCTGAACAGGCAAAAACTCTACTTGGTTATTTCCCTAAATTTTGGTCTTAAAAGTTACAGTTCCCTTGTCAATTTCCCCCACCATTCGCAGTTTACCAAATTGATTTCACAGCATTAAAGTCCCAGCGTTCCCACACTCCACGGGGGCCACTGACCTGCTCTCCGCTGCTGATCGGCCCTGATTTTGGTTCTGTATTACCATGATCAGAACTGGAATCCTATATTACGGTATCACGTACTGAGTCCACTTGCAAGCCCCCCCCTCCCCACAGCCCTAGCCCACCACCATCACAACCCCTAGCCCACCACCATCACATCCCAGCATCCTCCAGTTTAAGTACTTGGAAGACCTGGACCTAAAGCAGCCAGTAGAAAGCCCCCCAGCCCCTGAGTGCTATGCTGTGTGACCTGCAAGCCCTGAGACCCCCAGTGCAGGGTGTGACCAGCCAGGGAGCACTGTTTGGGGCTGTGTTGGCAGGGGGTACACAGCATGCATGTGTTGGGGGTCACAGACACCCCCAGTCCCAGGGAGCAGATAAATCACAGCGTTTGCCCTGCTCCTCGCTTCCTCTATGGACCTTGCTCCTAATGTGATCTCCTGATTTGTGGGGACTCTCCCCTTTTACATACAGCATGGGCAGAGCATGGAGGGTCCCCCACAATAAAACCCCTGGGCCTGAAATCAGCAGCCCCTTTCCCCCTCACTCCCTTCTTTTTCACATTCACACATACATACACACACACAACAATACCACATCCAACATGGCCGCCCTGTGGGAAAGGCAAGGGCGACCGCCTACAGGGCCGCAAAGCATGCATGGTAATGTAGTTCCCGCCCATGACTCCCCTCTGGATAAGCATAGAAAAGCGGAAGTGAGCGGAACTACAAATAAAATGGCGCAACGCTGTTTCTCTTAAAGGATGCCGGGAAACGTAGTCCGATATAAAATAACGGGGAAGAGGAACAGGAAGTGTAACCCTTTTTGGATGCAAAGCTTGCCGGGAGATGTAGTTTATAGTTGAAATTAAAGGGACACAGACCTATTTAGTGGGTGCCAATTTACCAATTAGTCAGGTTTTCTTGTAGACCTGTGTGACTTTCACCAGGATTTGTTTATATTAAGCTTAATTATTCCTATATTGAATAAATATTTATTTATTTTTTGTCTTTTTTATAAATTAAATGTTTATTTAATCCGACAACTGGGAGCCTCCAATTATTGTTATAATCTCTGTCCTTTGAACCTGGCGCTCCACATCATTAAAACTCACAATCAATGTGCACTGTGTGAGTTTATCACAGAGCTCCACAGAAATAAAACTCACAATCAATGTGCACTGTGTGAGTTTATCACAGAGCTCCACAGCAATAAAACTCACAATCAATGTGCACTGTGTGAGTTTATCACAGAGCTCCACATTATTAAAACTCACAATCAATGTGCACTGTGTGAGTTTATCAGAGCTCCACAGAAATAAAACTCACAATCAATGTGCACTGTGTGAGTTTATCACAGAGCTCCACAGAAATAAAACTCACAAGCAATGTGCAGTGTGTGTTTATCACAGAGCTCCACAGCAATAAAACACACACAATATGCAGAGTATATGAGTGTATCACAGAGCGCTCCACAGAAATAAAACTCACAATCAATGTGCACTGTGTGAGTTTATCACAGAGCTCCACAGCAATAAAACGCACACACAATATGCAGAGTATATGAGTGTATCACAAAGCGCTCCACAGAAATAAAACTCACACACTGTGTGGGGAGACAGTGGACCTCCTTACACCATAACCTTATGTCACGAACTGGACCTCGTCATGGGTTCTTTGAGGGGCATACTTGCCAGCCTCTTGCCCACAGACTGTAGACCCAGTAAACTGTGATATAAAAGTCTCAGTTTGTCTATTGGAATCATACGGTTCAGCAACTGAGCAGCCGCATGAACTGGAGACCACCCTGGAGCTTGTTAAGCTTAATTGATACATTGTTGCAATTTCCACCGCAGTGGTCTAAGTGTTCGTCTGGGTGGAGTGTTCGTCTGGGTGGCTGCAATTCCTATGGACGACCACGAGGTTGCAGCCATCTTGTTCGCATGGACCAAAACTGCGAATAGACTTCAGGGGGACATAGCCGCAAATGCCCTGGAACTATTTTCAGCATGAAAACCTCACGGTTCCCGGTCGGTTCCCCAGCGGCACTTAGCCGCGATTCTATGGAACTATTTTCAGCCTGAAAACTTTGCAGTTCTCTGTCAGTCCTCCAGCGGCACTTAGCCGCGATTCTATGGAACTGTTTTGGGCATGGAACCATGCGTGCGGTCGGTCAAAATGTGACTTCCAGGAAATTTCGGAACCCCTGAACTGATCTGGGTGATTTTTGTATATTTTGGTCATCCACATCAGGGCAATCGAGGAATGTAACATTTGTGGGGATATTGTGTTATTGGGGTACTTTTGGGGTTTTGTAAAATATGTGGGGTTTTTTCTGCCTGGAGATAATTGGGTTAATACAATATCTGACTCAATTATCTCCCAGGCAGAGAGGAGGGATTGTATGTTTGTTATAGGGGTGTCATGCATTTGATCACTGTTCTTATTGGTCTGTGTCTTTGTGTTGGAGTCCCCAACAAGGTCCATGTTGGCATACCCCTTGCATGGGGATTGTCATAAAATGCCAGTGTGGCACCATTAAAATTCAGTCTTACTTCTCCCTCAACATACAGCCTCGCCTTGTGTTTGTAGGGACTTGCTATACAAGCTATAACCACTAGCTCTTGTAAGAGCTTCACAGCTATACTCTCTTGGAGGGCAGGTTCATCCAATGGAAGCTGGATCCTGGTCTTGGGTCCAGGGTGGGTGGAAGACAGCGAGACCCCAACCAAGCTGCTGCCGTTCGTGGGGTCTACAGTGCTTATGGTGTCCGGTGGAGTGCTTGGAACACTAGGAGCATCGATTGATGGAGGCACCCAGTCGGGGTGGCAGGCATCTGTCACCTTATAGCTGCAGTTATAATACACTGTGTGCGGAGAGACAAATGACCCCCTTACACCATAACCTTATAGCTGCAGTTATAATACACTGTGTGGGGGAGACAGGGGACCTCCTTACATCATAACCTTATAGCTGCAGTTATAATACACTGTGTGCGGAGAGACAGGGAACCTCCTTACACCATAACCTCATAGCTGCAGTTATAATACACTGTGTGGGGGAGACAGGGGACCTCCTTACACCATAGCCTTTTAGCTGCAGTTAAAATACACTGTGTGGGGGAGACAGGGGACCTGCTTACACCATAACCTTAGAGCTGCAGTGTGGGGGAGACAGGGGACCTCCTTATAATACACTGTGTGCGGGGAGACGGCGACCTCCTTACACCATAACCTTATAGCTGCAGTTATAATACACTGTGTGCGGGGAGTCAGGGGACCTCCTTACACCATAACCTTATAGCTGCAGTTATAATACACTGTGTGCGGGGAGACAGGGGACTTCCTTACATCATAAGCTTATAGCTGCAGTTATAATACACTGTGTGTGGGGAGACAGGGGACCTCATTACACCATAACCTTATAGCTGCAGTTATATTACACTGTGTGCAGGGAGACGGGATCTCCTTACACCATAACCTTAGAGCTGCAGTCATAACATACTGTGTGTGGGGAGACAGGGAACATCCTTCCACCATAACCTTATAGCTACAGTTATAATACACTGTGTGCGGGGAGACAGGGGACCTCCTTACACCATAACCTTATAGCAGGGAGACAGGGGACCTCCTTCCACCATAACCTTATAGCTACAGTTATAATACACTGTGTGCGGGGTTAAAACCCCTTTCAGCAGCTTACCTTAATCCAGCGCCGGGCTCTCTTGGCGCTGGTGACCTCTCCTCCCCCGCCGACGTCAGAGTGGAGCGGAATGTGCATGCAGGGAAGTGCCGTGTGCGCATTCTAACAATCCACAGGAAAGCATTTCTTAATTCTTTCCTATGAACGTTCTGCACGTTGGATGCGAATTTCGCATTCAACGTCGCAGATGCGCCTCTAGCGGCTGTCAGGAAGACAGCCACTAGAGGTTGGATTAACCCTCCTATGTAAACATAGCAGTTTCTCTGAAACTTCTATGTTTACATGTGAAGGGTTAAAACCTGAGGGTGCTGGCACCCAGACCACTTCATTGAGCTGAAGTGGTCTGGGTGACTATAATGTCCATTTAAATTATTTTACAAAATACATTTTTAAAAATGGAAATCGTTGAGAAATGAAAGAAAAGTACAACCGTATTGCTAATTACTGGGCTGTGCACGAATCTTCTGAGTGACAATTCCACTTTATTTTTAAGTCTACTTTATACTAACTATTGGTAACCATAGCTGAGGATTCGTGTTCTTGGGAGGTTGAAATGGCCTTTCAATTTGTCATCATTTCATTCAGAACATCCTGAGGTGTGATAATACTGTAACCCAATGCTTCAATGTAATGACGAAGGTCTATTATAGCCAACCACACAAATAACAATTACTAAAATACATTTCTACTTGTCCTTGAGGCGATGTACTAAATATTTTATCCAATGACATAGCCACTACCATGATAGATGGCTGCTGAGTATCAAACTGAAGGTCCAGTTCCTTGTCACATCTGTAAATCACCTACTCTGGTATCGAGAGGTAATTCTGGTACCCATATGTTATGTAAAATCTATAGGTTAGGTTGCTCGTAACTTTTATTTAACGAATGTTTCTTTTTTTTATACCCCTTCATTAGTTTTTCTCTAAACCCTTTTTTGGCCACTCTTTCTGTTTTTAATCCAATAGTCCATCTCACGTCCAGTCTCCCGGCGGGCATCGGTTTCCACTGTAGATTCCACGGGTCCATTCGCTAAAATTTGGGCCATATTTTTTAGGGACGGCTTAGCAACAACCAAAAAAAGAATTGCTCGGTTCCCGGCCGTTGTGAATTTGGTCCCGTCTAGTCTTGAGGGGTCCCAGGTTATTCCAGGGTCTGTCCTGCTTGCCCACCCCTCCAGGACCAGGGTCAGTCTAACCCAGGGTTACCATGACAACCTGCCATGTTATCTGTCTACATGGGAGGGAATATTTCAATATATTTCTGGAATCCCTCTGTTTATAAACTGTTATTTCCAGGAAGCAGACTTGTACTGAGCTCAGCATCCTAACTGGGCAGAGTCCAAACAGAACCTTAATATTTATAATGAATAGAGTGTCATCCAGGGACACAGGGCAGCACCATGCCTCCTGTGCCAGCCCTGTAACATCATCCCGTCCTCCCAGTCACCACAGAGTCCCGGCTGAGGGTGCAGAGCGCCGGTCACTCTCTCTCTGGGATACAGTTCCTCTCTATGGTAAGAGCCCGCCCTCCTCTCAGCAGCCCAGCGCTGGGAATGGCAGATTCGCCACAGTCTGGATTGAAAGCCCCGGGCGGCAGAATCCTCCCCTCGGACCCGGTGCCATCGAGTTCCGGTTAGAGTGATGGAATAGGGATGATGTGATAATAATCCGGGATTTATTTATTTATTTCCAGCCCGGTGTGGAAAGTGCCGCGGCGGATCGCACGCTAGGTAAATCCAGCGCGAGTTCTCGCCGCCCGCAGATTCCAGCCCGGGGTCCGGATTTCCGCGTTAATTCCCGGGGGCGATGGGGGCGGCTGGGGGAGTGGCGGCAGCCGGCGGGGTGAAGCGGTGGGATCGGCAGATTTAATCCGGGCGGAGAGAGCCGGATCCCGGGGACAGGGCCCGCGCTGTGCCGAATCTGCCGGCCGATACCGGGCTCAGCTTTACCGGGACACAGAGTGGGATCCGGGGGGAGAGACAGCCCGGAGACTGCCGGAGACAGCCAGAGACAGCGAGAGACTGCCGGGCACGGAGAGAGACAGCCCGGAGACAGCCAGAGACAGCCCGGGCACGGAGAGAGAGACAGCCAGGTGAGAGCTCCGGACACCGCCAGAGACAGCCCGGGCAGAGACTGCGAGGGAGACACCCCCGAGAGAGAGACTGCACGGAGAAGAGACACTCAGGGGATAGACAGGCTGAGAGACCCCCGAGAGACTGCACGGAGAGAGAGATACTCAAGGGATAGACAGGCTGAGAGACCCCCGAAAGACTGCACGGAGAAAGAGACACTCAAGGGATAGACAGGCTGAGAGACCCCCAAGAGACTGCATGGAGAAAGAGACACTCAAGGGATAGACAGGCTGAGAGACCCCCAAGAGACTGCACGGAGAGAGAGACACTCAGGGGATAGACAGGCTGAGAGACCCCCGAAAGACTGCACGGAGAAAGAGACACTCAGGGGATAGACATAGACGAGAGACTGCACGGAGAAAGAGACACTCCCCGAGAGACTGCACGGAGAAAGAGACACTCAGGGGATAGACAGGCTGAGAGACCCCCGAGAGACTGCACGGAGAAAGAGACACTCATGCTGAGAGACCCCTGAGAGACTGCACAAGAGACTGCACGGAGAGAGAGACACTCAAGGGATAGACAGGCTGAGAGACCCCCGAGAGACTGCACGGAGAAAGAGACACTCAAGGGATAGACAGGCTGAGAGACCCCCAAGAGACTGCATGGAGAAAGAGACACTCAAGGGATAGACAGGCTGAGAGACCCCCAAGAGACTGCACGGAGAGAGAGACACTCAGGGGATAGACAGGCTGAGAGACCCCCAAGAGACTGCACGGAGAAAGAGACACTCAGGGGATAGACAGGCTGAGAGACCCCCGAGAGACTGCACGGAGAAAGAGACACTCAGGGGATAGACAGGCTGAGAGACCCCCGAGAGACTGCACGGAGAAAGAGACACTCAAGGGATAGACAGGCTGAGAGACCCCCAAGAGACTGCATGGAGAAAGAGACACTCAAGGGATAGACAGGCTGAGAGACCCCCGAGAGACTGCACGGAGAAAGAGACACTCAGGGGATAGACAGGCTGAGAGACTGCACAGAGAGAGAGCACAGAGAAAGAGACACTCGGGGTAGACAGACGAGGAAGACACCCCCGGGAGACTGCACAGAGAGCGAGAGACACTCAGGAGACAGACTAATGAAATGCACAGTGAGACCGCAGAGAATGTGGGAGAAATAACGGGAGATACATCAAGAGGTTAGACAGGCAGAGAGACTGCAAGCAATAACACAGGGAATCTCCCCAGAGAGAGAGACTAATAATACACACAGTGAGATTACAGAGAATGAGGTAGAAATAACAGTAGACAGATCATGGGAATAGACAGGCAGAGAGACTGCAAGGAATAATAGGGAATATTCCGAGAGACTAATAATACACACAGTGAGACCACAGAGAATGCAGGAGAGAGACTTCAAGAAGCCTCCCCTGAAAGACAGACTAATAATACAACTAGTGAGAAACAGACAATGAGGGAGAAGTAACATTAGGCAGATCATGGAACTAGACAGGCAGACTGCAAGGTATTATATAGGCTGGTACACACCATTAGAACATGGAAAATGAAAGCGCACTAACAGGTGACAGCGAAGAGAGAGAGATCATGGGAATGAAAAGGTAGAGCGACTACAAAGGATAACACGAGGTATCCCTGGGAGAAATACTAATGACATGCACATTGAAAACACAGAATATGAGAGAGGCATAACAAGAGACAGATCACAGGGATCTAAAAGCTGAGAGAGTATGGGGGACAAGATTGAATAATAACATGTACTGTGAGGACTAACCTGGGCCATTTGGGAGATTCATGGCAGGAGACAGACTAAGTTACTGTGGGATATACACACGGTATCCCTGGGAGAGATCTTATTGACATACAATGGAAGATTAATAATAATAGAGCAATAGGCACAGGTTGAGTGACTCAAGGAATACTGGAAAGACATTTGGGGAGTTAGACTACGTATAATGCACAGTGATACAGAACATGGGAACGCAGGAGTCAGGTTAGAGAAAGCAAACCATGATGGAGAGAGGGCAGAGACAGATGAAAATAACAAAGGAGCTGGCTGTAAGAGACCGCTATCATGTGTTCAGGGTCTGAGATCAAAACAATCGATCATACCTGTCAAGGAAAGATGACATGCTGAAAAACTGTAGAAATAAGTGACTTCTTTGAGATGTACTTTACAAGACCGTGGAAAACGAGACATAACCAAAGCCACCCCAAATAGATATCTATGGGGGTGAGAGGCAGGAAACCCGCAGACAATAGTCAAAGGAGACCACAAGGAATGAGGGAGAATACATTACATGGCATGTAGATAAAGATTATGGAATACTGATAACTGTGTGAAATATATACAAAAACAAATGTACAATATAAATATTACTATCCCGTGAGATAGTAGGGACACACACATCTGGGATGTATTTAGGGACAATCAGCCTGCATTTGTAAATGGCTGCATAACATCTTGGGTCATTGATGTACAGACCATATTGCAGGCAAAAGAATGAGAGAGATATTTTAAGCATTTAGAGGCATTTGAAAGTTAGATACAGTTGAAATAGTATGATTTTCTCCTAATGTGGATGTACAGGACACCATACCAGCTCAGTTGATGCTGAGAAGAGCCCATATGAGAAGTAGGATGTATAATCGATTTTGTACTTTAAATACTCAGTAATTTAGCTAGATCTTTCTTGGTCCTATTTTTTTATGCCTCTGAAGAACTATCTTGGAAGCCAGTATATGATGAGGTTTTACCTTCTACAGGTCAGATGTCCCCAGATGGAGCCCGAGGGCGAGAGTCACAGAGCAGCCGGCTTCCAGTGGAGGAGTTACAAACTACTAGTGGATCCCGCTCTACGCCGCGATACACAGAAGATCTACCGTTATGATGGCGTGCACTTTAATATCGCTGTGAGACCCATATTTTAATTTAAAGAGGGATTGGGGAAATTGCACTTCTGGCTGCAGTTTGAGGTGCAAATCTGGACCAAGTTATCTTATAGCTGATGATAGCTTTAGAGTTGCAGAGCACGAGTCGATTTCTACTTGAGCTTATTCTAAAAATACCCTGGGTTATAAGATGTGATTTTTGTATGTAGTATGTTCTTTTTAATGAGGATTTGGTGAGAAAGTTTTAGTAGAATTTTCAGTTGTGTTTGTATTTTCAGTATTTTTATTTTTTTTTCCCACCACAGGATAGGAGAAAACGTGTTCAACCTAGTGACAAACTTTTTAATTAAAATAAATATTATTTTGTTTTGTTGTTCAGGATAGAGCATTTCTTCCAGTAGGCGATGTCCGGGACCCACGACAACATCGTATGTGGAGCAAACCACGGGATGTCTCCCTCCCTGTCCCCAAATTCAAGGTATTAAGGTTCTTCTTTGATAAGTGGGATAAATGTGAAAGGAGGGTTGCAGGTATAGGTTGGTGGTGAACAGCAGAAAAGATGTCACTGGGGCAGCCAGTGACTGCAGGAGAGGACGAGGAGTTGGTCCTGGTTGTTCTTGGCTGCTATTGACAGAAATCTGCAATAGTTGAACATAAAAATAGAAATGTAATAAACCTGCAGACTTGTAGAAGAGAACTTGTCTCTTCTGCCTGCAGTGAGCGTTGAAGGTGGGTACAGTCTAAGGCTTGGGATGTGGCATGTATTAGGTTGAGGGATCTGTCAGGTGCTCTAACACTTTTTTTTTTTTTTTTTGTGTTCTAGTTTGATGAATTCTATGTGGGGCAGCTCCCTCAAAAGGAAGTCACTTTTGCCCATCTCAATGACAATGTCCGGGAACCCTTTCTGGCTGATATGTGCCGAAAATTTGGGGATGTGGAGGAGGTGGAGATTCTGCTGCATCCCAAAACACGCAAACATCTAGGACTGGCTAAGGTGCTGTTTTCCAGCTCGAAGTCAGCCAGAGAAACCGTTGCTCATCTCCACAATACGTCTGTTATGGGCAACCTCATACATGCAGAACTTGACCTCCGAGGTGAGGGGAAGGGCAAGTGGAATATGTGATCAGACAGAAGTGGATTATGGGTAATGGTGTACATCAAGTGCATTTGAAATCGTGGAAAACAAACCATATAGAAATCAACCTGCATGTTTGTTATCAAAGGTCATGAAACTTCACTTTTATTTTATCCAATAAATATTTTATCAACTATATGGCAACAATAAACGATCAACAGCGCAAATTACATTCTTTACACATTTTGCACAGGCAGGTGCTAATTGCTGAGCAGTAGAGAGACCATCAGGTTGGATGAGTGTAGAAATATTATGAGGCAGAGATTTAGTAAGTCATTATGACAGTTAATTTTTGGAATTTGCAGTATTGTGTTAAAAACCGTGCAAACCTTACTCTTGGAATCTTTTATGTTTCCAGGGCAGCAAAGGCAGAAATACTTTGATATGATTGTGAATGGTTCATACACCCCACAGACTGTCCCTACAGGTGGGAGGTGGGTCCTGGATCGTCTGCAGGCTGAACCGGTGAGTGACCTGCTTTAGTGCTATCCCCGGCCCAGGTGCTAGTTGCTGTAGCATCCTGACCTGAATCTCTGTTGTGTCTCTTCAGCTGGATTCTAGACGCCGCATATCCACTGATTCCCCTTACCCTCCTGGAAATGGAACCCCATCATCTCAGGACACAGGCACCGCCTATAGCCAGTACACCCCGTCCTTGTCCTCTTCACAGGGCACCCCTTACACTCCCAGAGGTGGCACCCCCTACTCTCAGGACTCTGCCTACTCCAGCAGGTAAGAGCATATCTCTGGGTGACACAGTGACTTCTTAGTTACAAGATGCAAGAGACAGCCCATAATCATTTTACATGCATAACATAGAAATGTTGGATATGTTCGCTTACACAGTTAATCAGGTTGTAAACAGACACCATGGTCAACACAAAAAAACTCTAAAAGGACTCAGTGGTTCAATCAAAATGTTCTTAATATGCCGTCTTTTCTACTTTAAAATACTTTTTCTTTCTTGCTTTCATGTTGACAAATACTGTGTTTTGCAGGCAGGGAACCCCCAGCCATTCCAGCTCCCATGAATCCTCAGGATACAAGTCCCGGCGCCAGGAGAACAGCTCTGGAGATTCGTACTCTCGCCGCTCTGGGCACCACTATTCTCCTGCTCCGTCTTCTTCCACATCATCTTCCTCACATCATGAGAGCAGTCATAGACGGTATCACAGGCACCAACACCGTTCCTCCCCACAGTCTTCATACCGCTCTCGACACCGCAAGCCACCTCCGCCTCCACCTCCTGAAGAACCTCCATTACATCGCTTTCCTGGGACTCCACCTCTACCTCCCCCACCACCCCCTCCGCCTCCAGATGATCACCAATCTGACCGTGATTACAGACTTACCCAGCCACCTCTTCCTCCATCTACATCTATCCACACACCTACTCTACTTATTCCTCCTCCACCACCTACTGAAGGCTGGGAGCCCCCTCCTCCACCACCACCACCACCTCCTCCAGCCTCTTCTCCACCTCCATCACCAGCCCGTTCTTGCTCTCCGCTTCCTGATGGTATTTCGGAGAGTCTTCCAATCACACAACATAGTAGTAGCCTCGACTCCCGTATTGAGGCCTTGCTAAAGGAGCAGCGCTCCAAATTCTCCTTCCTGCCCTCTGACACCGAGGAAGAAGATGAGGCAACAGAAAGTGCTGGGCAGGAGAACATGGTCTTAGAAGAAGCCCCTCCCCCTGTACACGGCCCATACACACCTCCCCCACCTGCAAGCTTTGAGGATGTGTCTGCTGAGGCCATCTTGAGGATGGGTGATATTGGCAGGACAGCCAACGGGCAGGAGCGGGTGAGATACAAAGCCATGCGTTTCCAGAGATCTTATTAGATACGCAGCAGCAAGGATTAGCTGCCATTAAGCCTCCGTTTTATTGGCTCCCTAGAACAAATGTAGTATTGCTGATAGCACAGATTGAACAGGTTTTGTTATTTAGTGCTGACTGAATTTCTAAGTCACTTGCAACAAGGGCAACTTTATTTAAAAAAAAAAAAATTTCATTTTATTTTTATTTTTTTCCAGTTTAGTCTGCAGCAGTGAACTTATTAAACTGAAAATAGCAGTTAAAATTACATTTCTTTAAAATCTTTAAATGAATGATGGTTTCCCATAAGTCTGAAGCTATTATTCTCTTTCTATAAATATTGACCTGAATTTCCATAATATAGTCCCATTCTTAGCAGTTTTATTGTTCGGGAAGGTAACGTTTAAAGATTAGAAACATTCAAAAGAGATGCGGAGGTAGAAATTAACAAAGCCAGAACAACTTTAGTCTAAAACTTCTCAAATGTAGAGTCTGATCTGGACTTTTTTTGTTCAGTTAAACAGAATTTTGGCTGAGTTAGATAAAGAAAGTAAAATTTATGTTTTTTGGGCTTATTACCAATCTTCTGATCTATTTCTGCATTATTATGAAAATAAAATATTTAGTGTCTCTCTAGATCCCACTTATACAAAGCAACATTTACTAACATTTTTCAAAGGGAAGCAGAGAGTTTGAGTCACAGTTTATGTCAAAACTGTTCCCAAAGTTTTCATCCTAATTTCTCTTCTAAATTGAAAAAGGGGGGGGGTGTTTGAAAAATATATATAGCAAACCTACCCTTTTCAACTCTATATTTCTGCATCATGGAGTAAATAAATTCCTTTGCACCTTTATTTATTCCTCAAATGTGCGTTCTGATGATTTGATAGCTGGCAACCAAAATATCAACTTGGAGAAAATTATGTTAAATATGGGAAGTTAACTTTTTCCATTTAGGTTGGTAAATGTTACACACACATTGAAATAAAACGAGCCATCCCAGGTGTAAAGAGTAAGGTTAAAGGACCACTATAGTGCCAGGAAAACATACTCATTTTCCTGTCACTATAGTGCCCTGAGGGTCCCCCTCCCGCCCGGCTCGGGAAAGGGGTTAAACTTACCTTTTTCCAGCGCTGGGCAGGGAGCTCTCCTCCTCCTGGACTGAATGCGCACGCGTGGCAAGAGCTGCGCGCGCATTCAGCCCGTCGCATAGGAAAGCATTCATAATGCTTTCCTATGGACGCTTGCGTGCTCTCATTGTGAAAATCACAGTGAGAAGCACGCAAGCGCCTCTAGTGGCTGTCAATGAGACAGCCGCTAGAGGATTAGGGGGAAGGCTTAACCCATTCATAAACATAGCAGTTTCTCTGAAACTGCTATGTTTATAAAAAAAATGGGTTAACCCTAGAAGGACCTGGCACCCAGACCACTTCATTAAGCTGAAGTGGTCTGGGTGCCTAGAGTGGTCCTTTAAGTTTCAGATAGATGCCTGATTTAGTTCAGTTCCCTTGTGGCTCTGCTTGCTCTTCCAACATCATCATAATGTGCCATATTCTTCTGCTAATCCATGGGACTCTTCCTGTTTACTCTCCACTGATTGGTGATTTAAGAATTATCCTTTTTTATTTTTTACTTCCCAGTTCAGACTCAGCACACTTGATTTCTCCAATAAATGGTCTAAGTCAGATCAATAAGTCATTCACAAAATATTAAGTGGTTAATCATTAAATATATTGGACATAATAATGTATAAAAACTTTTTATTTTTTTTCCTTTGTATTAACACTCAGGTTTAAACACATCCTCTTAGTATAGTTTTACAGTCCGTATCACATCCTAAGGCCGTTCCCAAAAGTCAAAGATGTAGAAAGTTTCCAGGGAATATTGTCTTAACCTGCACCACTGGTGTTCCTTAAGCATGTAGTGGAAACCACTGTAACATGAGTAGTAGTGGTACACCCAAAACTTCACTGTCAATGTTACAACAATAAAACAAAATGTCCAGTAGTTCACTATTTGCTAATTACAATGAAATGTAGTTCAGTGTATCATTTGAAGAGCGATAGGTTTTTCCCTATTACTGAACTAGAGTGTCTCTGTAGACCTAAAGCCTCGAATCAGAGGTGATTGAGGGATGTCGGGGGCTCCTTGTGCCATTATTTCTGGGAATCTTTAGTCTTTTTCTGCACAGAGCTCTGTTAGTTACACGTTACTCCTGGTTGGTTAAGAGACCCATGAGTTAAAAGGGACTATTTTCATTTAAGCAGAATATTATCGAGAATTGAAAACAAAATTTTAGAACAGAGTTTTGGGAATATTATCACACTTGTTTTTGTTCTAAAATTTACGTTTCCTTTCTCAATTCTTAACAATTCCCCAATAAATAAGACGCTAGATTAGCAGGTTTTCGAAAACCACAAAATCTAAAATGCTCGTTACAAGACATTATGTTACTGGTTTTCTCAACATTTCTCAGCATTTTTGGCTGCAGTTATTTTACTATTTAGTGTTCTTCATTTAATTTCTGATACTACTAGTCTATTTCTTATCTCCCAGAATTATACCAGCAGTGAGGTAATGTGTACAATGCCACAGGCTTGGAATCTGGTCAGACATTTATTTGAAATAAATAAATATAAATTATATATATATATATATATATATAGTAGGGACATTTTTTATAGTAAATCCACATTCTGAATAGGTGACCCATTTTGCATTTCTGAGGGCACACCGTAAACTATTTTACTAATTTACTGTAGGTTCTTGAATTTGTGAAGTATGTCAGAGCAAGGCAGTTACTTTGTAATTCATTCATTGCTACTTTATGCCATTCTAATTGCAGTCCACTCCAATTCAGAACCTTAAGGAATAAACTTTTTTTTTTGTCTTGTGGTTGATGCTGCTACCACTTTTAAATTGTCTGCCTTAAACGAGAAAGGCCACTTCCCTATGTTCAATATATGTTTTTGTGCGGTGTGAAAAAATAAAATTAAACGTAGAAATCCTCATCACTTTTTCCTGTGATTGGACGCCTCGCTATTTGCTCCTTGTCAATCATTGTTATAATCTCTGTCCTTTGCACCAGGCGGTCAGCATAGATAGCGCATACAGAGAACAGAATAAATTAAATCATGTTTCCTTTTCTCCTCTTCATTTGCGATGACTGCCATGGCTCGGTGCCGGATTATGTCATTCTGTTTAAGCTTTATAACGTAAACTTAAAAGAAAATTGAGAATCCCGAAACTGTTAACGCAGGTTAAGGGATTTTCAATGTGTTCTACAGTGGTGTAGAGAGAAGCAACAGTTCCCTTTTAAATTAAAAACCGTACCATGGGCTAAACCGATGTTTCTTGCTCACCACTGATGGACCCTTGATGGTGCTACAATACACAGTCCATTTGGTTGATACTGCAGAAAGTTGTCCCAATCTTTAAATAAAGTCAAGTCTTGAGTGGTACAGCTCACACGCTTTATGATTATTTTCTGATTGTGTGTTAGTTGGAGGGAAAATTAAAAATACTTTTTTTTATTAAATGTTCAATGAAGTTTCTCAATTTCTGCTATTTATTTGTTTTTGGTGGCTTGACATTTTCTTTCTTTCTTCTCAGCTGTCATCCGGGGATGACATGGAAATTTCAGATGAAGAGGTTAACCTTGAGATGCCTGGTGCTTCTGGTCCTCCATACCCACTTCTGCCCCACCTGGCAGGCACCGGGGGCAACTACTCTGCACAGCCTCTTCCATCTCCTCTCCTTCCCATACCTCACCACCACCACCAGGCTCCCTCATCTTATCAAATGCTACCTGTCAATGCCAGGCCACGGCTTGGCGAACTTGGCACTCGTCCCTCCACCCCTCCTCCACTTGATCCATCTGCTGCTTCGTCATCTTCTTCATCTGCTCCCCATATATATGACTTTGTGAACTCCATGGAATTGGTAAACAGACTTGGTAACCAGTGGGGAGGGACCTCCATGTCCTTTCAGATGCAGACTCAGATGCTGAGCCGATTACAGCAAAATAGACAAGGCAAAGGACAACAACCATTTGAGGACCAATACCCCCCACCTCTACTCCCTCACCCACTACCCATCAGACACCGCCAGCCTCACCCTCCTCCACTCATGTCTGAGCAGGTCTATGGAGCAGTGTACCCACCTTTTCCCTCCCAACAGCCACAGCCTTTATTACCCCCTCGGGAATTTCCAAACCGGACAGGTCGAGGAGGTGGTCATGACCCTCGTCCACCAGGCTGGACACAACAGGCAGACCCACATGCCTCTACAGTTATCAGTGTACTGACTGCACTTATTCAAGAGATGAAGAGCACAATGCAAAGAGATTTGAACAGAAAAATGGTAGAGAATGTGGCATTTAGGGCCTTTGATGAGTGGTGGGAATGTAAAGAGGAGAAGGCAAAGGTAAGGATCAAATGGTGGCAGAGAGGAAAACATTAAGAGATTGGGATGGTAGAAAGGAGTGAGCGTTTTTAGGAGTGTAAAATCACTAAGATGTCTTTTCAATCTGCAGCCATTTCAGAATGTACCCAAACCACCACCTAGGGAAGAAGACAAGGAGAAGGTCCGACCCAAAGATCCTGGGCTACTTTCCTTGGTGGACTGGGCCAAGAGCGGAGGTGCAGAAGGATTTGGATTTGGAGCAGGGCTCAGGGGTGCACTCAGACTGCCCTCCTTCAAGGTCAGTTCTTTCTAGAGGAGATGGATTGTGTAGTGCAGACTTTTATAGGCTTATAATTAGAGGCAAAGAAAAACCAAACAAACCATATTGGCATGACCTATTGCTTGTCTCTAAGGAGAGTGATATCGGGGTGTTAGCTGTTTGTGAGAATAGTTCTGAGGTGAGGTTTTGTCTGTGTTGGACCACGAGTACTGCTAATCTGTACAAGTTGAAGCATCGAGGGACCATTGATGGTCCATAGAAAATTAGGGAAAACATTTGTAGGGATTACTGAAAAGGGATGAAAAACAAGTATTTGTACTATGGGTGACATGCAGTGATGTGACGAATGATAGCCACTGGTAGTTTACACATGATGTGCTTTGGCTTGTATTACTTGGGTATATGTCTCTGGACAGGCGTGTTGGATATGAGGGTTTTATTTGATGTTGAGCAGAAGTCAAGACATTACTTGCTTGAAATGTTGTGACATTACTAACCGGCAGAAAAATTCTGTGTAAATAAGTGCATTGCATTTTTCTCTTCTTTTTCATCTTCCCAAATACAGGTTAAGAGGAAGCCACAATCAGAGAGCGAAGATGGTGAGCAGAAGAGGCCCCGGCCGTCTACCCCACCAGAGGAGGAAGAGGATGGTGAGTTACTACCTCCATCTGAAAACCGGGTACAGACGGATACCAGATACGGGTACCTGAAATCACATCCCTATTTCTCTTCTTCCTCCAGAAAGAGATAAAGAGACGCTTTCCGATCCTCGATCAGGAGCCAAGCAGTCGCAGAGAGAAGGTGAGCGAGCGCGCCACAAGCGCAGGAATCCCTTCCACCTGGACAGTGAGGGAGAAGAGGAATCTGACAAGGTGAGACTCCAAGGCTTCGTTACCCTGTGGAAAACATTCTCTGGGAGTTGCCCTTTTAGACTGGCCACGTGATGTCCGAGACATAAAATCACTCTTGCTTGTAATTCAGTAGCTGATTCATGAAGCCATTTAGTAAATACTTATATTGTTTGTTTAATGTCCTAAATTCCTATAACGGGAAACTGAGGGTGCATACTGCAGCATTAGTACATGGGTTATAGTAATCTGGTTATAGGGTTAGTCTGGGTGGGTAATGGTGAGCTGGTTACATGGTTAGTCTGGGTGGGTTATAGTGAACTGGTTATAGGGTTAGTCTGGGTGGGTTATAGTGAGCTGGTTATAGGGTCAGTCTGGGTGGGTTATAGTGAGCTGGTTTTAGGGTCAGTCTGGGTGGGTTATAGTGAGCAGGTTACAGGGTCAGTCTGGGTGGGTTATAGTGAGCTGGTTATAGGGTCAGTCTGGGTGGGTTATAGTGAGCTGGTTATAGGGTTAGTCTGGGTGGGTTATAGTGAGCTGGTTACATGGTTAGTCTGGGTGGGTTATAGTGAACTGGTTATAGGGTTAGTCTGGGTGGGTTATAGTGAGCTGGTTTTAGGGTCAGTCTGGGTGGGTTATAGTGAGCTGGTTATAGGGTCAGTCTGGGTGGGTTATAGTGAGCTGGTTATAGCTGGTTATAGGGTCAGTCTGGGGTGGGTTATAGTGAGCTGGTTATAGGGTCAGTCTGGGTGGGGGGTGAGCTGGTTATAGTCTGGGTGGGTTATAGTGAGCTGGTTATAGGGTCAGTCTGGGTGGGTTATAGTGAGCTGGTTGTAGGGGTCAGTCTGGGTGGGTTATAGTGAGCTGGTTATAGGGTCAGTCTGGGTGGGTTATAGTGAGCTGGTTATAGGGTCAGTCTGGGTGGGTTATAGTGAGCTGGTTATAGGGTCAGTCTGGGTGGGTTATAGTGAGCTGGTTATAGGGTCAGTCTGGGTGGGTTATAGTGAGCTGGTTATATGGTCAGTCTGGGTGGGTTATAGTGAGCTGGTTATAGGGTCAGTCTGGGTGGGTTATAGTGAGCTGGTTATAGGGTCAGTCTGGGTGGGTTATAGTGAGCTGGTTTTAGGGTCAGTCTGGGTGGGTTATAGTGAGCTGGTTACAGGGTCAGTCTGGGTGGGTTATAGTGAGCTGGTTATAGGGTCAGTCTGGGTGGGTTATAGTGAGCTGGTTATAGGGTTAGTCTGGGTGGGTTATAGTGAGCTGGTTACATGGTTAGTCTGGGTGGGTTATAGTGAACTGGTTATAGGGTTAGTCTGGGTGGGTTATAGTGAGCTGGTTATAGGGTCAGTCTGGGTGGGTTATAGTGAGCTGGTTTTAGGGTCAGTCTGGGTGGGTTATAGTGAGCAGGTTACAGGGTCAGTCTGGGTGGGTTATAGTGAGCTGGTTATAGGGTCAGTCTGGGTGGGTTATAGTGAGCTGGTTATAGGGTCAGTCTGGGTGGGTTATAGTGAGCTGGTTATAGGGTCAGTCTGGGTGGGTTATAGTGAGCTGGTTATAGGGTCAGTCTGGGTGGGTTATAGTGAGCTGGTTATAGGGTCAGTCTGGGTGGGTTATAGTGAGCTGGTTATAGGGTCAGTCTGGGTGGGTTATAGTGAGCTGGTTATAGGGTCAGTCTGGGTGGGTTATAGTGAGCTGGTTATAGGGTCAGTCTGGGTGGGTTATAGTGAGCTGGTTATAGGGTCAGTCTGGGTGGGTTATAGTGAGCTGGTTATAGGGTCAGTCTGGGTGGGTTATAGTGAGCTGGTTATAGGGTCAGTCTGGGTGGGTAATAGTGAGCTGGTTATAGGGTCAGTCTGGGTGGGTTATAGTGAGCTGGTTATAGGGTCAGTCTGGGTGGGTTATAGGGTCAGTCTTGGTGGGTTATAGTGAGCTGGTTATAGGGTCAGTCTGGGTGGGTTATAGTGAGCTGGTTATAGGGTCAGTCTGGGTGGGTTATAGTGAGCTGGTTATAGGGTCAGTCTGGGTGGGTTATAGTGAGCTGGTTATAGGGTCAGTCTGGGTGGGTTATAGTGAGCTGGTTATAGGGTCAGTCTGGGTGGGTTATAGTGAGCTGGTTATAGGGTCAGTCTGGGTGGGTTATAGTGAGCTGGTTATAGGGTCAGTCTGGGTGGGTTATAGTGAGCTGGTTATAGGGTCAGTCTGGGTGGGTTATAGTGAGCTGGTTATAGGGTCAGTCTGGGTGGGTTATAGTGAGCTGGTTATAGGGTCAGTCTGGGTGGGTTATAGTGAGCTGGTTATAGGGTCAGTCTGGGTGGGTTATAGTGAGCTGGTTATAGGGTCAGTCTGGGTGGGTTATAGTGAGCTGGTTATAGGGTCAGTCTGGGTGGGTTATAGTGAGCTGGTTATAGGGTCAGTCTGGGTGGGTTATAGTGAGCTGGTTATAGGGTCAGTCTGGGTGGGTTATAGTGAGCTGGTTATAGGGTCAGTCTGGGTGGGTTATAGTGAGCTGGTTATAGGGTCAGTCTGGGTGGGTTATAGTGAGCTGGTTATAGGGTCAGTCTGGGTGGGTTATAGTGAGCTGGTTATAGGGTCAGTCTGGGTGGGTTATAGTGAGCTGGTTATAGGGTCAGTCTGGGTGGGTTATAGTGAGCTGGTTATAGGGTCAGTCTGGGTGGGTTATAGTGAGCTGGTTATAGGGTCAGTCTGGGTGGGTTATAGTGAGCTGGTTATAGGGTCAGTCTGGGTGGGTTATAGTGAGCTGGTTATAGGGTCAGTCTGGGTGGGTTATAGTGAGCTGGTTATAGGGTCAGTCTGGGTGGATTTATAGTGAGCTGGTTATAGGGTCAGTCCTGGGTGGGTTATAGTGAGGCTGGTTATATAGGGTCAGTCTGGGTGGGTTTATAGTGAGCTGGATTTATAGGGTCAGTCTGGGTGGGTTATAGGGTCAGTCTGGGTGGGTTATAGTGGGCTGGTTGTAGGGTCAGTCTGGGTGGGTTATAATTGTAAGGCTGTGTGGTTGTAGGGGTTAGTCTGGGTGGGTTGGGTAGGGTTAGTCACAGATTGGGTTATAGTGAGCTGGATTTATAGGGGTCAGTCTGGGTGGGTTATAGTGAGCTGGGTTATAGGGTCAGTCTGGGTGGGTTATAGTGAGCTGGTTATAGGGTCAGTCTGGGTGGGTTATAGGGATCAGTCTGGGTGGGTTATAGTGAGCTGGTTGTAGGGTTAGTCTGGGTGGGTTATAGTAGGCTGGTTATAGGGTCAGTCTGGGTGGGTTATAGTGAGCTGGTTATAGGGTCAGTCTGGGTGGGTTATAGTGAGCTGGTTATAGGGTCAGTCTGGGTGGGTAATAGTGAGCTGGTTATAGGGTCAGTCTGGGTGGGTTATAGTGAGCTGGTTATAGGGTCAGTCTGGGTGGGTTATAGGGTCAGTCTTGGTGGGTTATAGTGAGCTGGTTATAGGGTCAGTCTGGGTGGGTTATAGTGAGCTGGTTATAGGGTCAGTCTGGGTGGGTTATAGTGAGCTGGTTATAGGGTCAGTCTGGGTGGGTTATAGTGAGCTGGTTATAGGGTCAGTCTGGATGGGTTATAGTGAGCTGGTTATAGGGTCAGTCTGGGTGGGTTATAGTGAGCTGGTTATAGGGTCAGTCTGGGTGGGTTATAGTGAGCTGGTTATAGGGTCAGTCTGGGTGGGCTATGTGTTCTTTTTAGATATAGATTTGTTTCCCGGGTTTGTATGTTAATATAATAATCATGAATTACATTGAAGTTTGCTTTGCCTGTGAACGTTCTGTTTCAGCAGTTTTGCAGAGATCTGATTCTCATCCATCAGGTTATTTTGTCAGTGTGGACCTGTTTATATGCTTTGCTAGCAATATGTCTTGACGTTGTGCCCATCTGTCTTCAGTCCAGTGGTTAATGTAATAATTTGGCTTTTTACCAGGATGACGAGGAAGATGAAGTCAGTGAAAAAGATGAGGATTCTGAAGGTGAGTCTGACATGGAGTAATCGTGCCTGGTAGTGGGTGAACCGGTCTTTGCAAATATAGTGGGAATGTGTCTGGTGGGTTAATAGTATATAGACTGGTCTTTGTATATATAAAGAGTTAACATGTCTGGTGGGCGAATAGAATATAGACTGGTCTTTGTGTGTGTGTGTATATAATATATATATATTTTACACACACACAGTTAATGTGTCTGATGGGTGAATCCTCTATAGAGTGAACATGTCTGGTAGGTTAATAGCTATATACTGTGTGTGTGTGTATGTATGTATGTGTGTGTGTGTGTGTGTGTGTGTATATATATATATATATATATATATATATATATATATATATATACATACATACATACACACACACACACACACACACACACACACACACACACACACACACACACACAGTCTGTCTGATTGGTGAGTCCTCTATAGACTGGTCTATGTGTGTGTGTGTGTGTGTATATATATATATATATATACACAGATCTTTTATTTAGTAGTATATATGATGGCTATTAATGTACTATATTGCAGGGTTTATTAAAGTTGATTTGCTATTTCAATGGTTCTTGGCTGTAAAAGAATTGCACTATATTCTACTCAATGACTGCCTGCACTTTACATGTGGCTAATGGGCAGTAGTGTTAGCAAAGCATGCTGGGAGCTTTCTGGAACGAAAGCAGATGTAGTCCCAAGGTGTCTCTTATACTGGGACTTTATAGGCCTCTTCCCTATCAGTCAGCCTGTCACGTGTTTGCTCTTGTTTCCCAGATGACGTTTCGCCTCTCACCAAGCTGTCCTCCAAGATTGTGTCTGATGACGACAGTTCTAGTGAGTCGGACAGCAGCAGCTCTTCCTCTTCTTCATCTTCCTCCTCCTCCTCGTCTTCCTCCACTTCCTCACCAGCATGTTCTGATGACGAGGAAGAGCAAGAGGAGGATCCAAAGTTGGCAGATGTTTCCGAACCTGTTGTGGCTGCCAGTCCTGCGGTGCCCGATCCAGAACCTGAGCCCATTGTAACAAAAGAGGAACCACCGGGTGAGTGAAAATTGAATGGTTTTAACACATTTTATTTATTGCATCTGTGATATTGTATAAATATAACCCATAATTTAAAAGGACAATCCAGGGGTCCAAGTGACTGCCCCCTTTTTTAATGCTGTGGGGCCAGAGGGACACTATAGCTTTGTATTCCTAACATTATAGTGTTTCTTTAACTTCTAAATGGCAGAGAATTGAGACTGCAGGGGCATGATCTATGCACTAAAACAGTTGTTTTAGTGCCCCAAGTGTCCCTTTTAATGCAGGTTTCATTGAGTAGTCAAAGGACTGAGAATTTCATTTTGATCTAGCATCTTCAAAGACTAGAATGTTAAGGTTTGATTTCACTGGGCATTAAAGGGACACTATAGTCACATGAACAACTTCAGCTTAATGAGGTTGTTCAGGTGAGAACTATAGCTCCCTGCAGCCTTTCTCATGTAAACACTGTATTTTCTGAGAAAATACAGTGTTTACATTGAAAGCTAGGAACACCTCCAGTTGCAGTCACTCAGAGTGAACCAGAAGGACTTCGGAGTTGATGGATGCATAATATGCCTCCATCCACTCAGATCTGCTGTCAGCAGAGCACAGGGCAGCACTGTGCAGAGCATCCTGTGATTCAGTATCTCCTCCCTCTGCATGCAGACACTGAACTTTCCTCATAGAGATTCATTGATTCAATTCATCTCTATGAGGAGATGATGATTGGGCAGGCCTTTGTTTGAATCATGCTGGCTCTGCCCCTGATCTGCCTCTTTGTCAGTCTCGGCCAATCCTATGGGGAAGCACTGTGTTGGATCAGGCTACCACATGTCAGCAGACTGCTTTTTTTTCTGAGTCTAAAAGCATGCAGATTTACAGCTTCAGGCTTGAATACAGTAAGATTTTTACTATATTTCTGGAGGCATGAGGGGCCCAGGGGGGCCAGATGGTTGTGTTAACCATCTATAGGGTCAGGAATACATGTTTGTGTTCCTGACCCTTAAGTGGCTGATCAAATGTACATCAAGCAATGAGCATAATATATAAAGGTACATGCACTTTTGAAATACAAGGAATTCATCAGACAGAGAATTAGAAAATATGTGTTTTTGGTTAAAAATAGAATTCTCATAATAAATCACAAAAAGACTAAAATCCAAAAAGCATAAGACATGCTTGTTTTTTTGCTCCCCCCTCCCCTCCCCAAGGATACTAAAATGTTGTTGAAAATTACTACATTGACTAAAACATATGTCAATTTTTTTTATTTATTTTTTCATGAGATGCTCTGTTTTCCTTTAAATTTATATTAAAGGTTTTCCAAAAGATATCCAGGCACAGCCAGGGCAAACCATGCAAATGAAGAGGTGAAATAGACACATTGTGTCATTTCTCCTGCTCTCTGTTTCCTCTCTGTATGCTGAATGCCAGGTATAAAGGGCTGAGTTCTTAACAGTAATAGACAGGACGCTAAAATGGAGGTACCCAGTGGCAATATAAAAAAGTGGGGATTTCTACATTTAATTAAAATGTTTGCACTTCACAAATACATAGGTGTTAATTCTAAATTATAACTCAACAAAAAAAAATGAAACATTTACTGAAATTGACAGGCCCCTTTAAAGGTTATAGAAGTATCCTATATACTCGAGTATAAGCCGAGTTTTTCAGCACATTTTTCGTGCAGAAAAACCCCCACTCGACTTATACTCGAGTTAATGTCTGTTAATTTACATTGCCATAATACAGACCAGGACCGCCGGGATCATTACAAGCCTGGTGGCCCTGCTGGAGGCTGGCAGAGAGCTGTTTCTTACCTTTCCTGCAGCTCCTGTCAGCTCCCTTCTCTCTCCTCCGGTCCGGTCAGCTGTAAGTCTCGCGAGAGCCGCGGGGAATGCTCCGCGCGGTCGCAAGACTTACAGTGGAGAAGAAGGGAGCTGACCGGAACGGAGGAGAGAGAAGGGAGCTGACAGGAGCTGCAGGAAAGGTAAGAAACAGCTCTCTGCCAGCCCCCCTCCTGCACAGACCATCCACTGGACCACCAGGGAATGAGAGCCCCCCTCCCTGGCCAGCTAACAAGCAGGGAGGGGGGACAAAAATAAATATAAATAAAAAATTAAATATTAAATATTAATAATATATATAAAAAAATAATAATAATTTTAAAAAATAATAAAAATGCCCCCCCTCCCACCAAGGCTCTGCATCACATACACACAATGCACTCATACACACACACACACACACACACACACACACACACACACACATACACACTGTATTCATACACACACTGCATTCATATACACACACACACTGCATTCATTATATACACACACTGTAAATAAATATTCAATTAATATAATTTTTTGGGGGATCTAATTTTATTTAGACATTTACCAGTAGCTGCTGCATTTCCCACCCTAGTCTTAAACTCGAGTCAATAAGTTTTCCCAGTTTTTTGGGGTAAAATTAGGGGCCTCGACTTATATTCGAGTCGACTTATACTTGAGTATATACGGTATTAAAAATACATTTTTGAATGTATTGTCTAAACCAGAAATTGCACATTTTAGGTTAAATAGCTGAATTAGAAACCGCTAATAATGACATGCGTGCAGACATACGTGGAGTAAAGAATGTTTCTACAATATTTATAAATTCTGCATTTCAACAAGGAAAACGTACATAAGAAATCCTTAAATAAAACAATGCAGTTTATGTAATACTACAAACTATATAAAGTAAACCAGGAATGCAAACCTTGGCAATATGTTCACTTCCATGCCCACTTTACAGGTAATTAGATTTTATAATTTCATTCTGTCAATATGTAAATGGAACATTTTAAAGGCACATTTCTCTGCTACCTCTTGCGTCATTTTCCCATTGTAACCCCCCGTGGCCCCCTTTAATATGTTAAAATCTTACCAGTCTGCTGCTGGCTCTGCACCTGATCTGCCTGCTTAGCTGACATAATGAGTCAATCACAGTGTTTCCCTATAGAATTGGCTGAGAATTTCAAGGAGGCAGATCAGGGGCAGAGCCAGCATGATTCAAACACAGCCCTGGCCAATCCGCATCTCCTCGTAAAGATACATTGAATCAATGCATCTCTATAAGGAAAGTTCAGTGTCTCCATGCAGAGGGTGGAGACACTGAATGGCAGTACTGCACAATGTGCAGCACTGCACCAAGAAGCACCTCTAGTAGCCAGTGGAGGTATCCCTAGGCTGTAATGTAAACACTGCATTTTCACTGAAAACAGTATTTACTACAATAGTGTCCCCTTAAGGTAAAATCCCTGAAAAGCCAGGAAGCGCCTCTATTGTTTGGTGTATTAAGACAAACTCTAGTGGCTGTCTTCCTGACAAAGTAAACATTGCAGTTTTTTTGAAAGTCAGAAACGCAACACCCAGACCTCTCAAATGAGATGACTTGATCTGGGTGCCTATTGTGTCCTTTTAAAAAGACACTCCAGGCTGGCTGTACACTGCTTTTAAAAACAAGCTACAAATAAGTCATATTTGATGGTTTTTGTTTTTCCAACTCTGTAGTTGAAAACGAACAGGTTTACTCAGTACTTTACAGTTGCATTACAGTAGAGGGAGGTACAGTAAGCGCAGTAGGTATACAGTGTATGTATATTATATTTATATAGTGCTAACAGGTGTGCTCAGCCTTTTACAGGTTACATTGCAGTAGAGGGAGGTGCAATATGTATAAAGTGTATGTATATTTATTTATATAACGCTAACAGGTGTACTCAGCACTTTACAGGTTACATTACAGTGGAGGGAGGTGCAGTAGATATACAGTGTATGTATATTTTATTTATATAGCACTAACAGGTGTACTCAGCACTTTACAGGTTACATTACAGTAGAGGGAGGTACAGTAAGTGCAGTAGGTATACAGTGTATATTTTATTTATATAGTGCTAACAGGTGTACTCAGCACTTTACAGGTTACATTACAGTCTAGGGAGGTACAGTAAGTGCAGTAGGTATACAGTGTATGTATATTTTATTTATATAGCACTAACAGGTGTACTCAGCACTTTACAGGTTACATTACAGTAGAGGGAGGTACACTAAGTGCAGTAGGTATACAGTGTATGTATATTTTATTTATATAGAGCTAACAGGTGTACTCAGCACTTTACAGGTTACATTACAGTAGAGGGAGGTACAGTAAGTGCAGTAGGTATACAGTGTATGTATATTTTATTTATATAGCGCTAACAGGTGTACTCAGCACTTTACAGGTTACATTACAGTAGGTGGAGGTACAGTAAGTGCATTAGGTATACAGTGTATGTATATTATATTTATATAGCACTAACAGGTGTACTCAGCACTTTACAGGTTACATTACAGTAGAGGGAGGTACAGTAAGTGCAGTAGGTATACAGTGTATGTATATTTTATTTATATGGCGCTAACAGGTGTACTCAGCGCTTTACAGGTTACATTACAGTAGAGGGAGGTACAGTAAGTGCAGTAGGTATACAGTGTATGCATATTTTATTTATATAGCACTAACAGGTGTACTCAGCACTTTACAGGTTACATTACAGTAGAGGGAGGTCCAGTAATGCAGTAGGTATACAGTGTATGTATATTTTATTTATACAGCACTAACAGGTGTACTCAGTACTTTACAGGTTACATTACAGTAGAGGGAGGTACAGTAATGCAGTAGGTATACAGTGTATGTATATTTTATTTATACAGCACTAACAGGTGTACTCAGTACTTTACAGGTTACATTACAGTAGAGGGAGGTACAGTAAGTGCAGTAGGTATACAGTGTATGTATATTTTATTTATATAGAGCTAACAGGTGTACTCAGCACTATACAGGTTACATTACAGCAGAGGGAGGTACAGTAAGTGCAGTAGGTACACAGTGTATGTATATTATATTTATATAGCACTAACAGGTGTACTCAGCACTTTACAGGTTACATTACAGTAGAGGGAGATACAGTAAGTACAGTAGGTATACAGTCTATGTATATTTATATAGCGCTAACAGGTGTACTCAGCACTTTACAGGTTACATTACAGTAGAGGGAGGTACAGTAAGTGCAGTAGATATACAGTGTATGTATATTATATTTATATAGCGCTAACAGGTGTACTCAGCACTTTACAGGCTACATTACAGTAGAGGGAGGTACAGTAAGTGCAGTAGGTATACAGTGTATGTATATTATATTTATATAACGCTAACAGGTGTACTCAGCACTTTACAGATTACATTACAGTAGAGGGAGGTACAGTAAGTGCAGTAGGTATACAGTGTGTGTATATTATATTTATATAGCACTAACAGGTGTACTCAGCACTTTACAGGTTACATTACAGTAGAGGGAGGTGCAGTAAGTGCAGTAGGTATACAGTGTGTGTATATTATATTTATATAGCGCTAACAGGTGTACTCAGCACTTTACAGGTTACATTACAGTAGAGGGAGGCACAGTAAGTACAGTAGGTATACAGTGTATGTATATTGTATTTATATAGCGCTAAAAGGTGTACTCAGCACTTTACAGGTTACATTACAGTAGAGGGAGGTACAGTAAGTACAGTAGGTATACAGTGTATGTATATTATATTTATATAGCGCTAACAGGTGTACTCAGTACTTTACAGGTTACATTACAGTAGAGGGAGGTACAGTAAGTGCAGTAGGTATACAGTGTGTGTATATTTATATAGCACTAACAGGTGTACTCAGCACTTTACAGGTTACATTACAGTAGAGGGAGGTACAGTAAGTGCAGTAGGTATACAGTGTATGTATATTTTATTTATATAGCACTAACAGGTGTACTCAGCACTTTACAGGTTACATTACAGTAGAGGGAGGTACAGTAAGTGCAGTAGGTATATAGTCATTCCAATAGAAGATACAATACATTAGATTGGATGAACCTGCCCCTGAAACTTTGTACTGTGAATATAGTTGCAGCCAGGAGGCTGAAGTGCAATATTTGATAAAATTACAGTTCTTATTCCAAATATATCAATTTCGTTGTTTTTTTATTATGTTCTCCCTTCATTCCGTTCATCTGTTTTAACGTTACAGAGAAACTTCCAGATCCAATAGTGAAAGAGGAACAACCTACAGAACCCCCAGCACCTCCCACTCCTGTTCCACCTGTAAAACCCTGTGCCCCTCCATCCCCACCACTGCAACTGCTCCCACCTCCCAAAAAGAGGCGTAAAACTGTGTCCTTCCAACTTCTTCCTGAAGAAGAGTCTGAGACCACCGAGAGCAAACCCCAAAACCAGCAGCTCCTGGTTACTCCAGCCCCTGAAATACCACAAATTCTCATACAAGAGCCCAAGGAAGAGCCACCCCCACCTGTTGAAGAAGCTGCTGTTCTTTCTCCCAAAGTTGCTCCCATTGAATCAGCTCCTCAGGGAGCTCTTCAGGTCCTTAGGAGCCCGGAAAAGGAGCCTGAGGTTCCTCCTCCTCCTACCAAAGAGCCCTCTCCCCAGAAGAAAGAGTTTGAACATTTCACGGTGCTAAATCTTCCGTGGGACCATGCATCTATGGTGAAATCCTACCCCCCTCGAGTAGAGAGTTTGGAAGGTAGGCATGAAGATGGAACAGAGGACTTTGAAGAAGAGATTGTAGAGGAGGTCAAACCTTCTCTTCTTCCTGAACCACCAAAGGAGCAGGAACAAAAAGTTGCTGTGGTAGCAGAGCCACGTGAGGCAGTAAGGACAGAACCTGCAGAGGAGGTTCTGTTTGCCACTGTTCGGCAGATCCTCCTTGAGCACAGCTATGCCTCAATCCCTGCTAACCTGAAGCAGCCTTCCAAGAAGCAAAGAGGTATGTCTGTGGAAGAGAAACTCACTGAGATTCTACATGTGGACATTGGGCAACTCGTGTTGGAGGCCGCAGAGGAGGTGGTTTGTGGAGCAGGCAGTTTACCAGGTGTGGAGGGTAATACAGGACTGTTACAGGTTGGTGATATGCAGTTTACATCCTCCAGGAAAACTGAGGAAGTTGCTGCCTTATTAACCCCTGAGGAGTCAAGGAGCAGGACGCGGAGGCAACAGCAGGTCAAAGAAGCGGAACCTGGGGAGGTGACCACCGAGGAAGATGAGGAGGAGGAGGAGGAAGAAGAAGAAATGGAAACATGGGTGAGCACACGGCAGCTCAGATCTCACAAGAATAAGCGCCTTTTCATACCATTATCGCCACCAAGATACGAGATGCGAAGTGAGTTTGAGCAGATGACCATTTTGTACGATATATGGAACACAGGGTTAGATTTTGAGGACATGGTCTTCCTGAGAGACACCTATGAGAAGCTTCTGCAAGAAGACCACAGCACGGACTGGCTGAATGACACCCACTGGGTGCATCATACAAATATCCTTTTATCATGGCTGAGCCAAGTGGTGGTTGTGCGGATAGAATGGCAAAATTCTTGCTAATGTCCATGGAACGTGTACACGGCATGTTTTGCATGTATGTTGCTTGGCTATTTGTTGTCTGAGAATTTTTACTGTTATTTTGTAGGTTTTTTTTTTTGTTTTGTTTATTTCCTTAACTTTTTCTCACTCACCAATATTGCGGACCCAAAACGCAAAAAGAACCGACAGGACGGGCTGCGGGAGCACCAAACTGGCTGTGCGAGGAGTGAGGGCTATTACGCCATCAGCAAGAAGGATAAGGACAAGTATCTGGATGTGTTCCCCGTGTCCGTGCAGGAGCTTGACGCAGACACACAGGTCAGTCGGGAACTGTACTGTTAATGAGAACTCTAGAGAATCAGGTTTCTGTCACAAGGGATCTGGTCTACTTCTCTCCCATTAAAATGAGGTTCGTGTTTCTTCCTCTTCTCTAACAGGGCACAAACAGAGTGCTGTCAGAGCGTCGTTCGGAGCAGAGACGCTTGCTCAGTGCCATTGGCTCCTCCTCCCTGTTGGACAGCGACTTATTGAAACTCAACCAGCTAAAGGTAAGACCTGGTTGTGATTTCAGTGTTTTGACAGCAGAGGGCGCTGCTGCGCTAGAAAATTGTGCAGTCTCTGCTGGTCACTGGGTATGATCTGCAGGAAGCTTGTAGTCTGTCTTGCTGCATGTGTTTCAGGATCTCTCAGTAATCATCAGATACAGGTTGCCATTAATGTGTGTCCTGGCATCCTGTCTGTGTGATTGTAAGCCTCTCTTTTGCCTTCACTTGTTCTCCACATAATAGATGCATGTGGGTGCTGAGAGCAACATAAAGTTCAAGGCAATTACCCCATAATAAATAGCTGTACTGTCTCACTCTGTGTGATGGGGGTTCTCTGCCTGGGTAGCACTGGCTGACACAGAAGGACGCCATGTTTTAATGTTTAGACTGTTCCGCCTCTGTGTCTGGTCTGGGTGACTATAGTGGTCTGTTCAGCAATGGATGTATAATTTATCATAGGGATTAATTCTATAGTCCACTGCTCTTTGCATTATTTGGCAGCTGTTTTCCTCTGGGCTAGTGCTGTCATGGTCACAAAGATTTATTAAACTAAATAAATGCCCACTGATGACTCCCATCTACCTCTTACTAGTTTGGCCCTTTATGGGAACGCTTTGACCTTGATGTCGACACTGCTCTTTCATATCCTGGTTATCCCTCCTTTCGAGTTTGAGGCCAACTTTTCCAAACTGCCTGATCCTCCTCTCTGGAGGAGGGGTTGGGGGAGGACTTACATGGTCCACACGGAAACAGGGCCTCTGTAGCTATTGGATGCCTGTCAAGCGTGGTGTGTGTGCTGATTACAGATGTCCAGTATGCACAGAATTGATATTGGCCAGTCCGGAACTCTTGTTCTAGCTAGTGATGCTGCCGGAGGTGAAGTTACACACGGGTTAAACTCTGTACGTGCTGTGTTTCAAAGTGAAATACTCCAAGCACCACAACCACTTCAAATAATTGAAGAAACTCTTTATTGTAGATCATGCAGGATATATTACATAACATTCAAATGGTTCTTGTGTAGTGTATGATTAGTATAAGATGTGTGCCCTTTGCTATCTGTGATCCCCATAACATTTATCTGCCTTTACAGTTCCGGAAAAAGAAGTTGCGCTTTGGGCGCAGTCGTATTCACGAATGGGGTCTGTTTGCCATGGAGCCCATAGCTGCTGATGAGATGGTGATAGAGTACGTGGGGCAGAATATACGACAGGTGAGTGAGATCTGTCTCAACAGCAGCTCTGCCAGGGGGTTAAGCGTGATGAAACAAGATGGCCATTACTCTTGCACAGGATAGTATTGAATTAAAGGGACCAATGCTACCTCAGAGCCACGGAGGAAAACCTGGATTGTATATTTAAAAGTACTGCAACAATCCATCTATTATTGTATGCAGCTGATTCCTATCTCTGCTAAACGCAGATCTGTGCCTGTAAGTGCTCTGCGAAATTTGGTGTTTCAGGGATCCACAATGAGAGTTAGTAAAATACCAGAATGTTTATGATCCAGCAATCCAGGAGTTTTCAGCAGAGTACAGTTCATGGTCGTTGTGACCTTTCCTCCCTGTCATGTTCAGGGTTACCAGCTCCTCGTTATCTGTGAGAGTCTTCTCTGTAGCAATATCCACTGATAAAACAGTTGATGAGCCAACACTTTGCATGCATTCCCTGGGAGTATGTTTACTGCCTCGCATGACTTTACATCATACAGATAACACTGAGCACAGATACGGTTAATACTGTCAAAGGTCACGGTCTCTTGCAGATTAGAGCAGAGGGGAAAAAGCTTTTGTATGTGCACAATTCCTATGATCCATTCCTCACCCAGTCTTTAGATGACCAAACTCTGCTTCAGACACATTGACTGGCAGTTAAACAGACACTTTATATCTACCTGCAGCGTATCCATTATTTCCAAAGATATACGTACTTACTGACTCCTGAACCAACTCCAGGTAACCTGGCATCAGCAGGTAGCCTGTGAAACAGGATGGGGAACAAACCATTCCAGCTGTATCATTACATTGATTGCATTTAGAAACTTTATGAAAATTGAATAAATTCAGTTTTATTTATTTACTTTGGTTGAACAACAACATTTCCCTCCCATGTACGACCCCAATATCCTCATGTCTTCTCCCATTGTGTGCCCTGTCTTCCCTACAGGTGGTAGCGGACATGCGCGAGAAGAGATATTCTCAGGAGGGAATCGGCAGCAGCTATTTGTTCCGTGTTGACCAAGACACTATTATTGACGCCACCAAATGTGGAAATTTGGCTCGATTTATAAACCACTGTTGCTCGGTGAGAATTAGGAGGAGAGGAGATATTTTCTGTCCATGGTAGACCTTATATGGCACCCATATTATATGTTCTATATAAAAATCAAATGTTCACACCTTAAACCAATCACAGTACCCTTATATAGATACATGCTAATTATTACAGTGTTATTTCGCACCTTTAAAAGTCAGGGTTGTTAGAGGTGCAAGGTTGGGAGATGACTTTCCTGGTGATTGGTTTACTTTGTGGAATACTGGCACCTCTCACATAGTCTCCACACAGTCGAAACATTTTGACACCAAAAGAACTTCCCTGAGACGCCAAGTACAGAAATGTTCCTGATAGGAATCTTCTTAGCCTCACTCCACAGTTTGCATAGACTAGCTTTTTTTTGTTTCTATATGCATTTGACAGCATGATTGTTAGCCATTAAGAATAACTATATAGTGCCGAGAGGGAGCACTGCACATGGCATGTGATAAAAATGTACCCATAGATTTTCATCATTTTATTTGTGTTTTGTATTGGTTTGTGTATTGTTTTTTGTGTGTGTTTTGTTTTCTTTGGCAGCCATAACTCTGTGAACACTGACCAATCGTGGTACAAGTTGAAGCCCTGTGTTATTTTGTTTGTGTTTTAACTGTATCTGCTCTTCCATTCCAGCCCAACTGTTACGCCAAAGTGATTACCATCGAGTCTCAAAAGAAAATTGTCATCTACTCCAAACAGCCGATTGGCGTTAATGAGGAAATTACGTACGACTACAAGTTCCCAATTGAAGAGAACAAGATCCCCTGCTTGTGTGGGACTGAGAACTGCCGGGGAACGTTGAATTAACCCTCTAGACAACCGTCTCTCTCTGCATGTGCCTAATTGTACTTAGGCCAATGGCGCCCATTTTGGTGACCGAAGGATGGCAAGCATAGCCTGTCTCTGGCATGTGTACGTGGGGAGAATGGGAGTAGGTGTGAAGACCAGTAAGGAATGTGGCCCTGGAACCATGCCCAGTGATGTGCTAGGAACAGGGGCTGCAGTCTAGATTTTCTTTTTTTTTTCTCTGATCCAGAAAGGTGTCAGCTTGGCCTGTTTATGGCACTTTAGCAATGTCACCCATGCACATCCCCTTATACCATCCTGTCGTCCGTCTCTGGAGGCACATGCATATATATAGATAGAAATATGTGTGTACATTTTTCCTTTTTTTCTTTCTTTTAATTATTTTAAAGCCATTGATTTTTGGCCACTTTTTATATATTTTAGACATCATTGTTCATTTATTCCTTTATGGGAGTATGTTTATTTATACAGGGCTGCGGCAAAAAAAACAAAACAGACCAATCTTTACCCTGAATCTGAAGGTTTGATATTCCAACCAAAAGATTTATTTTCCTCCATTCTAACACTAGTGGGTGTCAGTATGACGCAACCTCCTTTTAAAGGGACACTATAGTCACCTGAACAACTTTAGCTTAATGAAGCAGTTTTGGTGTATAGAACATGCCCCTGCAGCCTCACTGCTCAATCCTCTGCCATTTAGGAGTTAAATCCCTTTGTTTATGAACCCTAGTCACACCTCCCTGCATGTGACTTGCACAGCCTTCCATAAACACTTCCTGTATAGAGAGCCCTATTTAGGCTTTCTTTATTGCAAGTTCTGTTTAATTAAGATTTTCGTATCCCCTGCTATGTTAATAGAGTGCTAGACCATGCAAGAGCCTCCTGTATGTGATTAAAGTTCAATGTAGAGATTGAGATACAATTATTTAAGGTAAATTACATCTGTTTGAAAGTGAAACCAGTTTTTTTTTTTTTCATGCAGGCTCTGTCAATCATAGCCAGGGGAGGTGTGGCTAGGGCTGTATAAACAGAAACAAAGTGATTTAACTCCTAAATGACAGTGAATTGAGCAGTGAAATTGCAGGGGAATGGTCTATACACTAAAACTGCTTTATTTAGCTAAAGTAATTTTAGGTGACTATAGTGTTCCTTTAACTCCTTATCCATGCTTTGGGTGAAGGGTAAAAGCATCCCACCCCACCTCATCATTGATGTCCTAGAAATCTATTTCCTGCTATTTCTATGCTGATTATCAGCGCAATATATAGTACATTTTGGGTCCTTTTTTAGTTTGAGTTCACAATCTCTGGCTATTGAGACAGGATTTTTTGCATCCCCTGTATTTGTATATTAATGTGACTTCTTGTTTTCTTACCTGTATATACAAACACACCGTTCCCTGATCATATGTAAATATAAAACTGACTTTGGTTTTTAGGATTCACGCCCTTATGCCTGGAGACACTAGGCTTGAAACCTTCTAGGTAAATACAGTAGAGAGGCGAGGGACTCTGGTCACAGAATGCCGCAGGGTAAACCTAATGTCCTAAACCAGATTGCCATCTCCAAGTGTTGGTGTAAGCATTCTGAAAATGGCCGCCCAGCCGACCCCTAGGCCTCACGCACTTTTAGTTCCAATGCTGATACGTTGTTCTCTATAAAAACAGCAACGTATAGTGATACATTGTATGTTTCTGAACTCGCTAGGTGATCGTCTGCTTGCCTAGAATCATATGAATTTGTCAGTAACTAGAGTTCGATACATCACAGCTAGTGTATTCGGTATAACTATACACTGCAATTTTTTTATAACTTTTTTTTTTTAATGAAGAATGCTTTTATTTATTTGGATAAACATTGAGATTTGATGTTTTTTTTTTCTTCTTTTAGCCATTTGAGTTTAAAAGGTCATTATTTTCTCTACCTTGCACTCAAAGTGATAACTCTTTAGTGAAGTCAAAATTGTGCCACTCAGCATCCCAGAATCCTCCTCTCCCTGTACCATGTGTAGCACCTGACAGCAGGTGACATGGTTACAAATGAATCCCCTGCCCTCAACGTAATTGTTTAAAGTGACTGTTTTAGAATTTTCTATAAGCGTGTGTGTAGTATATACCTATATGTGCACACGCACACCACTTCTAAGCAATGACGTTCTTCTACATCGAGCTGTAAACTATCTGTTTGTTTTACAGGACCCGCAGTACATGGGCCCCTTTGTGCTACCATATTTTGCCTTGTAGATTGGGGGACAGAGAGAGGGATGGTTTGCTAGGGATCAGGCCTAGGAAAGGGTCCATTTTTTGGGGTGGAGGGAGGCAGGCCTGAAAATGTTGTATATTCTGTATATTAACAGCTTTGTTTCTTGTAGAAACATGAGTTTATTACATATATTACACTGTGTGTGTGTGTATTTTTATTTCGGAGATCACAGTGGGGGTGGTGACTAATAAACTGCAAAGAGGTGGTTCTGCAATGAAACAAGGGATTCTGCTCTGTGTGTTAAGTGATTACTTATCAGACAAAAGCACTTGATGCTTCGTTCAGGGCCGTACAATGAGCATGTTGCCTACGTGTTAACTCTCTCAGTGCCACTTCCTTCCAGCTGTGCTTCTCTGTGTCTGTTTGACAAGTATTTGTAAGCTGTGCCCTATCACCTACGTTAATATGTTTATTCAGTAATCTAAGATCTCTGTTAAACGTTGCTGTAGGGTTCTGGCATGGCCACTTGTTTGTTTGTTTTTTAGGGGTCGGGCAGGGGGGATAACCTTTAAGTGAATTTTACTATGTAAAAGACAGTGTGCTTTGTGATAACTAGTATCATAACATTTTTAAAGGCTGAAAAAAAACACATTAGCCGTTCCAGGAAATCAAGGACAAAGTTATAAAATGGAGTAATTGGCAGGCGTATCTATTGGGCTCGAGAGGTTACACCAGCTCAATGTCTCACATTAACGCACTGTTTAAAAGGACTGTACCCACAGTAACCAATGAAGTTCAATAAATTATGACTGTTTACTGTGTTACAGGTTAGTGTAGTGGTTATGGTTAATAGTGTTTTGTTTCCACTTGCCGTCCCACAGTTTTTTGTGAAAACGTACACACAGAGAATACCCTCTCCTCTGTTTACATTTCCACTTTTTTTTAATGTCAGTTCTGCCCAACGTGGACTTCTGTAGTTGGCTGAGAGTGACAGGGTGACCGTCCAAGCTGGTATTGTGTCATGTACACTTTCTCGCTATCAATAATGCTGGATAGGGGTGGGAGGAGAGCCCTGGCTTTTGTCAGCCCACGCGTAAACGGTTTGATAAAAATCTGTGAGACAGCTCCCAGAGAATCTGTACTATAACCACTTTACCAAGCTATACCAATACAATAATTTGGACAGGTAATATACTGCATAGACTGATTCTTTGAAAAGAGATTTCCCAGTTTTAACGTTATTGGGGAAACAAACAAAGGAATGCTTAGTTGGGTTTCCTTCATATTGTTACTCAGATTCTTTATCAAGGATTCGTAGACCCTTCTAAACGTAACCTAATTAATTAATAAACAATCACGCTAGATTTCTATCATTTAAAGCACCACCTGTCTTTCCTGGAAAAAAGAGCTCCCAGTATTGAAATAATATTCCATTTAATCACACCGTTAAGAATTAAAATCTTTAGTAAGCACATGCTGACTTTTTTCAGGATCCTGTCTGTTTGTGAGGCTGCAAGAGAGAAAGAAAAACAGGACTTTAAGTATTTTGTTGATTTTTCAAGACAGGTTAATCAAAGAACAAACATTGTACCTGTTTATCCACAGTAATCCCGTATGTAAATATCATAAAACTTTAAAAGTACAGAAGAGTTAACCTTGTACCTGCAATATAAATTCTCTTGGGTCTAGATTCTAGAACATGGTGCGTGGGGATTGAGAGACAGAACGAGATTTCTCCCCCTATCTAAAATATACATATATACACACACACATATATATATGAAAGAAGAGCCAGTCTCAGCAACGTGCCCGGTGTTCAGAGCACGTGGAGTCCATTCTCACAATCTTTGCCGCTTAGGCTTTTAAATTCGGCAGCGTGAAATGCTCAGATCTGGACTGCCAGTGTCTTATTTTGTCCTTATTGTACATGTGGCGTACGCAAGACAGAAGGCTTTACGTTCCCCAGAGAAAAGACCAAACCGTGGACTGTGCATGCTCAGCTGAGCAACTGGGCTGTATAATATTATTATTATTATTTATATAGCGCCAGCTTATTCCGCCGCGCTTTACAATAAGTAGAATTTACCAAATGAGACAATAAAATGGAACAGGAACAATAGGTAGTTGGGGACCCTGCTCAAACAAGCTTACAGTGTAGAGGATAAACTGATAGTCACAACATAACTGATACATAACAGACACAGGTAAGTTGTCAAACTGTACTAAATGGTTTGATTAATTAGCGTGGGATGACTACAGTGGGCTGTAGTGATTACCGTGCCCGGAGTGTTTTTTTTTTGTTTTTTTTAAGTCTGATAAATGTTTGATAGATGAATGAAGTCTATTTAATAATAAACTGCTTTGTGTATTTATCCTTGTATAAAGAAACAACTAATATAACAGAAGACCGCGAGATGGGTAAAAATTTTAAAAGTTGTGGGAAAGTTCAATGAATGCGGATAGCCTTCAGAGAGCAGTAAGGCTGGATTTTATCTAATGAAACTTTGGATCTATGCAGCAAGTCACACAGTGTTGCTGTCAATGTAATCATGGAATTTAAAGGGACACTGTATGCACTGTTGGTGCTGTATCTCATTAAAGTGGTTATAGTGCCTGGAGTACCCTGGTGGCTTCCTTTTTGCTCAGTGTTAATGTTTTAATGCTAAATGAGTCTCCAGCAGCCCATCCACTCTGTAGTGTTTGGGTTAACAAATTGGCTTGAACAGCAATAGTTGGTTGTGATTGGCTGAGAGTGTCAGCCAATCACAGCACCCATTGCTGGTATCAATTAGTATGGCTAGAAGGAAGTGTGTAATTGCTGCCTTAGCCACACCTCCAGCGGAGGCCGGGCTGTGAGAAACCAGGGAACCTCATTTAGTGTTTAAACTGATTGAATGGAGGGACAGGACTTGAGAACTCCAGGCACTATAAACACTTTAATGATATGGTTATAGCACCTGCAGTGTCCCTTTCAATAACTTTCTTTTGCCTTTCTTATAATCCTCATAATGTTTACAGACCAAAATACAATGGGCCTCCAGAAGATCTCCTTAGAACAATTTCTCCTGCGTATATTAGAGTTTCAGTGCATTAAAATAAAGTTAAAAAAAACCTACATTTGAGTTTCTTGCATTTGCTGCAAATCCACAAGCGTTGCAGCTTTTGCCGTACGTATTGTCCAGAGCAGGAACGAACAGCCAATCCTTGTGTTTTCTTACCTTTTATAGCACTGATAAGTGTATTCAGTAAGAAGCGATTTATGGGCACAAGAGTTCTGGGAATTGTAGCAATTGTGTCGTAGTATTAAGACAAGTTGTGATATATCTGCTTACACAACAGGACGGAGGCTATGCATCCAGACAATTAGTTTCATAAGATAATCGCTTCCTTTTTCCTTTCAAAGTTTGATGAGGTACATATTTGAGAATCTGGTTGGTAAAGTAGTCGTTATGAAACAAGTCTGCGGTGAGAATGACAATGTGATTGTGGGGAAATGAATGGAGAACAAACAACCAGCTCGGAATGTGAGATAGATATATATACGCTGGACGGTACGATATTTCACCCTGATATAAAACATAATTCACGTTCTATTATCTCTGTTTCCCGTCTCAGGCGCATACATGAGTTGCAATGTATATATTCTGCATGTAGAACAAAATGTATTTTTGATGTGCATGTATTACATTCGCTTGACTGTAATGCCACAACAGCTTTCTTAGGTAATATAAACATACAAGAGTTTTAACTGTTGTTAAGCCTTTAGAAGGTACGCACATATTTTTTTTTTTAAACTATAAATGATAAAACCGGCTGAGTACATGCTGGCTGTCTAAAATGAATTATTCAGACGTTTGGTAACGGTAGCTTAAGGTTATTAAGTGCAGTAATCATCGTTGCTTTAGCTTCGGGCCCTAGGTATGATTACGCTTAAACAGGCTGTCTAACTAGTCATATCCTACAGTTGATTATCAGTTAGGTCACATATCAGACATTGTGTCAGTCACTAGGTAAGTCGCATTAATGTGATGGGTAATTATGCTAATTCAAATCCAGAATTTGTAGTAATAGTGAAACAAAGATCACCCATGCTTTTACAATTCTAACTAATGACAGTTCTCTAAAGACAGGCTGGTAAGGTCAACAAGATGGTCGCTCCTGTTCACAATGTGGTCTATGGGCATGCTTTTGGGTGTAGTATACCCCCAGGCAGCAGATCTCGTACGTGAATGGCACAGAGTCCCTGAGGGTGAGATGGTGGAAGACAGGACAGTCCCTGTAGTAAAAAGTCCCTTGTTAAGTGAGTAGAGACGTCCTCTGCAGCTGCTGATTTGTTATATCAGGGAGCCCAGTCTGCTGCCAGTCGCTGGGTGCTGGGTAAGTTCTCTGCTATGTTTCTTTCGCATGTGAGGATCTCCTCGACATCCGTGATTTGGGTGATGGCTCTATTGCTTTTCCACATGCTGGTTTGCCCCCCAGTGCGGCGGTGGTTGCGGGTGGCTGATGCCTCTGTGGGGCGTCTTGTTTCCCTGCTTGGAGGAGGGAGGAAGTACCGTAGCCCAGCGGGAGACCTCTGAGGGTCCAGTGTTAGTGAAGGTGAGTGGCTTGCTGGTCTAGGACGTGTGCAGGTGGATGGTTGCAGTCGGGATCTGTACCTTTGGTATCTACAGTCCACTCGTTGTACTGCAGATGTTGGGAAGTATCCTGTGGAGGCTCTGGTCTTGCTGCCTTCACATGTGGCCTCCACCATCTTGGTGACAGTGCCAGGTGTGTGGGTCTTGGCGGCCCTGTAGCTTCGCCTGTCATGCTTGCGATGGTCGGGTCCCGAGAGTGGGGGCCGGAATCACCCCCCCAGTCCAGGGAGGGTGACTGGACCGGTTCCCCGCGGGTCTGACTCTGATCGCTGAACAGCGTGCGGCAGGGCAGTGGCCGTCCGCCCCGCTTACCTCCGGAGTAGGCCTCAAAAGTGTCAGGTAGGATTCCTCCTCCAGGGGACTGAAGCCTATTGGGCCAGCCTCACCCTGGATCCAGGGCTCCCTGCCGGCTGAGGGTCACCGTTGCCGGTCGGTTTTGTGCCAGAAATCGTAATTTTATTGCTTGTTGGGCCTTAGGTTGCAGGAGCTGGTCTTACTTGCGACCATCCAGCTCGGTGGTCCAGCCCTGCCCCCCCCCTCCAAAAAAAATTATTTTTTATATATTTTAGTTTAGGTCTACTCCTTAAAACCCACCCTTTCTGTCCTTTATCAACTTGCAGTGTTGGCCTTTTTACTGCTGGACCACTGCTGTATGTGACATCATGAATTAAATGTCTGGGTATTGTAGATCACCCGTCAGGCACTGGAGAATGGGAAGAAAAATTGGCTTGCAGACCATTTTGCAGGAAGCGAAACGATTAGGATGTGAATAATGTTTTAGATCCAGTTGAGATATCATACCATACCGCCCATACTTACATTGGGTGCTGTTGGCTTGCTCTCAGAAAATTTGTTTCCCCACAGTTACATTGTCACGCTCACCGCAGACTTGTTTCATAAGGATTGCTTTACGAACGAGATTCTCATATATGTACTTAATTAAACTTTGCTATGAAAAGAAAAAGGAAGTGATTATCTTAAAAAAAACAAAGTTAGAGAATCGTGTACTAAAGTTTTGAGTGCTGTTTCAATGCGTAACCTCTGTCCTGTTCTATAAGCGCTTTTTTTTTATCGATAAGTTAAAAACGTCCTGTAGGGTTCTCACTGTATAAAACAGGGGTAGTCAGAACTGGAATTTCCGCCTAGTGTTTAAAACAAATAATAAATTGTGTATAATCATATTCCATTGGGTATCACAACCAATCGCAGGCCAGAGAGAATTAAAGTCCTGGTCCGTACCTGTAAAATGCACAGATGTGTATGAAGTAATGTAAGCCCCCATGTTGCAATAAAAGTTACAAATGTTCTATAATGTGTTTCAGCCTTTGCCCTAGTTATAGGCTGATGGTACAGAAGGCCAAAGTTTCTGAGAATTTGATTTGCAATCTCACAAAACTTCCTGTTGGTCTTGCATTGCAATCTCACAAACCTTGGTCAATCTTTTTCACACAAAACCTTAAACGTCCACGTGTTTCTTGCTCTTATTGTTCGTTAGTTTTTATCATCTCCACCAGCTTCCTTGGGCTTCTTGGACATGAGCCTACATTGTCTCAACCAGATTTCTGGAGCTCTGAAATGAAGCCTTAGTTGACCCAACTTTTTTTGCTGTCAATTATTTTATTGAGGTTTTGAGAAAACACAAGATATATAGACATTTGAGTAATGCATGTTACAGTATAGAAGAGCAATATTGAACAAGATGACAAAAATGTTTTAAATTTTTTACTTAATGGTCACGAAAATGATTGCTGCATAGTACTGAGATGATCACATATTACAACAATAAAACTGACAGCTATAGAGATAGCTATTCATATAAGATAATTAGGAATTGCTTAGCAGTGTGAAAAAACTATATAAAAGCGGTACACACAAATAATAAAAAAATTAGTTATAAATGGGAGCAGCTACAAACCCACTATAGCGACTTGATGAATTATAAACTCAGAATAAGTAATTGGGTATAGGCGCTAATAAGAATAAATCTAAAAAATAATTATCAAATCCTTTTATTAATAACCACATATAAAAGATTATTAATAAGCAAAGGGCTGTTTCCAATACCAATGTGAAATCGTAACAATGAAATCAAATATATCGCAATAAAGTGCAACAATATGTATCACTAAATATATCCACCTATTAACTTCACTAAACAGTTGCCACTGGAAGTCTAAAATCCAAGATACCATGTGGTAGAAAGAGGTAGAAAACTCACATTTAAAAGAGCTATGGCCAGCTCTGGTGTGAAGGGTGTATGGTTATGGTTATGTTATATTGTATATTTTAAAACAATAAAAGTATTGTATTTTATATACACTTTTTTAATATTTCCTGGCATTTTATAATTCCTGTACTCAAAGAAAATCCCAGGTGGGGATCATACTTCCAACGCCTTACGATAGAGCAGTGTTTCTGTTCTATGCCTGTGAGTATAATTTTATCTTCTTTTATTCACAATTTTATCACAATTGAGAGCACTATTGTTACTTTTTTATTCCCTTTTGGAGCCTTGGAAAACCGGACGATGTTGACGGACGCATTTTCTCTTCATGTCCCATAACGTGGGGTGATCCCGCTGTACGCCCTTCACACCATAGCTGGCCATATGAATCAACATTTCCTAAACTTAGAGTGTGGAAAACTGCCCGCAAACCTTTCATTCTTCATACACTGTCCACTGCATCTGATCATTAAATACGATGCTGTAAAGTTACAGAATTAAACACGCACTGGCTGTAATGACTCTGGGTGCAGCACCATAACACGGGATGTAGTGTTTAGTGACTTTAATTGCTGAGAATTGTGGGAGTTACTGATTGTGCCGGGATATTCATAGGCGAGAATAGTTGGGAATTCAAAGTGATTTTCAGATCTAAGGTCCAAATGGCCAACCTGGAAGTGTAGCTGACCTGGGGAATTTTTTCCGGTTAATATATTTTGATTGTAATATTAAGTTCACTTTGGATTCCTGAGACTGCTCACATTTGTGCTGACGTTGTGTTTTCCGGCGTGGTTGTGGGATCCAATGACTGGCTGTTATTTATACCTTTAGTATTCTACCATACAAGCAGAACAAGGAGCAGCTCATTAAAAGAAATCGGTTTAGATGACCCAGAAGTTTTATTTTTATATTATGCAGTCTGAAACTCTATTACATAAAAAAGCTATAGTTTATAGTTTAATAAAGCACACAAAAATTAACGCGGTGCCCTCTATATCTGTGCTGACGCCACAAGGACCATGTAGAGATCACGTCAGCAGTGCTCTGTGCAGGGTCGGTGCCGAATGGTGCCAGCAGCGAAGGTGCCAGTCAGCCTGCTGTATGAACGGCCAAAATTTTAAATTCTAATTAGAGGGTGTCGGCACCTGTAGAAGCCATGCCATCTTTCTAATTGGAACTGCCCGTTTTAGGCATCGCCAGTGAAACAAGTTAAGATCCCAAGAAAAAAAGATTAATTTGAGTTATAACGGTTTTATTAAAATAACAAGCCACATGCCTAAAAAGTGCAGATTTCTATAAAAAATCTCGATGCCAGCGAGGGACAAAGGACAGTTAATCCAGAGAGTTATAGTGGTAGTAGAAACAGGCTTGTGAGAAGACCAGGAGTTGCCCATACACGAGAGACGATGGGAAGCTGTAGTTTCTACATAGCAGAGCAGAGTAGAGATAACATAAAGGTTTGGAATATCATGAGAGAAAAAGTATAAAATGGAAGCCAGGTCAAGTTGTGCTCCTGAAGAGATTGAAAGGATCTGCTTTACATAAAAACACACGCCTGCAGTCAAATGCCAAAATTATATACAAACACATCCCTTCATTAAAACATCGAAACTAAAAGCTATCACTATATACAAACACACCCCTTCATTAAAACATCGAAACTAAGAGCTATCACTATATACAAACACACCCATGTATTAAAATGCCAAAAAAATATTTAAAAGCTAACACTAAATACAAACACACCCCTGCATTCAATTGCAAACATTACATAGAAGTACACCACTGCATTCTAAAGGCAACAATACATACAAATACACCCCTACACGCACACACACACTCCATACAAAAACACGATTACATTCAAACACACAAACGCTGCTCACAAATACAAGCTTGCAAGGACTGGCAAATGGTAGATCCCCAGCTGCTATGGCATTGTGGGAGTTGTGCGATAGATGAGAGCAACACAGCGCAGAGCCAGCAGCTCCCAGCCTGCACAGAGCCAGCAGCTCCCAGCCTGCGCAGAGCCAGCCGCTCACAGCCTGCACAGAGCCAGCAGCTCCCAGCCTGCACAGAGCCAGCAGTTCCAAGACTGGACAGCGCCAGCAGCTCCAGAGCCAGCAGCTCCCAGCCTGCGCAGAGCCAGCCGCTCCAGCCTGCACAGAGCCAGCAGCTCCCAGCTGCAGAGCCCAGCCCTGGACAGCGCCAGCAGCTCCAGCCTGTGCAGAGCCAGCAGCTCCCAGCCTGCGCAGAGCCAGCCGCTCCCAGCCTGCAGCAGAGCCAGCAGCTCCCAGCCTGGACAGCGCCAGCAGCTCCCAGCCTGCAGCAGAGCCAGCAGCTCCCAGCCTGCACAGAGCCAGCAGCTCCCAGCCTGCACAGAGCCAGCAGCTCCCAGCCTGCACAGAGCCAGCAGCTCCCAGCCTGCACAGAGCCAGCAGCTCCCAGCCTGCACAGAGCCAGCAGCTCTCAACCTGCACAGAGCCAGCAGTTCCCATCCTGCTCAGAGCCAGCAGTTCCCAGCCTGGACAGCGCCAGCCACTCCTAGCCTGTGCAGAGCCGGCAGCTCCCAGCCTGCGTAGAGCTAGCAGCTCCCAGCCTGGACAGCGCCAGCAGCTCCCAGCCTGCCCAGAGACAGCAGTTCCCAGCCTGCTCAGAGCCAGCAGTTCCCAGCCTGGACAGCGCCAGCCGCTCCCAGCCTGCGCAGAGCCGGCAGCTCCCAGCCTGCACAGAGCTAGCAGCTCCCAGCCTGGACAGCGCCAGCTGCTCCCAGCCTGCGCAGAGCCAGCAGCTCCCAGCCTGCACAGAGCCAGCAGCTCCCAGCCTGCACAGACAAAGCAGTTCCCAGCCTGCATAGAGCCAGCAGTTCCCAGCCTGGACAGCGCCAGCAGCTCCCAGCCTGCACAGAGCTAGCAGCTCCCAGCCTGAATAGAGCCAGCAGCTCCCAGCCTGCACAGAGCCAGCAGCTCCCAGCCTGCACAGACAAAGCAGCTCCCAGCCTGCACAGACAAAGCAGCTCCCAGCCTGCATAGAGCCAGCAGCTCCCAGTTTGCATAGAGCCAGCAGCTCCCAGCCTGCACAGCCAGGCTGCTTTCCCTGCCTCCAATATCGCCTGTATAGCGTTGTCTACTGTGCCATACTGCAGGGAGAATTCGTTTGACAGTATTAGTGTGTTGAGTCTAGGTGTGACAACAGAATGAGGAGCCGATAGGTCTATGATCAAGCGTTTTTATTTCTGTACTTCCCTGTGGCGATACCTATAGGATTGGTATGCCAGCAGGTGAACGGGGGAGTATGGAATGGCCCGATCATGAAGTCTTTCTGGACTTCGTTGTGAAGGAGTGTATCCACTGTGGTGGGGTCTAAAGTTGCCGACTGTAGGTTGTTACACTCAACAAGCGTACCTATGGAAAGTGCAATTATCCCAGTGTGGAACCATTTGGTGAAGCCCGTGATAAGGAAATTGACCAGGTGCAGGGATGGGTGAGTGACGAGGTAAAAGGCTAGTGTAGCAACCTGTACCTCCGTTAGTCATTTTTGGGGGAATAGACAATTAGGGCACATTGTTTTGGCATAGGCTCTAAAGCAGATGGCACAGGCATGCAACAACCTGCAGGCATTGAAACTGCAACCGCTCCCATTGAAGTTGTTGCATACCTTTGCCTTCCCCAGAAAGACTATCGGTCTATCTAGTTTGTCCCTTAAAACCTCTTTGTCCAAATGTGCTGGTGCTTGGTGTACTATAGCTGGTAGTGGGTAAACTGGGTTTGATGGGGCACAAGTTGGTAGTGTGGGAATTAGACAAGCAGATAGCACGAGCCGGTAGAATGAGCCCAGCAAAGTGGCGGCAGAATAACTCGGTGTCCATGTGGCTCCAGTTTATCCTTATATTAAACTGAGCAAATGTAGCCGCCACTTTAGCCGAGAAGGACTTGTGATAGTCGTAAAATGTAGTGCCACCGTACTTGTTACCCAAGTCTACCAACTTGTGCATGTATAGGTCTAACTCCTCTCTGCGTTGTGGGAAATTAAAGCGGATAATATCTCTGTAGAGACCGAAGGCTAGCACGAAGTCTGGGATGGACAGTGTTTTGTCCAACCTGTGGTCTTTAGCCTTAAGTACCACAGACACGTCACCGTAGTTGTACGTCTTGTTGTCAATTATGTCTTGGGACACTATCAGGAGTAACATAAGATTCACATCTTTACCCTCTAATATATCTTTTTTTATATTGGGTGGGACCATGTGTGCAGGGGTGATTATGTGCGTGTCTGACCCCTATGCAGGTTGTGTGAAAGTGGCATTACCCTGTGTGGCTGCAATTAGTGCGGTGGTTGCGAGATCTGTGGAGTTCACGTTAGCTGGTGTTGAGGATTCCAGCTTCTTCATTCTCTGGTCTAGGTATTGATAGACGCCAGCATTGCTGACATTGTGGTTTGGATCCCAGCTAGAGTATCACCAATGCTGGCTTGCGAGCTAGGCCCAGGTAGAGGATTGTCTGAGTCAGCCATAAGTAACTTATACAGTTCCGCTTTCCTGGCGGCGGCTGGGTATAAAATTCCTCTACGCCTTAGTTCAGAGGCTATCTTTGGGGTTGTCCATGATCTCATAGGACAGGGGCTTGAAGTCTCTAAATTCTGGCTTATGGCGGTGGTTATGGTTGGAGTAGCTGGTCTGGCCCGAGTACTTGGTAATGAGAAATCCTCTCCTTGATCCGACAGGTGAGACATGCTATAAATGACATATGACAATGTATAGTAGTAACGTAGAGATTATTCTTGGGTTGTAACTTTATAAAGGCCAGATGGCGAAGAACTTAATTAAGTTTGGGGAGATGAAGCCCTGATAATTGCCAAGAGGCTGAATAGAGGCTCTATCTATGATTTGGTCCTGACTGTGCCATGAATTGATGGCGGGGTATATGCCTCTGAGCTGTGAATTGGAAGACAAAGGGGAGAAGAAGAGTGGTACTAACTACACCCCGAGTGGGGTGTGCGTGACTCTATCAAAGGATTGGGTTGTGGGGCGTACGGTACCTCCGTGTGAGGATGGTTATAAGTCTCGTTTGTGACAATCTATGTTCTGATCTTGGGTGACTTATCAGTTAATGGTGTTTGGGAAAAAGTAACCGGTGGGTGTGCGTACCTGTAAGCTAACGGAGGGTCTTATTCCGTGACGTAGTAAGTGAGCGAATAAACACAATTGTCTATGAGACCTAAAATAAACTTAACTTTATACACTGTACGGGACACTTGCAAGTTTTACCCCTGCATATGGTTTAACTATTTATGTGACATATCGATCGAAACTTACAGGTTTGTTCGTGGATTCGTAAACGTACGATAGTTTAGTGTACCCGTCTGTGTGGTAATAGTATTTTGTGTTGATAGCGGTTCATACTGAAAAGACATCGTATAAAGACAATATCTAAATTTAAGACCTACTGAATACTTTAATTCCTATATACGTAAATACATGATATATAGGATTTGAGATTATAATTTATAATAGTCAGGTAGTGAAAAGATCACAACCTGTAAAAAAAAAAAACATTTGCAAAGTGTACGGCAAACCTCAACTTTCACACTAAAATGTAACGACATATCTATTTTACCACAGCTAAAGTGGCAAAGCCCAACATATATTGCCTAAAACAAACAGCATAAACATTTTGGTGCCTGTTGTAGGCTTAATATTTCTAACCCTTGTGACTGTCATTAACGATTTCTGCCGGTAGATGGCGGTGTAGCTTTGAGACTCTGTGTATGAGTCATGTTTCGTACGTTTGTTCGTTTTGTCTGCTCCTTCGTGAGAGCTATGCATTCGTCTGAATCCTCAATGTGCATTAGTGGTTCGTGAACTTCATCTATATTGACTTTGATCGTATGTTTATTTTTTTTTCCATTCATATGAGTTTGTTCGAATTAATAGCCGTCCGTGTAATTGATCGTTCGTATGAATAGCTGTTCGCATGAATAGCTGCTCGTATGAATAACCGTTCGTGTGATTAAACATTCGTATGATAGCGGTATGTGTAGCTAGTCGTACGTAAAGTAACCGTTCGTGTATAGAGGCATTCGTACGTGTCGTGAGTAAGAACGTAATTCGTGGTTTGTACTCACTGTTTTAGGGTGCCTGACGGCTGACCCGGAAGTGCAGCAAGGGTACCGGGTACGCAGCGAAAAGGGAGTCCCAGTTGATGCAGCCGACAGGAGCGTATTTTCCTGGGGTCCAGGAAGCGCTGGTAGTCTGAAATAAACACAGGTAGGCCCAAGAAACCACGAGGAAGACTGGATCTGGAAAACTGGAAGCGGAAGTGACCAAATCGTCGTCAACCTGGTATGGAGGTAAGTCTGAGATTATATAGGCCAGATCATCCCCTCCCACAACTCCAGGCTCCGACTTCCCATATATATAACATAAAATAAATGTAAATTTGGTCAGTGGAGTGTCCCTTTATATGGCGTAATTTGCACAGAACTGATGGTTGCCTTTTGCTTTACTCATTTGGGAAATGTTGTGAATGAAATTGAGTTGCAAAATGTTGGTAAAACAACTAATTTAACCTAAATTTTGCAAACCAGTTTTCCATTCATCACGTTTCTGCTTAGTAAACAAAAACACTTATGTTCCCCCTCCCCCCTCCAGTAGACCGTGAAGATTATAACAACTGTGGCCTCTCTGCAGATCCAAATACTGTTTCTCTACAGATTTCTATCTTTCTGTAGATTTTGTAATACAGTTTTTCCATTCACTGCAACTCCATGGGACTCATTTAATAAAATAAAAACTTTGAAGAGGTGATGAGGGAGCTGCCTAATTACCAAACTGAAGAAAATTCCCAAATTAATATTTATAATTTCCAGTTTAATGAAAATACAAAACACTATATTGTTCAGGGAATACGTTTATAGAGGCGGTAATTTTGTAGGAAAAAAATTGCCTCTTTTAATGATATCCCAAAGCCACCACGTGAGTATATAATTACCATGAGAAGAGATGGTTTTTTAGAACATCTGTCAAGCGACGTAAAGGCTCCTTCATTCTGTGCCAGGAATTTTATGAAAAAGGAAACATGAATTACTCAAAGGAGCAGAAACGTGTATTAAGAAAACTTTAACTGTCACAGTTTCTACAGCCCAGCAACGTGTCCAACCATGGCGCCCCCTCACTTATTAACATGGTCTTTTACAGTAATGCTCACTGAAAGGGTTAACACAATGGTAACCGCATTTTGGGAAGATTAAAGTTAAAGAAACAGTAACAGTTAACAACATGCAGAGATAGCGGCACTCGGGGCAAAGATCCTGCTTAGACCCTCTCTCGCAGTCTTTCTTTCTCCCATTTTATTCATCCAAGTTTCTGTCCGTTTACACGTTTCTGTCCCTTTTCTGTATTATTATTATTACTGATATTTATAAAGTGCCAAGAGATTCCGCAGCGCTGTATACACATCTCTCTCCCTGCTCTTGTCTATGTTCCGGCCTTTGATCCAGGCTTTTAACCTGGCGATGTGGATTGGTGGTCATGGTACAAAGTGTCTATGGGTAGCATACTGTGTTGTATTTGTCATGATTTTTGGGAGCAGGTGAGAGACAGCCTGTTTATAATTATTATTTTATTATTTATATAGCACCAGCAAATACTGTAGTGCTGTACAATACAGGTCCAAAGCCAAGACGAGGTTCTATATGAGAATAACCAGCAGTCCCAGTGTCACGGGTTAATACTTTCTTAGAGGATAGATTGGCAGAATGTGGCCTACTTGCAGCCTGTGCATGATGGTCAACATATGAACTGAATACTGCGCCGTGGAAAGTCCCCATTGCTCCTTTTTCCATGTCTGGAATTTATGACTGTGAGTCTAAATCAGTCCATTGCTTGCTGTGTTTTTCACATATCGGTGAATGATTCCAGACTTGCTTTAACCCTTTTAGATCCAGAGAGGTGAACTATATGCCCATCACCATCTCGTAAACTTAATTACAAGTCTATCAATTGAAAACGAAATATTTATGAATTGAAAAAATAAATTATGTAAATCTGTCATTTGTAAAATACAGGCCCCAAAAAAGCTGATTTGGAAAAACTGTTTGGCAATATTTCAACACTGTGTTTCTGTTATAGCTGAATGTTTTCACAGTTGTTCTATGACAATGGTTTTTTGTGCATGAAGCCCACCGTATCTATTAGCCGACTCCATTTTATCACTGATCAAGCACTTCCATTGTGAGAGAGCATTCAGCCCCGGGAGATTCAGGAATTATTTATACAGTGATCACAGAGGAGGAACAGTTACCATGGAAACCTATAGAATGTCCTGCTGACTATATCCCAACATTTCTAACAGACAAAGAGTGTCACTTTAATTTTAGGGCTGTGGGTGGGAGTGTCGCCAAGGGCGGGGCTGTAATAATTTATAGCAAAAATGTAATTTATAAAAACAAGGTGTCTTATTTACACAGACTGATTTCTAAACACATTTATTGTAGTCTAAATTATTAGTAATACAAACATGTAGTGCTGGACTGTCTGGCCACCCTCATTAGTTACCTTTTTTTTTCATCAATGCGCTTGTTTTGCCCTGGCTGGCTCCGCCTCCATGGCTGATATCATCAGCCTTGCTGATCTCAGCCAATCCAATGCTTTCCCATCATTGGAAATCATTGGTAGTCTATTGAGCATGCGCGGCAAAACGCAATAATCAGCATCTTCTTATAGAGATGTATTGAATCAATGCATCTCTATGGAGGCATTCATTGTCTCCATGCAGAGTGTAGAGATGCTAAACGTAGGTCCTGCATAGACTGCCAGACCTAACCAGGAAGTCTCTCTAATAGCTGTCTGAGTGACAGTCACTAGAGGTGTTACTAGGCAGCAATGTAAACACTGCCTTTTCTCTAGAATTGCAGAGTTTACATTGCTAAAGCTGCAGGAACAGGATAAAGACATCAAAACCACTACTTTAAAAGCTATAGTAGTTCTGGTGACTATAGTGTTTCTTTACTGTGAGTATTATTACTGTGGAGCTCTGTTATACACTCAGACACACCAACAATAGAGGGACATTGGTAGAGAAAAGAAGGACAGAGGGATTTGGGTCAAAAATAGGGACAGTCCCTGCTAAATAGGGTCTCTTGGGAGATATGCTGCTGAATGCTTGGCCCACTCTTTACATGTCTGGCCCAAGTTCCTCTCCTTGTTGTGTCCTTCACCAGTTCTGGCCAGTGATCTGCCTAAAATCTTTACCCCTCTCTTTGTAGAGCGAACGCTACAAGGGGTGGAGGGAAGGCGTTAATTCATCCTTACCAATTGTGATTCAAATTCAGTGAAACTTTAATCAAAACTGACAAACCAGACCCATCCACGTATATATTTATAGGAAGAGATGCTTCAAGAGTCAGGGCAACATTATACTGCCACATATAAACCACAGCAATAAGCAGGACATCAGTAAATAATCACTCCAAACAGGAAAACCTCAATCAATGTAACATAATGGACACACTGAACCTCACTTTTATATACAGCTCCCGTGTTCAAAATAGCTAATGAAAATCAGGTGTTGTCTTCAGCCAATATATACAGTTCAATTAATAGAATTCAAGATTGTTAATAAATATGCTCCTTTATAATCCATGCAGACATGTGCCAAAAGAAAGTGTTTTACTCATATTTCGGGGATTGTTTCCTTGGTGTCTTTAAAAATGTCCAGGTTACGGAGAAACATATTACAGAAACACTCCAAGCACCATAACCACCACTGCCCACATTAGAATGTCTGCATGAGTACTCTCAGCCAATGAATGAGCTCCTGTATTGCACAGTGTTGGGTCCCTGCTTCTACAGCTCGAGAACACCATCACTTTGAGAAAGCCTTTTAACAGGTGAATAATCAACTTGTTTTACTTACTCTTGTACTCATATGGTTTAAATATCTTATCAATAAATTATTATTTTTATATTACATTCGTGGACTATCCTGACTTTCCATTGGAGCCTGCACATCTAATTTTGGTAATCTGGGAAGATTTATTCATGAGTGAGTGAACCCTGAATGAAAATACTTTGTATTAGCGAATAACACTGTGTATGTATCATATATGTGGAACAGATTCACACAACAGAACGGCAACGCATGAGCTCGGACTGGAATGGACATGTGCTCTGGTCTGCATCTATTGAGGTCCAGACTAGCCACTCCAGGGATTACATCCCTTACCTGCTTAGCACATGCAATCACACTCAGCCAACCCACACACAAACATAATCACTGAGACTGAGTGTCACAGTAGGGACTGGGCCAGTGGGCTCGGGTCAAATTCATACCAACACCCGATTTTCAGACCTTCCCACCAGCCTACACTGTCATTATAATATAAATTACATGTTTTATACAATTACAGAGAGAGCTAGAATACAATATCAATGAAACTAAATGGACACAAAGATATTTTAGTATTGAGCTGTGAGTGGGCAACAATCCATGCTACGCTACTAGCCTGGGGAGCAATTGTCCCCTGCTCTACCCCCTTCCCCTCCCTCACCCGGCATCCCATTTAGCCTTTTCTATATTGGAAATCTAAATAACCTCTTGATTTTAGCACCCCCTGAAAATACAAGTAAATATTTAAAACATTAAACAGGATTTTATTAATTTTATTTTTCTAATTTATTCTGTTTTGCTATTATTATATCCAGGTCGCCGACTGAATATAATGAAGAAGTAAATGTCAGAAAAATGATTGTGAATGGGAGAGAGTAGGTCCCTGTTTAAATGGTGATATCGGATTTATAAAGAGCCCGTTATATTTACATTGTGACTTCCTTTGACATTCCAAGATGTCACCCTCTGTATCTGATGGCTTGCACCTGGTGACATGACATTCTTGGTTTGTTATCTGGAAGTTGAACTGGTTACATTATTTACACATTGCTCTGAACAATGTGTATGTATCTCCCAGAGGATCCCTATAGTTCTGGATATTGTGAATGACGCACACCGCCTCTTCGAGAATTCTTTGTTGAGTGCTGAGTTTCATTATCCAAGGCCTGGTTGTCCCAGGAAATTTATAGCATTGTTAATATAGATCTCGCTGTATCATACAGACACCAAAATGAACTTTGTATCTCATAGCTGAACTATTACAAGAGGTCATCTGCCAAGGATCTAAAATCATCAGGTCTTCTTGTTGCTAAATAATTATGGGTAAAAGAGTGTATTAACTGTATGAAATCGCAACGTCATCCATGAACGAATCATTATGAAGAATCATTATGTGTAGAAGCTATCGTCAGCCCCTGTTCCCACAAAAACACTGTGGCATTGATGAGACCTGAGCCCCAAATTGGTTTTATTGACAAATATCGGAGGCTGTCCCACATGGTAATGCTTACCTAATCAAAATCAAACACGGTACAAACTCATGGTCAATGAATTTACTCCTAAGTTTTTTCCTTATATTATAATAGACAATAGATTTGTTTATTTTCCCCAAATGATTGCCCCAGATGCAGTCAATAAGCCGTGCCTCGGATGCACCTTTAGAGGAAGTCACTTAAAGAGGCGGAAGTACTCTAGGCTGCAGTAATTCAAAGAACATTTCACGGCCAGCAACATGTGTCAAGCATTGGGGATATTCTAAGGAAAACAATTAATGACTTTTATTTTGCAGGAAAACACGTTAAGAGCCAACTCATTGAGAAAATAAAAAAATAATCTTCCGTACAATTTTAAAATGAACAACAAAACAATAATGATTTAATTTTTAGTACTGAATTTAACGCCCTCTCGGGAATCCTAAATAAACAGTTTTCCAATTGGATAATTTATAAAATATCTTGTCCTGGCTAAATTTAAAGGGACACTTTAAGCAACAATATTGCTCTAGCTTAAGGAAGTTGGTTTGGTGTAGAAATCATGCACCTGCAATGAATTGGCAGATTCTCAGGGTCTCATGGTGAATGGACAGATTCTCAGAGAGAATGGGCAGATTCCCTGGGTGAGTGGGCAGATTGTCAGATTCTCAGGGTGAATGGGCAGATTCTCGGAGTGAATGGGCAGATTCTCAGGGTGCATGGGCAGATTCTCAGGGTGAATGGGCACATTCTCAGAGTGAATGGGCAGATTCTCAGGGTGCATGGGCAGATTCTCAGATTCTCCGGGTGAATGGGCACATTCTCAGAGTGAATGGACAGATTCTCAGGGTGCATGGACAGATTCTCAGATTCTCTGGGTGAATGGGCACATTCTCAGAGTGAATGGGCAGATTCTCATGTTACATTATCAGATTTTCAGAGTTAATGGGCATTTTGACAAGACTGGGAATTCTGGAAAATTGTGAACAGACTGCAATATAAAAAAGAACTGTATAATAAATACCCCAGGTTTTATTGCTGCTGTCTGTTTAAGTGTATTGGGAAAGCGTGAGAGTTGTGCAGTCTGGTCGGGAGGAGGAAGTCACTGTGTTCAGTTAAGCCTTTTCCCTCACGTGCAGCTTGTAGGAGCCTTCAACGTGTGGCTGGGAGTGAGTATGCAGATAGGAACGAAAATAATAATCTTCAAAAACACAATGGGCTCTCTACGTAACAAGCATCGAGGAGCAGGAAGTGAGTGTGGAGTATAAATATACTGTGTTCTACACCGAGTTAAATCCACTGACGGTAATTGTTATGTAACCATTGTTTAACTTATAAAAATGATATAACCTTAATATACGAGTATAGATATTAAATATCAAGGCTGTTACCATAGAGACCAGCCTGCTATACATTTTGATATAATGTTCTATATTTCGCCAGATGGTGTAAGAAACTGTTAGTATTTGACCTTAATCATAATCTATTGATTGCTAATCCTCAACATGTTAACGCCTTCCAAAAAAAAGTATCAGTAAGGGATCTGGTGGGGGGTTCTGGAAGGTAAATCTGAGAGGGGGTTTCAATAAGGGGATCCTATAGACTAGAGGGTGCTCTGATTGGGGTTTTCTGGTAGGGAGATCTGGTGTGTGTTCTGGTAGGGAGATCTGCTGGGGGTTCTGGTAGGGAGATCTGCTGGGGAGGTCTGATGGGGTTCTTTTAGGGGGTTCTGGTAGGGAGATCTGATGGGGGTTCTGGAAGGGAGATCTGATGGGGGTTCTGGTAGGGAGATCTGATGGGGAGGTCGGATGGGGTTCTTTTGGGGGGTTCTGGTAGGGAGATCTGGTGGGGGTTCTGGAAGGGAGATCTGATGGGGGTTCTTGTAGGGAGATCTGATGGGGGTTCTGGTAGGAAGTTCTGATGAGGTTATTTTAGGGGGTTCTGATAGGGAGATCTGATGGGGGTTCTGGTAGGGAGATCTGATTGGAGTCCTGGTAGGGAGATCTGATGGGAGTCCTGGTAGGGGGATCTGATGGGGATTCTGGTAGGGGGATCTGATGGGGGTTCTGGTAGGTGATCTGATGGGGGTTCTGGTAGGGAGATCTGATGGGAGTCCTGGTAGGGGGATCTGATGGGGATTCTGGTAGGGAGATCTGATGGGAGTTCTGGTAGGGGGATCTGATGGGGGTTCTGGTAGGTGATCTGATGGGGGTTCTGGTAGGGGGATCTGATAGGGATTCTGATAGGGAGATGATGTTGGTTCTGGTAGGGGGTTCTAGGTGTATCCATTGCTATAATAGGAATTTTCTAGCAAGCACAGTATTTCATGTAAATTTAAAAGACTTTAGGGTAAAATCACCCTAAAAACAGGAAGAACTAAGACAAAGGTTCGTCACTAAAGTGAAAATTCAAATTCCCTCCAGAGTAGCCAAACTGAAAGCATGACTTACTTGGAGAATTTTTTAACTTAAATTTGAAATTCTAACTTTAGTAAAAATCCCTGATAAAATTCTGTTAGCACAATCCCTCATTTCTTGTCACAAGTGCTATATGTCTGTTCGAGACCAGAAGCTGTGACACGCGTCGGCTAAACGAGTCGGTCTATTAACCACAACAGTAAATAAATTCTCTAAACTACGGCTTCTGTATTTAACAACCAAAAGAGGAAGAAACATGTCGTTGGTGAAAAGTAGCTCATTTAATACAAACCGCAAGCACATTATGATGAGTTTTAAATTATATAAAAAATGTCCTGGACAGGAAAGAATGAAAAAATACGCACTAAACTGTATCTTGTGGAGAACTGACAGCAAATTGAACATTTTATGCAGGGAGATAATTTTTAATAGAATAACTTGGATACTACAACATTCTTGGCTATAACCCTGAAAGTTGCAGGGTGTAGTGGATGCAGATACCCATCTCTCAGACCGAGGTCCTTTTAACAGAAATTCACCATGATGTAGCCTTTTCAGGCCCAAAAAAGTAAGTGGATTTGAGATAAGGATTCTGTGACACCATTAGACGTGCATTGTGAGCCAGCGTCGTTATGAAAGTGAGTGCAAGAGGAAGTTTCAATTTCTGTTTCTGTATGAGATTACATTTCAGTCAGCGTTATGGGGTAAGGGTTTTATAAAGTGGAACTGTCACATCGTCACAACTCCGTAACCAAGTGTTATGTGTGAGTTTTATATTTTTTTCATTTTGATTTTTAATTGAGGTTGTATGCCAGGCTGTGTGTCACGGTCCCCAGCTCACCTGACCGGCACGACCGCACCAACTCACTGAGCTTACCTGCTCAGCGGCGAGCCGGGAACCGCTCCTCCACGCCGCTCGGGGAAATACAAGATGGCGCCGACCATGAGGTCGCGTCCATCCATGGCTCCACCCCCCAAAATTATACAAACGTGTGCGTGACGTCACGACGTCAACGCACGCGCACGTTCTGTGGTCAGAGGTCACCCTCTGACCAATCAGAGCCTAGAAAGGGATATTTAAGTCCCTAATTCACCCCAGTACCTTGCCCTGTCGTGGTTTCCTGTTCCTGGTTCCCTAGAGTGCGTTTATCTTTGTGAATATTGTTTCCTGGTATCCTGATCTTGGCTTTTCCCTGGTTATTCCGAATTCTGATTCCCCTGACTTGGCTTGTTTAAACGGTATCTGAGTATTTCTGGCTTCGTTGACCTCGGCTTTCCCATTAACCATTCTCTATCCCTAGTGTATTAGTCCGGCCATTCTAAGGTCCGGTTTACGCTCTGTCCTTTTATTTCCTTTCCTTTTTTATGCATATATTTACATAGTTTCTGCGTGATGGACCACACTAGCAGCCATAACACTCTGTTGGCACGGAGCAATCCACTCAAATTATGGTACACACTTGTTTACCACCTTGGAAGGAATGAATGAACATGTGTGCTTTTACAGCAATTCTCCCCATAGGGTCATTGCCGTGAATACAGAAGAGGTAAGTAGGCTTATTACTTACCTCCGTTGCACTGCTCACACCAGTATTTCTTCAATGGCGCACTGCCCAATATCGGTGTCCCGTGATACTGGATGAAAATAGAGGGGTAAAAAGGTGTGGGCTGTGATACGTATCACATCAATTGGGCCACCGACGGGGCTCAGAACAACCTGGAAAGGGGGAAAAAAACTGGCAGATCACCAACCCAACAGACTGGCTTACCAAGGGTAACCCATGCAGACAGCACTGTTTCTGGGCTTCATTTTCTGAGAACAGTTGCCGGCTGTCTCCAAAAGTCAGGACGGCGGGACTGTCCCGCCAAACTCAGGGCGGTCGGGAGGTCTGCAACCGAGTTTACTGGGTTGAGGGATCAAGGAGCTGACAGTTTCAGGTTAAGTAGATGAAGAGATCGATTTGCATTGTATTTAGTGAAGAAGACGTGAGGGGTACCTGTAGGAAATGGCATTACAGGAAACACGGTTTGTGTCAGGGATTTGCATTAGATCAATACTTACTGAAATACAAGTGTTGGCTAAGGCAAAAGAGATACCAGAACCTCTTACACAATTCAATCTCTGAATGGGTTACATTCTATCTTTTCCTGGCAAAGGAAACATTTACTGGGGTGAGGAAAGTAGTGAAGGTAAGTATAACACTTGCCAATAGTGATGTCCCGAACGGTTCGCCGAACTGTTCGCGAACGGTTCGCGAACGGTTCGCCACGGACTCATCATTGAGTAAACTTTGACCCTGTACCTCACAGTCAGAAGACACATTCCAGCCAATCAGCAGCAGACCCTCCCTCCCAGACCCTCCCACCTCCTGGACAGCATCCATTTTGAAGCTCCATTCTTAGTGAGCTGTCCAGGAGGTGGGAGGGTCTGGGAGGGAGGGTCTGCTGCTGATTGGCTGGAATGTGTCTGCTGACTGTGAGGTACAGGGTCAAAGTATACTCAATGATGAGTCAGCGGCGAACCGTTCGTGGAGAACCGTTCACGAACCGTTCGGCGAACCGCTCGGGACATCACTACTTACCAACAGTCCCGGGTTCAGCAGGACAGTCCTGAATACGGGCTCCTATTATGCCACATTTTCAGACAGCATTGCTCCTATTGGTCCAATTACTATGTGCAGCAGGTCCAATTACTATGTGCTACCAATGTTGTGAGGTAGGTCACACTGATCCAATTACTATGTGCTACCAATGTTGTGAGGTAGGTCATATTGATCCAATTACTATGTGCTACCAATGTTGGGAGGTAGGTCATATTGATCCAATTACTATGTGCTACCAATGTTGTGAGGTAGGTCATATTGATCCAATTACTATGTGCTACCAATGTTGTGAGGTAGGTCATATTGATCCAATTACTATGTGCTACCAATGTTGTGAGGTAGGTCATATTGATCCAATTACTATGTGCTACCAATGTTGTGAGGTAGGTCACATTGATCCAATTACTATGTGCTACCAATGTTGTGAGGTCATACAGTGTGTTAATACAAAGGGACAGAGCAAAGATTCCTGGTACGGTGAGTCAAGATCTTAGACAATGCAACTATTATTTCAAAGTAGATCAATCTCTGAATTCATCGGACACAGTTTTAACTCAATCTATTAAAATCCATGAAATTCTCTGCAGAATCTTGTGAAAGGAGGTTGTTAACCGTTACTACAAATAAAGTAAAACCACCATTAATAGCAATAAAACAGAACGGCAGAGTTTATTTGTGTTTAAAAACAAGCACAGCTTGGGTGATGTATGAATGTTTTTTTTGGAACCCAGATAACCCACTTCCTCTGTATGTGAGCTCTCGCTTCAGTGGTTACAAAATAAGCTGAAAACCTATAGTGCAGAGCTATTTAAATGTACGCCCTCGATTTGAATGGCGTATAGATGTGAATGCAGAGGGATTGACTTTTTCTCCCCCCCCCCCCCTTATTTCTAGGTTATTCAATACCTCCCAATTGTACTGGGTTAGAAGGACAGTCTGGGCGAAATTTAATCCAATCAGGGAGGTGCGAGTGCACAGTTATCCACGTCCAAGTCAAGTTTAGTAATCTCACTGCACTATGACGATAGGGAGAGCATTCAAAAGCGGTCTGCACATGGTCTGCCCTGAGTGGGCTGGACTCTTGTCAACCCCACCCCCTTATCAGGAAACCCAACCCCTTTTACATTATCATTGCCCTCTATATATGTAACACAGTGCTTTATGATGACATAGCGGGAATATATAATAGCGAGTAATTAACAGACAAAACGTGTCGAGAGAGCAGAAGCAGATCCTGTGCTAATGAGCTTACAATCTAAAATATAATTATCTGTGATGCCCTTTCTTACATCCTACAGCATACAGCTTGATTTACTAAGCTGTGTAAAGAGCCACTCTGCCGTTAACCCGAGTTATGCTGGTAATTCTCAGAGGGTGATTCATTGGTTTAAAGCATTCATCTGTCGCTCCCAGTCAGACTTCCCAATATTAGACATAGACGCTTCAATTTTAGGGTTGTAAGTGGGGGTGTTGCAAGGGGTGAGGCTGTTTTCGGAGAAATTTTTGATGACTTACTAATAACAATTTATAAAACTAAAATGTAATGTAAGTCAAATGCAGGAAGGTGTGACTAGAGCTGTATAAAGAAAGTGATTTAACTCCTAAATGGCAGAGGATTGAGCAGTAAGGCTGCAGGGGCATGTTCTATACACCAAAACTGCTTCATTAGGTTAAAGTTGTTTTGGTGACTATATTGTCCCTTTAGGAGAGAAAAGAGCGGCAGATTGATTTGGGTCTAAAAAGGGACACTTGGGAAGTGTAGTCAATGTATGAATGGCTGGATTGGCAAAGCTGCTGAAGTCGAATGCTAGTTCATCTTAAATGAGAGGAGGTTCGGCACACGGGGACCCAAGTAAGAGGCAAACAGTTGCAAGATAGTTCAACAATACTAGCCGAAGGTCTGGACATCCTCTCGCCCTTATTTAACATTAAGCAGCCAGGTGATAGAGCATCTCTTGGCTCTATTAACCCATTATATTTCACCAGATACCCCATCTAGTGGCGGAAGGGGGAAGGCCACCCCTGGTATTATTGAGGGCCACTATTTAAATAACTCTAATATTATTATTATTACTATTTTAATTATTTCTCTCTCTCTTTAATTAAATGCTGTGTTCGCACAGACCCCGGGCCCCCGGCATCTATTAATTTACCAGTTTTACTTTTACTTTAAATGTCACAGGATAGAGCAGAGCCTCATGGCATTGACACATGAAGGGTTAATTCGACTGGCGCAGTGCATCGCCTTGACACTATTTATTTCTCAAATTGCTATTTGTTCATTTTATTTTTAAATTAATTTTACCATGGTGCAAAAAAAACAAAAACAAAACAAGACATGAACATTCAGACAAAGTAGCTTCTACAAAAAATCTGGATTAAGTTCTCCCCAATGTCTGAGAGCTCCCCACTGTAACAGTAACAGAGCCTGTAGTATCAGCTCAGACTAGATCCACCTTTATACAGACTGCATTCTATTGGCTGATTCTCACCTCCCACTGCCTAGTCTCTCTGTTACTGACTGTCAGTGAGACAGATACAGCATTCAGCCCAGGAGTCACTGAAAGGTAAGAGACTCATTCCTCATCTAGAATCCTGCCTTTATTATATCAAGGAGATTGCAATTCCCCTGCAGCAAGCACTGTGTGTGCAGCCATGGACCCCACACTGTCCCACAGAGCTTGCACTCTAAATTCTGCTGGCCCCTTCATTCTTTATTGTGAATAATTCTCCACTTGCCCATATCAGCACAGTTTATAATCTAAATGAATAATGGTGAAATGACAATATTTGCTAAATTTAGGTCTATATATATATATATATATATATATATATATATATATATGTGTATTTTTTTGCACCTTAATGCAGTTTAACTGTTTACTAAGAACCCACTTATTGACACTGTCTATCTGAAACCCAACTCTATGTGGCCAGCTTTGTACCTGGGGTGACGTGTGATTGAGGGGTGCAGGCTGCAGGTAATGCTGAGGGGGAGCATTTTATTATTAACTATTATTGGCTATTCACAAAATGTAATTTAAAAATGAATTTTAAAATGTTTATTCAAAATAGCCAACTGGAAAAAGGCATTTATGATATCATAAATTATCAGAAATTGTGAAATTCTCTTTGAATCCCTGACAATCCTCACAATATATTGAATTCCTTCTGTCCCTGTTAAATAACTGCTGGAAACCAAACATGTTATGGAATAAAGTGTCTCAATGCTATTTAAAGTCTATTTTCGTATCCTTCCTTATTCTTAAACCTCACAGTCCCCCTTAACCCTTTCAGAACAACCTCTTCATATTGCAATGGGTTAAACTGATCCTTAATATTTAATAACAATTTTGGAAAAAGTGCTATTTATTAAATACAGGGGTGCGTTAGCTAAATAATTAGTTGTGGTGAATTTAATATTTTGGACTTTAGATTTTCTTTTAGATTTTCAGTTCCCAGTTTAGTAAATAAACCCTTAAATTCTTGCAGGCAATAAAAATGTGAGCCATGTAAAACATTCAGTTAAACCTGTTTACAAATCTATGACCTATATAATTGCCTATAAGCTGAGCAGATAAGTAATGAACTATTACTGAAGGTAAATTTAAAGGGGAAATCCCTGGGGAATTAGATATTTTGTGATCTCTGCGTATCAACTATTTCCATCCGAATTCTACACTACCCTATAGGTTGGTGCCTTATTAATAATTTATAAAGCATGGGGTTGTTGCATAATTTAAGGATTGGATTGAGCTCTAGAAGGCATTAGGACAACTGCTACATAATTATCTACAAACAGGCCTAACCTGTTACCTGTTTTAGATATTTAAATGTTGTATGAATGATGCCCAGCAGTGTTCCAGCTACAGAGTGTGGAATTGAAATACCTCTGTGGTCTCTATTTTGAGACACTGGGTAACAGAATGACACACTGCTGCAAGTTCACTAGGTGACTTATAAAGGTCATTTAGAGTAACGTGTATGATTAACCCTTTCAAGTTGGATTTTTTTCGTAAACCAAGTAGGAGTGTATTCTGCACTATAGATTTACAGGTATATAATATCCCATAGTTTTGTATTACTACGTGCTGCGTAGAAAATGTTAGAACAGAGGCATTTAAACCATACCGTCACATTCAATAGGTACCACAAACCGGTTCGGGTGCCTCAGTTCTAACATAATAAACCCAGCACGTACCAATACAATCAAAGAAAAAGGTACCTGCGCTCTCTCCTTAATCCCTATGTAGATTTAAACAAATGGAGGTCATTTAGTTTCTCCAATGGCCATTGGAGGGAATGCCTACCTGCCGACGTCAAGGCAGACCATCCTAAGCGGGTCCTACTCTGACCCTTCAGCTTGCTTCCTTGGGCTTCTGGCAAATATATCTCTGAGACAGAGAGGGGTATTTTTGGGTAACTAAAAGACCTCCATTTGTTTAAAAAAAACATAGAGATTTAGGAGAGAGCGCAGGTAACTTTTTCTTTGTTTTTTTTCTGTATGTATTAGGGCTGATGTGTACTGTAGTCATTGCTGCTGGCCCAGTAGTGATGGGAGTGAGCGCAGGACCTATCTTTTTGTATTTGTATTCACTTTTTGTATCACACAGCTATGTTACAATGCTGCCGCCCATCCCATGTGTTCCCTATTAAGGGTTACTAAGCATGTAGGGGTGTATATAAAAAATACCCCTCTCTGTCTCATTAGAGATATCTTTGCCAGAAGCTCAAGGAAGCAGGCTGAAGGGTCAGTGTAGGACCCGCCTAGGGGTGTTTGCCTTTACGTTGGCAGGTGGGCATTCCCTCCAATTGCCATTGGAGTAACTAAATGACCTCCATTTGTTTAAATATACATAGGGATTTAGGAGAGAGCGCAGGTACTTTTTTCTTTGGTTGTGAGTGATGGGAGTGAACGCAGGACTTATCTTTTTGTATTCATACTAATACAAACTATGGGTAATTTCAGAGATATCTGCTGGCTTGTTTGGGAATAAAGTTCCCCAAAGTACCTGCAGATTGTACATATTATGACTCTGGGTACGGTCGCCCCACTAAAGCCAGACTTCTTTACTGTATAGTGCACCTGGGCTTTGCAGTGGGCCAGAGTCCCCTGTTCCATATTCAGCACCTAACTGTCTTTGTGGCACTGTAGTTTTGTGCCACATGGGTTCTTGTAAGCACCAGAGGAAGGAAGTCTTGCAGCGCCCCCTAGATTGGATCTGAACATCTTCATCTTGGAATGCATTCTGTTGATCATTAGAATGTCACTATATCCTTCGTAGCCAATCAGAACTTTTATTTATTTTCTAATTAGATTGCACCACCACCTGTAAAACTTCATTTTTTTTTATCGCCAAAGTGTACTGCACTCCGCCAATGTAAGTGCAGTCCGGGAATCTAATGTGCATGCGTGGTGGTGAGCGTCAGGGCACATTAGTCCATCCCCATAGGAAAATACTGAATCAATGCTTTCCTATGGTATTTTCCAACATGCTGAATGTTCTCATGCAAGAAGCACCTCCAGTGTTTGTTTGGTAGACCGCCACTAGAGGCAGTCTTAACCCTGAAATGTAAACTACCATTTCTCTAAACCTGGGGCACTGCACGCAGACCACATCAATGAGATGAAATAGATTGGGTGCCTATAGCGTTCATTTAAATTTAAGCCAAACTCTTTTCCTAGGTGTGGCTGTATGCCCCCTTTACCTGCTTGAACCCCACAGTGCTTGAAATCTCTAATTTCTCAACCAGTTGCAGTTTGCGTTCACTTTAGTTCTGCACCCACAGCTGTGCGCCCCTAGCCGTGGCAATGGGTAGAGGCATACAAAGATACTTCTGGCAAAATAGCGTCCTGTCCCCACCATCACTGGGTCTCTAAACTCGGCAAACTTCTTCTAGGTAGTAGCCCCGACTGTGCTGTCATTGTACGATAGGTGATCTGTTATCATACAGCCCTGTTCGTTGTCCTCGCGGTATATTATGCAGCTTTTACTATGCATTTCACAGTGTCTACTGTCCCAGTCGCAGTATTTATAGTCCCCACTGCAGTATGCTCCTCTCATTCCATACTTTGTGAAAGCTAATCGTTACCACCAGACACTTATAGAAGTAAAGCTTATGTGACGCGGTGACGGCAGTCAGTGGATAACAGCCGCTGTCAGCTGTCTCCCTGTATAAATTCTGTGGTCAGCGTAATCCCTGCGTTAATGTTACTGTTTGCGTTCCGGTGCGTTGCTGAGCACTGGAAGTTCATCCAATTGGCTGTTATAATGCAGAAATTTAAACACAGGGCTTTTTAAAAATAGTTTTGGTGATTATTACAGTTTTATATTTACAAAACAAAAACTGCAACCATACAAAATGTATTGACTCATACAAATCATGTGCTGAGGAATCCAGCAGTTTCATTGCTTGTTTACATGTCAAGAGGCCATTTGCCGGGATTACAGAAATGGCAATCTCACTTCTCCATGCACGTTTCTCTGCTCTGCGAGATTAATGGCTTATAGACAGCTTCTACCCACAATACCAGGTCAGTTGGAACACTGGGCACCACTAACATACTGTACCCATAGCTAAAACACTGGGCACCACTAACATACTGTACCCACAGCTAGAACACTGGGCACCACTAACATACTGCACCCACAATACCAGGTCAGCTAGAACACTGGGCACCACTAACGTACTGCACCCACAGCTAGAACACTGGGCACCACTAACATACTGTACCCACAATACCAGGTCAGTTGGAACACTGGGCACCACTAACATACTGTACCCACAGCTAGAACACTGGGCACCACTAACATACTGTACCCACAATGCCAGGTCAGCTGGAAACCACTAACGTACTGTACCCGCAATACCAAGTCAGGTCAGCTAGAACACTGGGCACCACTAACATACTGTACCCACAGCTAGAACACTGGGCACCACTAACATACTGCATACTGAAAGACTACAGACACTCAGTAACAGTGAGTAACAAGTCCAGAGAGCTAATTACCTGTGGGATATCACTGAAATGTAACTAACATGTTTTATTACACATATTTAGGCACTTCTAACGTATTGTACCCACAATACCAGGCCAGCTAGAACACTGGGCACTGCTAATGTACTGTACCCACAATGCCATGCCAGCTAGGACACTGGGCACCACTAACATACTGTACCCGCAACTAGAACACTGGGCACCACAAATATCTTTATGTGAGCATGGGAGTATGTATCTGTGTGTGTATACCTGTTTGTATCTGCGTGTATGACTGTGCATATCTGTTTGTATCTGCGTGTATGACTGTGAAGAAAATAACCTCATCACTGGCTTTTGGAGGAGCCTGTTTGCCAGCCTGTGATTATGGCTCTGTGACAAACTGAACCTTGTCAAGGGTTCTTGGAGGGGCCTGCTGGCCAGCCTATTGCCTCAGGACTATGGGCCCTGCAATATACCTTGCCCAATGCACTTTAAAACATGTTCATGTGAAGTATGTAGTTTTGTACTCCAGACAGAGAGACCGACTGTTAGCCCCAATTCTCTGGAACTGTTTTGGGCATGGGACCATGTGCACGGTGGGTCAGAAATAAGACTTCCAGGAATTTCCTGAACCCCTGCTCTGATCTGGGTGATTTTTGGATATGTTGTTCACCCCGATCAGGGCTATCAGGGTATGTAAGGATTTATGGGGATATGTTGTGTTTTGGGGTACTTTTGGGGTTTTGTAAAATGTGTTTTTTATGCTTGGGGATAATTACATTATCTATCTTAATTGTATCACAGGCAGAGGGGAGGGATTTTGTGCTGTATGTGGGAGTGTCAGGCATTGTTACATTGTTTCTATTGGTCTGTACAATTTGTGTCCTGTGCCCCATCAGGTCCAGTAGGTGTGCCTCTGGCCTGAAAAGTTGTATAAAAATCCAACCTGTACCATTAAACTCTCAGATCATCTTGCACCTTCATGAAGTTTCGGCTCATGTTTGGGGGATTGGAGAAACTACACTCTGGGGATTGCTATAATCACTATACTCCCCAGGGTATAATCACTAAGAGCTGTTCCTGCTTGACTCTCTGGAGCGAGAGAGGTTCACCCACTGGAACTTGGAGCCTTGTCGTAGGTCCAGGGTGGGTAGGAGACAGCGAGACCCCAACCAAGCTGCGGTGGTTCGTGGTGTTTGCAGTGGTTATGGTGCTCGACGCAGCTTCCTAGTACTGAGTGACGGAGGTACCCGGTCGGGGTGCAGTCGGTCCGTCACAATGACTGTGTATCTGCGTGTATGTCTGTGTATATCTGTGTGAATCTGCGTGTATATCTGTGTGAATCTGCGTGTATGTCTATGTGTATGACTGTGTGTATCTGCGTGAATGACTATCTGCGTGTATGTCTATGTGTATCTGAATCAGGGGCCAAGAAGCATGTCTTGCAGGTGTTAAAGATTGAGCTTTGGAAGGAGTCACTATATTTAGTTATGGGCTAAAATCCTGACACAACAGTGAAATTATATTCTTGGTCTAACATGTCTCTACTTCTTCCAGGATGTCAGCGGGAAAGGGCCAAGTGTACGTTGTGACGGGAGGATGCGGATTCCTGGGATCCCACTTAGTGCGCATGCTGGTGGAACATGGCGAAAACCTGTCCGAAATACGAGTGTTTGATCTCCATTTGGATGAAACACTACAGACACTCAGTAACAGTGAGTAACAAGTCCAGAGAGCTAATTACCTGTGGGATATCACTGAAATGGAACTAACATGTTTTATTACACATATTTAGACAGTGAGATGCTTTCACCCCAGCTCCTCTCCCAGGATATCATTATTGAAAGGAGCTGAATTTACAAAGCTTCTGATGTAATTTACAAAGCATAATGCCCATCAGTCTCCGCCATGCCTGGACATATTTGTTCTGATGCTGCCCTAAGATTTAAAGAACTTTAGCTCAAAACTTAAAAATCAAGTCTTATTTCAAACATATTGTAGACTTCTGTCGACACGCGCAGTGAGGGACACGGGCAGGGAGAGAAAGTAACTCAGTCATATCACCACAACTATCCCAGAATTCCATGCTTTACATGCAAATAAGCACAGACAGGCATTGTATTTCAGTACCTGAAGAAATGATAAAAATGACAGGAAAAAATGACATTAAACATGTCATCACGCACATAAGCCTCAAAGCAATCTGATTCTCCCAATCTTCTTGATTGCATCTGCTCCAAAATCCAATTTAGCTGCTCCAATCCTGAAAGAATGAGACGGAAATTTTATTTTATAACCAAGTTTTTCAAAGCAAAACTTTGAGACCCTCTGGAATTCAAAATACTTTGAACTAAGAATAATATACAACATTCAAAACTCCAAATAAATCTCCTAACACCGAATAAGTAGTGGGACTCCTTTATACAATTCACCATTAACTTTATCCTAACAAACTCAAACAGTATGCGAGATGGCATTCTTCAAACATTTAATCTATATTACCAACCACTGAATCAATTTGGATTTCAGGAAATTCCATAATTCATTCCAGGCTGACACATAAACACTGCCCTGCCCTGTGTGAGTGCTTTCATAAGAATTGGTTAGGCTCTTCCATGATTAATTGCCAAAAGCAAATCCGCGCTCGTTTCCTCTGCATTTGGAACGAAACTTCTTAAAGTTGAGCTGAAAACGAGAATGAGCATCCGCTATTTTATTCTCAAACACCAGTAATATATGTCCTTCAACCAAATATTTTGTCTAAAAAATAACAATACTAAATTTTGCAACAAATTAGTAACAAAGAAACATTTGAAATGCATTGACGTAATGACACGTACCACCGACTTATTGTCACAGTGGAACAAAATCTGTTTATTCTGGAGTTCCTTACCCCAGCCTAGAACTGCTGAAACAATTGGTACCAGTTCTAGCTGGGTCAGATTCTTGGTTAACTCTTGGTCCACCCAATCATCTGGATAATGTGCAAAAGCCCATTTATTGCTCCAAAATAACTGACCCTGCTACTTCTGCAAATAATTGTAATGCTTGGAGAATCCTGAAATTCTGTTTGCTATAATAATAATAACAAAGTATTTAACCAGGAAAGGTACATTCAGATTGTTCTGGTTTCCATGTACGTCCCGGGGATTTTACCTTAGCCCAACATCCAGAGGTTGTTACTATTACCCAATTTAATGGTACTCATTTTATCTACCATGGAAAGATGAAGGGCTGAGTTGACCCTGATGGGATTTGAAGACAAAGAGTTGAATAGATTCAAGTGTTGATGCATTATCCCACTGAGCTATCTCACCGGCTTCAATGAGAACAGCCATTAAGTCCTTTTTCAATTTCTGCCAAAATCCCAACAAAACAGTAACACAATTTCTTTATTGCACAAGCCAAAGTCATCCATCTACAAAAAATTCTTCCTATAGGCATAATACGACCCGCAAATGCTAATAAGCCCAATATGGAATGGAACTGATTGACGGTTGCTTTTTTGCTGCTTGCTTGATAAAAATAATTCAATTTCATATACTCCTATACTATAACTTGAGCCTATACCCAAAAGCAACAGAGTCAATCGTTAATCCTAAACTGTAATACATATCACCGGACCGACAGTCTTCACAACTGCTAAAGGAATACCAACCAACCTGACCCTCTAAACTACAGAAAATCTCTAACAACTTAACTCTGAACCAAGTTATCAAGATAATGTACAATAGAATATAAACCAGTCTCAAAATTAAAAACCCATTCAAGGAAGGAGGAAATGGCGTCAAAATAAAAACAAAATATGGAGCATCCCATTGGCAGACATTTAGCAAAACAAAATCGAGGTATGAAAAACCCAACGAATTGAGACCTTCCGGGTACCCTGGCAATAGTCTAAAGGCTGACTCAATGTCCATCAGTGCACTCGGACAATATTTATGTACCCAGCTGAGTGCACCAAATAGGTATAGGACACCGTATCCTTAAACAAATCATCATTTAATGAATTACCAGCCGGTAAGATAAATGATGAATTAGCCTGAATGACCCAGGCTCTGTTTTAGGAATTAAACCCAAAGGAGACAGACGGATATTTACAGAATGAGGTCAAAAGAACCCGCTATTCTAAATAAAGTTAACTTCTTTTACAACTTCCTACAGCTGTAACATTCCGCAAAACATTTAAACTTATTAACAAATAAACAAACAGAACCAGAAACCGTTGGAATTTTAAAACCTTCAGCAAAACCACGAAACAATAATTTGTCTTCCTGTTTGAAGATAATGAAGAAGTCCTTCCAGATGTACTGGCTTCCATGGCTTTCTGAACCTGGTCTCTCCCCTGACTGGAACCTGCTGCACCTCTTTTCAGTCCAGTGAAGCTTCCTCTGTCAGGGTGCTGGGGAAAGGTTCCACAGAGGTCCAGAAGCACGGCTAAAAGCTCGCGCAATACTCTTTATGTGAATTCCTTGGATTCCTGGTATTTGATTTATTTTCTGACTCCATGTTTGAAGAAGATGAGTTGAGACTCAGTGTGTCCACAGGCAGGGAGCTTCACTCTGTGACCCCTGCCCATCTTTCATGTCTCCAGGGCATACTGCATGTTCTTTAAATGTAACATATCTCGTTCATTCTGGAAGTTTAGAGGGTTACTCCAAACACCATGACCACTTCAGTGATGTAAGTATTAAAAACGCTGCACATATGGAGGTTAACTGGTTGGCTGCTTCATTGAGGTATCATTAGCTAGACTGGAAAAGGCATTCTGGGCTGGCTAATGTCAATTTGGGGCATATGTCTATGCACAGAGTTGCAGTCTTTGGCTGAGAGCAGTTTGCTGACGCTTTCGGCCAATGAATGTGTGGCGAAATTAATCTCGCCACTTGTGCTTGGAGAGGACTACTTGCCAGCCTCTTGCCATGTGATTATGGTCCCTGGGAGGTTTGGCCCTTTAAATACAAGATTTGGGCTAATGGATTTATATTGTGCTGATGCTGGCCCTTTAAGAACTGCATTGTGGCTTATGGACTTGTATTGGACCATGCTGGCCCTTTAAGAACCACCTGGGGACATATTGAGACTTTGTGTGACAATGCCCCTTTAAGACGGTGTCCCCAGACTTAGTTTAAATATTTTGTTCATTGCTATTCTCCCACTTGGTTCGGTAAATGGGGCTTACTGAACCAAGTACCACACAGGCGGACCACCCAGAAGTGGAAGTGTGCAGGCAATTTACCTCCCAGGCTGGGAGCCTACTGTAGGTAAATTGCCGAACGCTGGGGGGCCGCCATTCGACAAACGAACATGTGGCGGCGGCCATCTTTAATTCAGCTGAAGTTTTACCTTCTCCAGACTTCAATGCATTCGACAGTTCGAACACCATTCGACAGTTCATTCGACAATTCGAATGGTTGTCGTTCGTCTGTTTGAACTGACTTTAACATGGGAAATAGACCGACCGCACAGCCTGATTCTCTGGAACAGTTTTGGGCATGAAAATGTGCTTAACTTATATCTATCTCCCGAACGGCAGAACGGATTCGAATGATTTTTGGGTATGTTTTATGCTGATTCTGAATATGTATGTTTTATGTGAATATGATGCATATTTTTAAAGTTACAGTATTTGTGTAAAAAGTGTATTTTTCCTGCCTGTGATAAATTACATTAACCCATTGTGTTCAGTAATTATATCACAGGCAGAGGGCAGGGATTGTATGTTGGTGCTGGGTGTGTTTTACGGTTTTCCTGTAAATGATTGGTTGTACGGTGTCCCACCCTGTGGGATGTCTCCTTGCATTGGGACTTGCATAAAAGCCAGTGTGTGGTCATTAAAATCAGATCATCTTGTACCTTTCTTGAAGCCTTGGCTCATGTTTGGGGGATTGGAGAAATACACTCTGGGGATTGCTATAATCACTATACTCCCCAGGGTATGATCACTAAGCTCTGCTAAGAGCTTGTTCCTGTTTCTGCTCTCTGGAATTCGGAGAGGTCAACCTACTGGAAGCTGGACCTTGGTCTTGGGTCCCGAGTGGGTGGAGACGGCGAGGCCTCAACCAAGCTGCGGCGGTTTGTGGGGTCTGCAGTGGTTATGGTGTCAGGCAGAGTGCTTGGAGTCCTCGGAAAGCACTAGGAGCATCCGTCGGCGGAAGGTACCCGGTCGGGGTGCCAGCGGTCCGTCACAGAATGGTTTTGGCAATTGGCTTCTCCAGTACATCACCGGCCACAAAGGAACCTCAGGGCCCAGCTGGGACCCAGGTAAGAGGCCAAATGTTGTCAGGCTGTAGGAATTATAATGCTTGGAGAATCCGTTTAGGAAAACATGCTAATACCATTAAGTTTATTTAAATTATTATTAAAAAGTTCTGTACTACATTTGTAAACGCAATGTTCATTGCATCATACGGGCGTGTGCCTGGCCAGTGATGTAAACCAGCTGTGTATTGATGGAGGGGGAAAGCAGCAGCTAACTACATTAAAAAAACAAGGTTAATAAATGCCTCTGTGTACGGATTCCTGTCAAACATACTCCGAATGTTTGTGTTTTGCTACATCCGTGCACCTCCCTCGGTGTATTTGTATTTATTTTATTTTATGTTCCAGTTTGCTCCTCCAACATATAAACTTGTTTGTATCTGATCTCCACTTTGTCCTGCCTCAGTGAAATGTACCATGTCCCAAAACATACATTATTTGAAAATACAACTGAAGACATCAAAAGAAAAAATGGCCCACGCCATCATGTCTCCATTTTAGTGTTTTTTTTTTTTTTTTTTTTTTAATTTGGCCTTGTGGCACTGGATCTTCTGTAAGCCAATTTCTGGTCCAAAGACCTTATTGAAGAATTTCAAATAAAATTATCCTTATCTTATTATTATTATTATTATTATTTGGGATTTCCTAAGTTTTTGTGCTACTTTGTGTTTATATTTCCTTTTTTATAAAGAAAGATTTACTAATATAACAAGAATGGAAGCAGGTTGGTGAAACACCGGAAAGTAATGATTAATTCCTGGCAAACTTCTTACTCGGGAACTTGTCCAACGAAGCATGTTATTCTAGCAGATTATCTGGAGTTCTCCGCTAGTGGTTTCGGTGTCCCACGCCAGTTTACAAGTGTTTGGCTCATTTTACATATTTGAGTTAACATCTGTTTTGTGCCAAGTGTTTATCATTGGTTTTCACTTTAAAGGGTGACTCTAAGTACCATAACAACTTTACTGCCAGAGTTATGCTGAGCAGAGAACACTGCATCTTTATTGAAATAAACATATAAATAAAACTCCCAGAGTAAAAATTTGTATCAGGACTTTGTATAAATTAGGTTTAAACTGTAGTATCAGATAAAAGGTAGGCACGCAGTAGTCTTTGTGTAGTATTTTGCGATGGAAGTATTCTGAAATCCAATCTATGTATGGAATTCAATGATACTCACATGTTTATGGAGCATTTAGCTGCTCCGGAGATACAAAACCAAATCCATACAGATGAGACATTCAAGTTTAAACATTTAGAGTATGGGATAAATAGTAAGAACACGTGGACTATACACAGAGTAAAAATTAATCTAATTGACAAGTTAAAATATATATTAAAATAATGTGATTAAAATGCAGTGCACTCTGAGTTTCTATGTGTTCGTGTTTAAATGTTATGAAACTACATCAAACCAGCCACACACAGCCAGAATAGAGGACAATGCAAACTCAAAGTAACTCACTCAGGATGCGTTGAGGGTCAGTGTTAAACAGGCTGCTTTAAATTAAAGGGACAGGAATAGCCAATAGGTTGCTCTCCTACTATTGTTAAACTACGGCTCCAGTGACTCTGTTTTGTGAGCTCGCTGGTGATACCCCTTTAATTGAGCAACTTACCTGCTCTAAACCAGATGTCTATATTTCATTAGATGTCTCTCTGCCCCATACAGGGCAGCAATGGGAAAACAATACAATACTGGATCTCTAGAAAGCCTATAACGAAACCCAGCATGAAATTGCTACAGTAATCGTAGACCATATGGTGTAGGTGTAGGCCAAATGTCTAGTGACCTCTTTCCTACACAGTGTGAGCATGTTTTTATGGAGTCTTGGCACTGGGTAGATAAATATCCTGTAATTATGAATAATATTAAGACTATTACGCAAAAGAAACCTAAAATTGGATGAGATCATGGTAAATGAACACTTTTTGTTATTAACAATTTAATAGCTATAATCTTTAAAAACAAACAAACAACCAGGCCAGCAGGATTCTGGCATAAAAAGGCAAAGCTTGGGACTGACCTGGAAAAACCTTGGCACTTGGCCCTGGTTCCGTGAGACGTTACTTTATACATTGTATCCTTTTTCCAACACTGCGGATGTGGCTACTTGATATTTATGTTCGACCGGGGAGAATATCAAATGTGAAATGGAATTTTGTTGGAATTGAGAAGAGAATTTCTATTCCTTCTGATTTAGTGATAAACCCCGGAGTTTATCTGTACCAGTAACTAGGTGGCTTTGGCTCCAGCAAGAGATTAGTGATCCACATTCTCTTCATACTTGTTAGTCATGACTCCTGCTGAGCTTATTGGGAAATGTAGTTCACAGAGTTTTCGTTCTCCTGAACTTAAGACAGTTGCCAAGGTGGGGGGTAGAATATGAAGGGGATAGACCTGTGCAAGATCATAGTATCATCATCCGTATAATGTTCAGTTTTTCCAAGCATGTTGTTAACACATATAAATCTAATCCATCACTTACCCATTTACTGGGATCCTACTAAAAACTTAGAACAGCTGTGTATGAAGCAATAGGTATCTGCAGACCATATCATTCTATCCTTGTGGGAGTTATTTACAGCTCTGATAGTGTGTGTCTACATGGAGTCATGTTATATTTTTAGAAAATAACATCATAGGATACATAGATACCTACAGGAAAAACTATGGTGTAGGAGGTGAAACGCGTGGGGTCATTTTTAACTTTGCTCAAAGAAAACATTTACAGCCTGTCCTCAGATCTTCAATGACCTTTTATTAAAGTGCACAGAGCAATGTTTCCAAGCCCAGCTTCCCATATTGTGCTTATTCTTTATTCTCCTTTTTCATTAGAAAATCGATTAACTTGACCATGTGCGTTGACGACGTATTATACCGCAAATAGAATTGCTGACTTTCTCTGTAATCCATTTATGCTGATTCAGGGTCCTTGTCCCGGCCAAGCTATTGTGCATTTTTAGGGAAGTACGTCAAGGCTGAATGTGACATGATGCACAGGAATTCCTCAACAATCTCTCAGGGTCTTCGAGTGCATTTATCCCAATGCAGCAGAATAGCATGTCTGTGCAGCACACCACCAGTTTCTGTTTTCCAAAGTCAGCCCAAAAACTGCAATAATCGAAAATAGAACAAAGGACGACCGTGCTAATATTCTAGCATTCTGATAGTCTGACATTCTGATATAAAGAGATACTGTTTAATTAACGATAAAGATATTCCCATATGGTTTAAGAGCAATGCTTGGATATATAAACCTCTGTCTAAAGCTGTTTATTTGTATAGAAAAGCTATGTCTACAAAAATATACTTTAAAATAATACGGCATTTGAGGTTTTGTAAATAAATTAACTAAGCTGCATTTTTGCGGTTTGAATATCAATACTTTTTATATGATAAACGGCAGAGGGTGTATTACGCTGTTCTATGAAGACCAGTCCATGACAAGAGCAGGCTGGCCATACACCATCACTGATTCTGTCCCTGTAAGTATTTTACTTGACTTTTTTGACTATTATTATTTGTAAAGCGCCAACATGTTCTGTAGAGCCGTACAATAGGTGGACTAACAAGCAGTTAGAACAAGACATTGTGGATGTACAGGAACAGAAGGCACGAACAGAGCCCACCTGAAGCAAGCTTACATTCCAAGGAGAGCGAGGTAAATCACACAAAAAGTAAGGGAGAAAACAGGGTCGGAGCGAGATGAGGTAGCACGTGTTTGCTGCATCCTCGTGGATTGCGTCTGAGGGAGCGATCGAAGGAACCTAATAGGAGGAAAGAGTTTGTCCGTCTTACCGGCGGCGTAAACCAGGGTGCCTCTTGGAGCGTTGCGAGGAAAGGACCTGATGCCACATGGAGAAACAGTAACAGGGTGATGCACCGGATAGAGGCGTAGATGGTCACCACGGCGGACAGATCTAACAGAGCCTGGCATGGAAGAGTGTATCCAGCGTGAACATACGCACTGACAACAGGAAATTCGCAAGTTGGGACTTACCCTCTCGAATTAAGTGCTAATTGTACATTACTTGCTACACTTATTTTGTACACACTGTTAATTAATACTACAGAGGTTAGTAGAAATAAAGAGGTGAAAGTGAAGGGAGAGCAACATATGATTCAGAGACTACCTAAACTAATCCCTGCCCATAGCGAGGAATAGATTGTAGCTGTTCTACAGTGTGCTAAATTAATGAGCCAAGTGGGTCTGCATCAGCACCTGACTTTCCAGGTGGTGCCTGAACTTTTTTGTATCATATTACCACAACATCTTGCACTTCTATCCAAATTTAGCTATTTTAGTTCTGTTCCATCATCCCAAAAAAGAGAAGGGTGGGGGAAAAAAGCAAGCACAAGGGTTCGAACAACAGAAAAAAAAAACAATAAAATATAAAGGCGTACCGGGATAGAGATCTGAAGGTGTGTGGGAAGAGAAGGATTTAGGTAAAAATAAAACAAGTTCTAAAAGTTTACTACACAAAAAAGTTAAGACAGCAATAGCCCAAAGCACATATAACCTCAAGGAAAAGAATAAATAAATTAGACTATAAGTACAAAACTAAAACAAAATGGCTACAAAAAAAAGACACAAAACGGCAAGCACTTAAAAGAAGCCGGAAAATAAAACAGAAAAACGCCTTTCCTTCTTTTCACAAAATCCATTAATCAATAAAACAAATCTGGAGGAATCGATTCTCTCAAACATCCCGTTAGAAGAAGGAATTAATGAAAGGACAAATGGAGGAAAACCAAGAGTCAAGACAGAGATGGAAGAAATGAATATGACTATTTACTTAGTCATATAGACACACAATTCGGGAAATGAAATTAATTCAAAATTCTATGGGCTGGAACACAAGGAAAACGTCCACAAAGAAGAACATCTGGCGCTAGAGAAAAAGATGGCTGACATGGAGGACAAATTGATAGACCTGGAAGACCGGTCAAGACAGAATAATTTAAGAATTAGAGGACTACCAGAACAAATAAATCTAAAAAAATCTGGAACCATGTATAGAGGAATTCTGTAAACACTTGAAGGTGGAATGGGACCCCATAATTCCCATAATGGAAAGATGCCACAGGGTGAACAAACCTAAAGGCGTCCCAGAACATCTCCCAAGGGACGTGATGATATGCTGCGCCTCCTCTAAAATCAAGATGCAAATTCTGAGAGCCATAAGAAGTAAAGAATGCCCAGAAAAATATGAAACATTAAAAAATATTCCAGGATTTGTCATGGCCAACCAGACAAAAAAGGAAGATCTTTTCTGAAGGCACACTAATCCTGAGACAGAACAATATTAATTATCGTTGGGGGTTTCCTACGAAAATGATCATATCACACAGGGAAACTCACCTACATTAATGATGCACATGACCTGAAAAGCTGGTTAAATAAAAATAAAATCGGAAACAGCCTTATCCAGCACTCAACAAATCGGGATGTCCTAAATATATGAAGAAGGGGAAGAGGGAGGGGGAAGGGAAATGAGAGAGAATGACGAGAAATAAGTATTGGTGGTATGCAACTTTCTAATTAAGAAAGATAATTTATTTTATTTTTTTATTTATTTGTAACAGTATTAGGGGACAAGGGGATTAATGGGGTAATATAAACAATAGTAATTTTAGGAATTTAGGAGAAACAAAGAAACACAAATTAAAGAATATTAGATTATATTAAAATCTGATCAAGCAGGCATTTACCAAGATAATCAATGCACAAACTGAAGGAAAATTATCCTCATTAGGATCGCAATAACAAGAAGGAAATGAATTAAGAGACACTGAAAAGGTTATATTAAAGTTAAAGGAAGAAGCTATAAAAAACATAGAAAGGCACATACTTACATAGGGGGAAAGAAAGTTAAGGGTACGGGAACAAGTGATAAGTTTAAGAATAACACAAGCATTGCACAATGAAAAGAAGGAAATAGTGAGAGAATACTTCTATAATAATTTATGCAATAATATGATGAAAGTGTGACGGGTTTAGATTAATAAGATTTCCTTTACCATTTGTTATACCGTGTTTTGTTTTCTCCTTCTACAAGTAGTGCCTCTAGCTAGGCTCATCTCACATCGACTACCCTCAGCACGCCTTTCCCACGGGATACGTCGGACCTGTATCTGGGTGATGTATTTTATTACTTAAGATACAGTATGGCGGGGGTTTTCCGTTAAACAACAAGCTATTCACATTAGCCAACATCTATGCACCAAATAATCTATGCTACAATAAAATTTATAACAAAAGTGTTTCAAAATACAAAGCGTTTCCTGTCTGATAACCATGGACAGATATGAGCGTTTTCTTTAGAAAAAAATTAAGATAACACAAACTCTTGCAGAACTGATCATGTAGATCTAAACGGGGGCAAGGGGACAATTTGGCAAACGCCTTGCACTCTATTCTAAAACAGAATATAACCCTACCATGTAGAAAAAGGATAAAACAGCAATTCCGTGTAGAGATTGAGGTTCAGGGATACCTAAAATAATGAAAATGACAATGTTCCCACATACAGAATTTTATTAATTTCTTCAATATGGTGATGGATAAAATGTTTTGGCGATGATGCGATATCCCTTATCTGGCCTCATTTCACACAGGGACAGAATATTTATCCATCAGTAACATTCGGTGCCACGAAAGGTCAAACAGCCGGCTTCGTGGAAAGAATATAACAAAATGGCTCCACCCAGATAATGTCATACGGCAAAAATATAAAAAGATAATCGTTATACATAAAGGCAAGCTTCAAAGAGGGGATATAATCATTAAGATACAGCGGGCATATGGAAAACAAAACTGAAAAAAAACAGATCCTCCCTAATGGGAATATTTCTTCAATAAATAGGTCTTCTTGGGATATTTTAGCTTCAATTCGTCAATGTGCGCTCCCTCCAGATTATATAAACAATGTCAGATTGCTGTTAATCTGTCATGTGGGAGAAAGACTGATTAAATAGTTTAAAATATATTATCTCTGCAGAGAGACTAGAAGTTTCTATTTCAAGGACCACCAAAGTCACCCAGATCGCTTCATCTAAACAAAGTGGTCTGGGTGCAGTGGCCCTGTACGTTTAACCCTTTAAGGTAAAACATTGATGTTTTGTAGATTGGACAATGTATACCCTGAATGGTTAAACACGCCAATTGAGGAGCTTCCAATGCATTGACTGTGTAAAAGATGTACATCAGGTCAACTAATGCTCCACTTTGAGGATCATTGGACTGGACCATCGCTGGAGGACACCATTTCTCCTTGATGTCTCTAATTTGGTATTCGCTAAAGTTACTAATAGAATAAAACCTTTCCTTGTAAAGGAGACCAATTTCGACAAAGAGGCCAAAGAGTAAGGTGGCTCTGTGCAATGCTGGTTTCCTGCCCTGACTGCAGATTACTGCCACCAGAAGAAACAATTCTATAGATTAACATAAATAATTTCATTCTAAGTGTATTTATATATTATTTATATATAGTTATATTATTTTATTAATTATATATTGAGACCTGCCTAAAAAAGTCACAAAGTCCACATAATTTAATTTGCAGTCCCTATACATAACACTGTAACTTTCCAAAACACCATAAAATCTGTTATATTCAGAATATGAGCGTTTTAAAGCAGTAAAACGTAACTCAATGATGATATCATCAGTAAAAGTGCAGCTGTTGTGTGAAAAATGCAAAAAAACAAATCTGAACGCAAATTTGGCCAGTGTTTGTGACAAAGTGGCTACTGAAAAAGACTGGACATACCCCATTTTGAATACCCTGGGTTGTCTTGTTTTACAAATGGTGTGCCATGATTGGGGTAATTCTCATTCCTGGGCTGCCATACGGTCTCAAATCCGGCAAATTTCAATGTGTAAAAACTGAAAAGGGGGGACGTGCTATATTTAACCCCTTAACCTTCCAAAACACCGTAAAACCTGTGAATGTCGGCATTCTTTGGGCTCTTGGCTAGAATCCCGATACCTTACCTGGAAGGATCTTTAAAAACCTTGATTACATTTTTTTTTCCTATTACTTCTAAAACCATTGAATTAGAGACTGCCTGAGGCTGGAGAGTGATCCAGACAGGTCTAGAATAACAGACGTGAGATACAATTAATCTCCTGTTTAATTATATTAAATTACTGGTGTCTAAAAGCATAGAAAGACACTCACTTTGATATAATATGAGGAAAAACAGAACGCTCTAAATCAAAAGAATCTTCAAAGAACAGCTGTCCCAAACGAGATAAAAGCATCTTGAATCCAGTACAAAAACGTATTTTTATTGTTTGGTTTTTTTTAAGGTTTTTTTTGTGTGGTCATTTTAAGAATGCTATCCGTGATGTGCCTATTTAAAATGTACTGATATAGGCTCCAGGCAGTCTGCGGCATCATAATCATTCACTAGAATGAGTCATTACAAAATACAGTGCTGTGTGTATTTATACATGTCATGACTACCGAAAACAAAATATTAGGGAATGGTGTAAAATAACAGCAAAAAAACCAAAATCAATGACTTCTTCAAAGTTCATTTATCATCGCAAGGGCTCCTCCAAGTATGTTGTTATGTGTGTATTTATCTAGATTTATAGATAGAGTAGACAGACGGACAGAAAATATAAATATATATATATATATATATAAAACAGCACCAACATATTGTGTAGCGTTGATACTATTTATGAAAATGATGTGTCTGGACACAATGTTTCTGTCTGGACACGGTGAAACGTGACCTTAATCTTTCCCGCACACAAGGAAGTAAATTGACAAACATTAATTCTTCCACCTTGCTCTGTCAAGGCTACATGGGACTTTCCACGACCGGCCTGTAACTGGGAAATGGAATTCATAAATAACAATAATATAAATAAACAATGACAGAGAGAGTCTCTGAATGTAAACACAACTTCATTTAACAGTCACTAAAAGTTAAAGTGACCCGGTTAAGTCAGAAGTTGAACGTTCGTGTTCTGAGGTTATAACAATTTATACGCCAGAGGCAGGAGGAAAACCACGGAAAACTCTCTCTCAAATGTGCCCTGATCGCAGTCTCTTCTGCCTGAATTTAGCCAATAGGTTGGTTAATATTCTAGACGTTAAGCTATTTATATTTCACTTGTAATCGTTCGGGCATGACACAGATTTTACCTACCCAGCTGTTCTGCTCAACATGTCTGAGGTCACTAAAATGTGATGCCATTCCTCAACACCCATAGTCACTGCTGCCAAAATAAATATTGTGGCTGGCAGAGGAGCTGTTTCCCATGATAGATGATGAGTGGATCAATTTTCCCAGATGCCATAGATCGTAGCCATTGGGTCTCCATACCAGTACGACATATATCTCAGATTTGAAGATCCACTGGAGCATTTCAGCAATGCATAGTAGACTACAGGTTTTGAAAAACGGTATTAGTCAAGATGCCGAATAATAGAATATTGTATTATGTTATTATACTGCTTTTCCTGACGAACCGGATATGGAACAACCGGCTTTTAGAAAATGGACCCTTTATCAAGTCTAAAGCGTTTCACCAGCTTTAGAGAGACACAGTAAATAAAATAAGCTTTATTCAATACATCTGCTAGTACATGTGTCGATAAAATGATCACTATGAAACATAATTCGATCACACGCCTCCTGTCCCTTCAATTGGCATCTCGTACAATATGGCGTAAAGGAAAGCCAGGATCTACCAACAGTCAAGTTGTACATTATAAGTAAAGGGGGCACAGCTAAGACTCTGCCAGGCAATTCACATTCTTCAGAAAGAATGGCCATAAGATAAAATACTCTCTTTTTATTTCTCTGACAATATTTTGCAATTTAGTTCAAATCATTTTCAAAATACTAAAATCACCAAGACCTAGCCGGATTTGGATTCATGATTTTATTATATTGATAACAAAACGTGTGACTTTTCCTCTACAATTCTTTAAGATGACTCAGTACAAGCTGTCTACTGATATCATGAAGCCAATTGTAAACCAGTAAAATGAGCGCAGAATTGTAACACTACACCAATGGGATATGGTGACTGCTTAATGTCTTCCCTAAAACCACCAGACTGAATTGTTTACCTGCATTAAAGTTGCTTAATTTGATATTTAGAAATAGTTTATATTTTTTATTATACTGATATTTTGTGCCAGATAAGCAGCGTAGTGGGAAGAACATATTTTGACGATAACGCTTCTTCGATACAAAGTAAATTATAGGAGATTATTATATACTCTACAAAAAAAAAAAGACAACACAAAAAACAAAACAAAATCGAGATGGAGAATGCTAAAGCCTTGGAATGCAATGTAAAAGAGTTTAAAATTTCCCAAAATAGAACAAAAACCAGCCTGAGGATCTTTATCTTCTATGTAGCAGGTAATAAGATATATATCGAAATGCAGGGGAATCTACTGAGTAAACGCATTACAGTTCTAAAAAGCGGTCGATGCTCGGGTCATGATAAACCCGGTTCGAGGTGACTGTGTATTCAAAGTTTATTTAAGATGTCGGTTTTTAATTCTCGAGCAAGCAGCTTATTCAAATGTTAGTCAGCTTGGTTTTGCAGAGAATTTTTCAATCCGTAGATTGTTTTACCGGAAAATGTGGACTATTGATTTTGGCAGTTCATGCCCTAACATTTGGACAACCTTGACCTCACAGGTGTTCTATTCTGGAAAACGGCAATTATGTACAAAATACCAAAATAGTCCTGAATTAACCTCCTTCTCTCTCCTCATAACAAATTCTCCATTCCCTCTCCCTCGCTACTCTTTACCAAAATTATAACCTTAGAGTAAGTCATTGACTAAAATCTGGCTTTTTTTTTTTTTTTAAATTCTATTTGTATCAAAGGTTTTGATTTTGGGTGGGGGTGGAGGTACAGAAGAAAAGTGGGAGAGTGTGGGGGGTCATTACATTCTTCATACATTTTGTGCAGGTTGTAAGTTTAACAATGAGTAACAAGACATTAGGCACATCTTTGGTTAATTGCCAACAGAGAACCATTATGATGCGTAAGCCTCAACTTGTTTTACAGTTCTGGTAAACACTTATAGGTACAGTAGGAAATATTGGTTATTTGAGTACTTGTATCATATTGCGAATGCCTTTCGGTACTTGTAGTGTCTGGGGCGGTCATGTCTCGTGTGTGTGGTGTTGTTGCGGATTTCATCTGTCGATAGTTCGTATTTTTCGCGTTTTATGCGTGTCTTTTCTGGTTTCTAAGTCTTTGTGTGTCTTGGTCGGGGTAGGGGAATGGTGGTAGTGGGGACAGTGGTTAGTAACTGTCTGTCCTGTCGGTAGACTTAAGGTGTCTTTTGTTGTCTTATCGTTTATGTTAGAGGTTCCTCTTGGGGTAGGGGGAGGGAGGGTATAAGAGGGGTGGGGGGAGGGAAGGTTTAGAAGATGTGCCGTGGACAGGTGAGGGTGTTGGGGTGAATGGGGGGTAAAATCTTGCTTTTTAATAGAATTCTGTTTATTTATTTTGAGTTAGGGGAGACTCACTTCTTGTGATTTCATTTCTCCTAAACTCTGCCAGGGAGGGAGAGAAATTCAAATTTAGGGAAAAAATGTCTGACTTGACTCTGCTTCCAGTCGAGCTATTGTCCGTTTAGTTAATAATGCTGGGTGTAATTCAATCAGTTTGTGTTGTTATTGCTTAATGTGCCCTTTGTCCTATTTCTGGATTGATTGTAACACAATAGGTCAACACATTCTACAGATAAAGTGGAAATCCCACGCTTCTATTGTTTCTACTTTGAATTTCATATAATGTCTTTAAACATTTTCCGGATATTGAACAGTCATGAAATGTTCCATTAATTATCTATCCACAAAAGGCCACTTCTTCATTTTAAGAACCCGAAGGTTTCCTGCAACAATTAAAGGGGAACTGTCATTTCCCACGGTTCTACTTATTCTATTTACTTATCTTTATATTTAACAGATTTGTGTTTGTGAGGTGAGAAAAAATAAAAAAAATGTAAAAATTCCCACGTTTTATGCTGTAACTGGGCGTCTCCATCTTAGCTCCCCGTCAGCCATTGTAATAAGGTCTGTCCCTTGCACCTGATGGTCAGCACAGAGAGAGCAGACAGAGACAAGGAGAAATTGAAGAATTTCTTTTTTCTTCTGCAGTCTGCGACCTGGCATTGGCTTGAATTGACTGACAATTGATGTACTTTGCCGTATGTTTAATATAAATATAAAAGGAAACGGACCATCTTGTGAATAAAAGTAGAAGAAACTTCTTAAATGATTTGTGTTTTCAGCTATTAAGGGACATGAGGCTCTGTAACCATTTCATGTCACTAAATTGAGTTGAACTTGGTTAAAAATGGTTTAACACTAAAATAAAGGATGGGGACAGTGGACTCCAGACACTATAACCACTTCAATGAGTTGAGGCAATTCCACGGCTTTCACTGTCCCTTTAAGAAAAAGAAAAGAAAGCAGCCTACTTGTTTTTAATAAATGCTCAGTTGATATTTTATGGATCCAGAAAAGTACTTCTTCCAGCGTAGACAATGATCGGACTGACAGATTTAATGTTTCTTTCGCTCAGGAGGTTCTGAGTTCTGGTAACTGGTTCACTTTCACTAAAGAGAGAATTTTCGGGAATTCATTGTGAAATTCACATTTAAGGCCAAAAAAAGCCAAACTGGTAGCATATCTGACTCGGAGAATGCTTCCACTTCGCCTATTTTGGCCTTAAATTTGAAATTCACTTTGAGTTCACTTTAAATTCGAATAACGACAATAACCCTGATATTTTAACGAGAGCTGCTGAAGAATGATTGGTTGTATGACTGGGGCAGGTTAGTACTAAAGGACTTTTTTTTTTAAATTAAAAAATGCTTAACTTTTTGGGGAAGACATAAAGCGGTCACCATATCCCATCCCTATCTCTGTGATTCCGAAAGTGCCGTGCTTTTCTATAGAAACATAGAATGTGACGGCAGATAAGAACCATTTGGCCCATCTAGTCTGCCCACATAGTTTGGGTATAATTTGTCTCTATGCTGTGCTGCAAATTCATATGGCAAATAAAATATAGGTCACTTTGTGGTTGTGTTGCCACATCTGCAAGGAAGATCTTTGTGCTGTGAATCTTGATTGCTTTTTGCAATTAAAAGAAGTAGAAGCACTCAGTTGGATAGTTGTAAATAGTGCTCCTCTAATTTCCTCTATACTGTTCCTGTGTCCAGGTCAGATGTATATGGCCCATCTTACAGAAAATCATGTCTTTGTTTGTTTCGTGATGGTCCTCACGTTATTCAGGGGCTTTCCAACCAACTTCAGTTGGATCGGACTTCTGTTTCCTGTACGTAGTCTGCCATCCGTTGTCTTCGTACAGCCCGACATATGTTCCCATTGATTAAACATAAGGTAAAACACCATAATAGGGTCTGATTTCCTAACTATTCTTTTTGGAGTGGAAAGCCTTCAGCAAAACTCTTTTTTGTCCAGTTGAGCATTGTTAGCAAGAAACGTTATATTCCTTAACCATGGTTTGTTTAATCATTGTTGAAACTGGAAACTTTTTAGTCCTCCTTCTAAGTATGGTATCCCCTCTGAGCTGCATGGTGGCCAGTTTAAGTACCGTTTTCTCCATCCTTGGAAGACGAGTGGTGCCTGAAAGACATGTACATTTCACGTTTCTCTTTGTCGGGTCTCATTCATTTTCAAAGAAGCCTTTTGTTTAGTTCAGAATTCAAAATCTATTCTTGTAACAGTAACAATTCATGAGGTACTTTTACTAAAAATATCTTCCGTAATTCTCTTGTATTTTTGTTTGTTCGCCATCAACTCCCACTCGTAAAAAAACAAATAACCTGCTCTCCCACCACAACACCAAATCACAACAACATGTTAGTTAGAGGGCTAGGCCGAAAATTTTATTTAGAAAAATATGTTCACTGTTCTCTGTGCTGAGAAAACTCTAATAAAAAGTTAATTTGGAAAAGGTATGCAAGACAAAAACAATAATATTTTAATGCTGTTGCTTCAGACAGTAAACCCATTAAAGGAATTGAAGAATGCTCAGGATGTGTATAAGGCTAACACAGTAAAGGAATTGAAGAATGCTCGGGATGTGTATAAGGCTAACACAGTAAAGGAATTGAAGAATGCTTGGGATGTGTATAAGGCTAACACAGTAATGGAATTGAAGAATGCTCAGGATGTGTATAAGGCTAACACAGTAAAGGAATTGAAGAATGCTCGGGATGTGTATAAGGCTAACACAGTAAAGGAATTGAAGAATGCTCAGGATGTGTATAAGGCTAACACAGTAAAGGCATTGAAGAATGCTCGGGATGTGTTTAAGGCTAACACAGTAAAGGCATTGAAGGATGCTCGGGATGTGTTTAAGGCTAACACAGTAAAGGCATTGAAGAATGCTCGGGATGTGTTTAAGGCTAACACAGTAAAGGCATTGAAGAATGCTCAGGATGTGTATAAGGCTAACACAGTACTGGAATTGAAGAATGCTCAGGATGTGTATAAGGCTAACACAGTAATGGAATTGAAGAATGCTCAGGATGTGTATAAGGCTAACACAGTAAAGGAACTGAAGAATGCTCGGGATGTGTATGAGGCTAATAAAGTATATTAATTAGAGAATGTTTTGGATATGTATAAGGTAGTCATTTCAGCTTGTCATATTTTCTACATATCTCTCTTCAGGCCAAGTGAAGGTGCAGCTTGTGCAAGGAGACATTTCATGTTTGGATGATGTGCGTGGCGCACTGCGAGGGAGCCATGTTGTTATACACACTGCCAGCCTAGTGGACGTTTGGGGACGTGTGCCAGCTGCCAAGGTCACAGAGGTCAATGTGAATGGTAAGACGTCAAAGCAAATGGTCAATTTACAGTTATTAATACTAATGAAGTGTTACCCTAGATCTGTAGTAGGCAACCTTCATCGGTCGTGCTCACATTAGGATTATTCAATGCTTTCATATGGGGATTCTGGTGACGCTGGAGGTCCTCATGCATAGCGTGAGGATATCCAGCGTCATTTAGGCGACCAAAAGTCACCTTGAAGCCAGGAAGTCCCTCTAGTGGCTGTCTGGTGGACAGCCACTAGAGGGGGAGTTAACCCTAGCAGGTAATTATTGGAGTTTATAAAAACTGCAATAATTACATGCTCAGGGTTAAGGGTGATGGGGCAATGAGCTGAAGTTGTCTGGGTGCCTACAGTGTCCCTTTAATTTCAGGGTTAAAAAAACCCTCACCATATATCTGTATCCACTGGGAATGCGGGCAGCCGTACATATGAATTTAATTCACCAAACCAACTTAATGTGACACAGAATTCCGCATGTGGATGAAAAGCTGTTGTTCGACTATTCATGGAAAACATTCACAAATGTGACCTTTTTAAATCCCCAAGTGCTGGGTGGAGGAGACAGATCAAGTGCTGCAATTTCCTGCACAGTAAAACAACATAATTTAATACCAGTTCCCTTGTTTTGAGTTTGCTAGTCAGACGTCTACTAAAAGAGCCTCCCTCCCCCATGTTACTAATGCCACCTGTTACAGGAACAAGTGGGCTGGTTTGAGAGCAGATACAAATATTTTCATAAACTCTACATTTCCTCAAAGAGGGCCCATTGAACATTTAATCTACTGCCCCCTTAAATAAATCTCTGTTTGTAGGGACGGAAAATGTGCTCCAGGTGTGCGGCGAGGAAGGGATCCAGTACCTGATCTATACCAGCAGCATGGAGGTTGTAGGTCCCAACCAACATGGAGATCATTTCTACAGGTATTTGGGACAAACCATTTTCACTCTGCGCACGCTAACAGAAAACTGCGCCAACGCTAATGGGTTTTATCACTGAACTAAAACGTGTCAAGCTATTGACAAGGGAACCGCAAAATCTGGGCCAAAAAGAATCATGGTCCGTAATTTCCCCCCCCACTATTATCGTTTATTGTCTAAGGCCTTAACAGGAAGGTACTGGAAATTGGAAATCTGCACTCCCAAACATACCTGCAGTTTACATACAAATCTATGGACAAGCTGAGCATTTTCCTACTAATTACAGGTGTGATGGTGTAGGAGGGAATATATTCATTTATTGCAAGACGAAACAGTCCATAAAATCTATAATACTGTATAAATAGTTTTTATTTCCTCAATAGACAAATTAAGAAAATAAATATCTATATTTTTTCTGTGTGGTTAATTTATTATAGTGAATTACAATAAATTGGAAAGCAAATGCAAACGTAGAGCCAAGAAACTCTGATTCGGAAAAATGTTCTCACGTTTTGGGTAATTTTTGCCCATGTTTTGCAACATTCTTTCAATTTGCTTCAATAACCCCCATTGTTTAATGTGTTAGCAATGCATCCTGTTTTAATGAGTATTACGTTACTTTCCATTACACCTGGATTTGTGTTCTGTGAAGTACTGGGCAGTGAAGGAGTTACGTTGTATTAGCTGTTTTGAATTCTGTTTGACCACACACAGAGTGTGCAGAATCTGTGCAGCTCGCCACGTGGGGCGCACGCTGCCGCTTCCAAAAAGACCGGGTCAGAGACATCTGTGGTCAGTTAATGCCAAGAAAATAAAATTCCACAGGGTTCCAAGAGATCAGCCAGCATGAGGTCTTAAGGCTTGCAATCACAGTTTCCTTAATAATGCGAAACACACACACAAAAACAGATAAAAAAACAGCAACTTTTTAACAACATTGACTTGAAGAGACATTTTAAATGAAGCTGCAAAATGGCATTTCTGTACCTTTGATTATATTTCAAACATTTAAAAGTATATATTTGAAATCGCTGTTTTGTTCTTTCATTTGCGTTCTTTTAAATAGAACTGAAAATCTGTTTGTAATAACGTTTGCTGTTCATTACCAATAGGTTGTTTATTTCTTTAAAGCACAATTATTCCGCTGTAGTTTTAAGGAGTCCGTTCTAAAACAGAGGCCATACTGGGAAAGCCTTTCCGTGTTTCCAGAGTAAAACCAGCTATAAAAGCAGCCAGGTTAACACAGTAGTTAGATTTATATTTTCCATCCTTGTGCTGCGTTCAGAACATGTCATGGAATATAAGAACAAAAAGGAAGAAAACTCTGTTTAACTCTCTCCATCCCGTTTAATGCTATTAGAGAGACACACTCTAGGCACCATAAACACCACAGCTTATTGAAGTGGTTATGGTGTTAGGAGAGGGCTTAAGTCCCATGCTACTAGCCAGGCCTAAAAGTTAATTGCCATTGCAAACCTAGATGGGCCATAGTGCAGTCACCTGGGGTGAATTTCTAGTCTCCAATGGCTACTGGGCAAGTGGAAACTGTTATCATTTTGTGAAAATATAAAAGGAATCATGAATACATAAAGGGAATCAACACAGTAAAGGATGAGACTATATTTAAAAGAAGAAAACTACCACAACAAGAGGACATAGTCTTAAATTAGAGGGGCAAAGGTTTAAAAATAATATCAGGAAGTATTACTTTACTGAGAGGGTAGTGGATGCATGGAATAGCCTTCCAGCTGAAGTGGTAGAGGTTAACACAGTAAAGGAGTTTAAGCATGCGTGGGATAGGCATAAGGCTATCCTAACTATAAGATAAGGCTAGGGACTAATGAAAGTATTTAGAAAATTGGGCAGACTAGATGGGCCGAATGGTTCTTATCTGTCGTCACATTCTATGTTTCTATAAAACGGGGCTTAAAAGCAGAGCTCACTGTCAGTCTGAGTCAGGAATGACATCTCTCAATTCCCAGCATTCATAGCATGCTGACATGTTCTTATCATATTAAAAGCTCAATAAGAATAACATGACGTTGCTCATGTAACCGAGTTTAAGATTTCTCCAGCTCTGACTAATACATTCTATCTAGCGTTACTGAGGGTAGGAAAGTGTATAACCATTATGTTAGAATCCATCGCAAGGAGTCAATTCAGTATCCTCAGGAAGGTTATTGATTAAATCTAATTAATATAGAGTCCAATGGAACCATTATCACTTTATGTCAGTTCACAGTCACAGCAAAACCTAGCCCCCCGGGACCTCTTCCTCTTTCACAATACCTGGCCCTTTCTGCAATACAAAGCATGTGTTACGCTGGATAACGCCTCTCCTGCTCTACACACTAATCCTCTCTACTTTTTCCAGGGGAAATGAAGACACAAAATACAGAGTTTTTCACAAACAGCCTTATCCTCTGAGCAAGGCAAAAGCAGAGAAACTTGTCCTCCAAGCCAACGGAAGGAAGGTAATACCCTCCGTGACAGCTAGGTGTCAGTAGAGTACCTTACACAGTACAGACATTATCCAGGTCCAGAGGTGTTGGTGATCACATACCAGTCTATTATTATTAAATGCCAATATATTGTGCACCACTGGACAATGGGTGGATTGCACATACCGATAATTGCAGCAAGACAACCGGTTTATCATATTATGGGCTGTAATTCACACAAATCCCACCCAATGTGTTGACTTTTAAAGGGACACTATAGGCAGCCAGACCACATCAGCTCTTTGAAGTGGTCTGGGTGCACCGCCCCTGTCAGTTTAACCCTGCAATGTAATTTATTTATTTTTTGGTTGCCTGACGCTGGACATCCTCACGCTATACATTTGAATGCTTGTAATTCACACAATTAACACAAAGGGAAAAGAGACCAGATTCATTTAGAAAACAGTTGTTTGTAATTCATAAAGTGACCACAGAGGGGCATCATAGTACAACATGCATTTAACAAACTACATTGCGCTAACATTAACACACTATATAAAAATATTGTTTATTCTATTGCATTTTAAAGACAATAATATGTCAGCTTAAAGTGCTTATAGCAAACACGTATTGGTATGTAACATTACTATTGGGGTGCATCCTGTAGTTAGATCATCAAATAATGTACATATGTTTAGTTTTACCTTGTTTAGTTTAAAGGAACACTATAGTCACCTAAATTACTTTAGCTAAATAAAGCAGTTTTAGTGTATAGATCATTCCCCTGCAATTTCACTGCTCAATTCACTGTCATTTAGGAGTTAAATCACTTTGTTTCTGTTTATGCAGCCCTAGCCACACCTCCCCTGGCTATGATTGACAGAGCCTGCATGAAAAAAAACTGGTTTCACTTTCAAACAGATGTAATTTACCTTAAATAATTGTATCTCAATCTCTAAATTGAACTTTAATCACATACAGGAGGCTCTTGCAGGGTCTAGCAAGCTATTAACATAGCAGGGGATAAGAAAATCTTAATTAAACAGAACTTGCAATAAAGAAAGCCTAAATAGGGCTCTCTTTACAGGAAGTGTTTATGGAAGGCTGTGCAAGTCACATGCAGGGAGGTGTGACTAGGGTTCATAAACAAAGGGATTTAACTCCTAAATGGCAGAGGATTGAGCAGTGAGGCTGCAGGGGCATGTTCTATACACCAAAACTGCTTCATTAAGCTAAAGTTGTTCAGGTGACTATAGTGTCCCTTTAAAAACATTGTGCTTAGTTTTACTTTGTGTTTAGTTTTACCTTGTGTTCAGTTTTACCTTGTGTTCAGTTTTACCTTGCGTTCAGTTTTACCTTGTTTTGTTGGTAGATTAAGGATGGAAAGACCCTTTACACCTGTGCATTGCGTCCGACTGGTATATACGGAGAAGGACATGGACTCATGAAGGATTTTTATAAACAAGGGGTGAAGACTGGAGGCCGGGTGTTTAGAGCAATCTCACCCTCCATTGAGCACGGACGGGTATATGTCGGTAGGTTAAGTTCTGGGTACCTGCAGTAAACCCTCCATGCAGTCAGTTATTATGCAGATTCATTCGTCCACCACAGAATGCAATACATCTTCTGTTATATTTACAATCCATATTTAACCTAGGACTGGGGTTTGTGACCAATTAACTTGCCCGTTGGTCAGTTACATTTAGCTGTCATAGTGTTTCTTAAACCCCTTGAGGGGCACTGATGGCTACAATGAATGGAACGTGCCTATGGGCTTTTCCAACACAGTTATAAGTGTTGGGTTGCTATTACTCTCTGTAACCCCTCCTGGCTCCCCCTTGGGGATGAAAAGAGAGATTATAGCGAAGGATCAGTATGAGTGGAGAGAGAGAGGCTAATACAGATGTTGGATAAAGGGACACTATAGTCACCAGAACAACTACAGCTTATTGAATTTGTTCTGGTGAGTAGAATCATTACCTTCAGGCTTTTTGCTGTAAACACAGTCTTTTCAGAAAAAATGCAGTGTTTACATTACATCCTAGTGATAACTTCACTGGCCACTCCTCAGATGGCTGTTAGAGATCCTTCCTGGGTCATGGCTGCCTAAAATGCATCCAAACATTCAGTATCTCCTCCCTCTGCATGCAGACACTGACCTTTTCTCATAGAGATTCATTGATTCAATTCATCTATATGAAGAGATGCTGAATGGCCAGGTTGGCATTTGTCTCAACCCCAGGGCCGCCTCCTTGGCTGAGATCATCAAACTTGACAATCTCAGCTAATCCAATGCTTTCCATATGAAAGCATTGTGATAAGCTGAGATCATCACTTCTGGTGATGTCAGCCAAGGAGGCAGATAAGGGCAGAGCCAGCAGCAGCACACTGGAATAAAAGCAAGCTTTTACTATATTTAGGGGTGCAAGGAGGGGCCAGATGGTGGTTTTAACATTATAGGGTCAGGAATACATGTTTGTGTTCCTGACCCTATAGTGTTCCTTTAAGCAAAGCAGGCTCTAATCTGAGGCAAGGTGCTAAATGCTGTGTTGGTTTCCGTGGTGAATGATGTATTATTGCACTTTGCTCAAGAATAACACCTGCTGTTGCCTTGATAAAAAAGACCTGTCAAGAGCCCCAGGTATTTTGTCTGTGTATTTCACCCAGTATTGAACAAGTTACCATGCTCTTGTCTCCTGCAGGGAATGTGGCTTGGATGCATGTCTTGGCTGCCCAATATCTGCAGGAGCGGCCAGATACCTTGGGTGGACAACAGTATTTCTGCTACGACCACTCTCCTTATAAGAGCTATGAGGATTTCAACATGGAGTTCCTCTCGAGCTGTGGATTCCGCATGGTGGGAAGCCGCCCGTTGGTGCCCTATTTCCTTCTATACCTTCTGGCTCTGTTTAACGCCTTGCTGCAATGGCTGCTACATCCATTTTGTGTCTACGCTCCAATCCTTAACCCCTACACCCTGTCCGTGGCTAGCACCACATTCACCGTACAGACGGACAAAGCAGAGAAGCACTTTGGGTACCGACCACTCTACAGCTGGGAAGAGTGCAAGAGCAGGACAATTACTTGGGTTCAATCTCTGGAGAAAGAGGGCAAAAAACATTAGCAAGAGGCATAAAATAGAGATGCCTAGAGCTGAGCAATGGCCACAGACGCTCAAACCAGTTAGATACCCGTAAGATACCATGAATGCAATGAATGTTCAGTTAGCTAGCAGAGAGGAATATAGGAAATATAGTCTGAAAGCGGATAGCTGGATGGCCAACAAAAAGGAGAGAAATAAACCTCTAGGACAGGGTATCAAAGATGTTATAGGATTTTAGATCCCATAACAGCTTGGTGGGAAGCACAGCTCTATCCACTCCCCTTCTAGATATGTGAGAACCATTATCAACGCTCAAGTGCAACTCCCATCATTCCCAGTTACTTTCAATTCCGTCATCATGGTGGTCCACGAATCAGACTTACTACTCATGCAGAGTAAACATGTCTCTGTCACCACCATAACTTTAGGGGTCTGAGAAAAGCTGAAATTTATAATAGGGTGCTTAATATAAATATATATATATATATATATATATAAAAACTATTATGTAATTATTTAATACACAATTGTTTATTCCTATTTATACAGTGTATATATTGTGGCCGGTTCTGACAGTGGCACAGAATTACCAATGTTCAGACTGCATGCTCCGTGTGATGGAGAGAGTAACAACGAATACAATGCAATGAAACTCCGAGTGTAAGCCAAGTCAATTGACACGCAGAGCGTTTACAGCTCAGTAAATACAGCATTTTCATGGTCAAGGTGTGCATTGATGCTGATCAGACGTGATGGTCGGATAACAAAATGTTATGACCCATTGTTTTAGCTTAGTGGAATTCTTATATGGTAGGAATGTATCCACTAAACAATGAGTTGGATAAACCATCTACAATAAGTAGTGTTTGAAATATTACCCAAATCAGTGGTGCTATTTTTCACACTATGTTGGCTTGAATTTTGAAGCTTGCCTCAACTCACAGTTCCGTGAATAAACCAGTTATTTTTAAATTACATAAATGGCGTTAGCCTGGAGGCTCATTCTTCCAATATAATATGATACACCAAAATAAATTGTGTAAAACCCCTTCATTAGACTTTTGTCCGCTGGCGATGCAAGTGCCGCTGCATTAAAAGAAATCTGCCTAGGATCTGGTGAATACAATGTGCCTCTTTCAACCCAAATTGTGGTTCCTGACCAAGGGGTTCTGAAAACAGTTTCCCATATCCTATAGCTCCTCCAACTGAACTGAACATGCGTCGGTCTTTGGACGAAGGTATTAAGTTAGCCGCCGGCCATGCTTTGCCACAATATATACATAACAGAATGTTTATTTAATTATCTATTTAATTATATTTTGTATTGTATCTCTCTGTATGAGATATATAGACAATGTAAGTTAACACAGTGATATAGGCAGAATGGAGAGCGAAACGGGTATCTATTTAACAGGAATATTTTTTACCAATGAGGGAATATGGAAGAATGTGATTGGATGTGGTAAATTTCCTTGTAATCACTATAATATATACCTATGATACAGAGAATTGACAATGAAAGATTTAACCCCATCCCCAAAAAAGGGGAAATGGATTAGCTGAGTTAATCAATTTTACTGGGTCAAGTGTTTTGGCCTAAATGTTGCCGTAGCAGCACTACAGAACTAGGGAGATTACAGACTGCACATCATCCTGAACACCTGATATTTGGGAATGAATGTAACTCCGGTGACCTGTGATATAGCTACACTGTTAATTCTAGACATGGGATGGACATGCACTGAAATATCCACTAAACTCAGTCTACAATATTCACATAGAAAATTATATTGTAGGCCAAAATATTGGATTTCAAACTAAAATTCATCCCGTAGTTTCTTATCCATAGAATAACTTGGAGGAGCACTCGACCAAGTAATTGTAGCAATAATATAAAACCAAAAAACACATTCTGTATCACAGATATTATTAGATCGCTATTCAGTTACATGGGCTAAGATTATGTCATGTAATAGGATCTAGGCCTTATATCTGCTGACACCTTCCTGTCAGAATACTGGAGATCCCCTTTGGCAGTCACGAGTATTTCTGTTTCCTCAAAATCTGATTTAAGTGTGATTTTGAATATTGTGTAAACTTCTCTTCTGCCAATTCTAATAATTCCTTCTTTTAATAGAATTTATTAGAGACCCAGACGAGTTCCACTAACAGGACAAATCGGTCCAAGAATAGTGTATATCATTATTAGTATCCTGAGTAAGTCATAATTTGTATTATTGTTTATAAATGACAGAGTAAAGATTTGGTTTTTGATGTCATATGTCCAAAAAGTCAGAAGGTGGGTTTTACATAGAAAGTGGTGGAGTCAAATTCCAGGGGTGCACACTAGCACCCCACTATTTTAAAACAGACAACACTAAACTTAGATATGTAATTTAACAATCCAGCTATATTTGGCCTAAAATGTGAAATATGCTACATTCTCCATGATTTTAAGCTTACTGAATTAAACCCAAAAATTCCAAGGAATCTCCATCTCTTCTTGAGAGATAATTATGTAGTCAGAATTTATTAGCCCAATAATTGCGCCATATATAGTGGCACTGTAGAAATAGACATATAAGTGACAGACATGGGATAAAGGTGACTGAGTAAGTGATTTTGAAAATTATCATTTCTTCCTCCATTTACTTAAGTAGTGTGGATACCACCGTCTTCTAGGCCATTAGGGATGTGTGCAATAGATGTATTTTTCACACCGTTCTGCAAACCTACAGAGGAGATTAGCACTTTCAACAGGACCAAATGTATCTTTTGAAATTGACATTTTACAGAATTCCAGACCTTGCGTCTCCTGTAAGGAGCTTGCGCCAAATTGCAGCACCATAAATAGAAATGCAATAATATAAAGAAATACGCATCAATAAATGTTTTATTATCAAACAGAGCGTCCTGTCTATGATTTTGAGCGTCAGAAGCAGGAACGAGGGAGAGACCCAGACGCGTTCCACTAACAGGACAAATCCAGTATTTGGGTCTTCCAGAGATGCTTTGTGGTTGGGTCCCAGGATGAGAATTTGTGTTTTCTGTTCAGTAATCACGCAGACATGCAGTTTTCCAGGGCAAACCTTGTCCTGTGTGCAGCCAGAACCCCCAGCAGCTCTTCTCACGGCAACTTATATTACGAATGTACTCCACTGCACAGTACAATACCAGCTCTTGTAGGGTTTGGCATTTTGTATTATCATGTCATGCCTCTCTCACAACCCTGTGTCCCACATTCAATTCAGAATGATAATAGTGTTTGTCCTAGTGAGGACTACTTTAACATTTAATGTTTTAGACTGACACCTTGTGGTGTATTGCAGGATACTGCAGAATGTAGAATGACTAAGGAATGTTACTGACACCTAGTGGGCACTGTCTGTATTGCAGGGATGACAAAATACTGTTCTATTTCACTTTCAAACAGACTTAGCTGAATTATCTTATACAATGTGCTTTGCCAAGAAAAAAATGTGTTTTATTTTAACCTGTGTATGATGTTTTTTTTTTAAAAAAAATAAAAAGCCTGGATCTACCCACATCCACAGAGAGACATTCTGAATATGAAGCTTCAACTCACCCTGCATTATATCATTGCTGAAGCCATAATATAATCTAAAGTTTACCTTTTACGTGTCAGAGCACGTATTTTAATATGGTATTCACCTCTCTGGTCCACTAAGTGTTAAATCAAGCAATTAGCTGCCTGATACAATACAAAGTACATATACACAGTGTAGACTTACACTAACAGGGACACAAACACACTAAAATGATATCACACAGATACAGACACACAGTAACACATCGCTAGATCTCCGTACACCTATCCTCTGTTCTTTTAGTTATAGTATAGGGCAAAATTAGCTTTAACCCCTTAAGGACCAGACTTCTGGAATAAAAGGGAATCATGACATGTCACACATGTAATGTGTCCTTAAGGGGTTAAGGAACACTATCATGGAAGAAAAAGAACGTGTGTATCCTAAATCATAGTAAAGTCGTTTTTATATCTGTTAATATGTTAGAAACTACAAATTACTTGTGTTTAGAACTTTTTTTTTACATTCTTACCTTCTTCCCCTGAATAAGAAAAATAATCCTATTTTACCTTACATTGCAAGCCATGGACTTTTCCTGATCCGAGTAAATCTGTGCAAAGCCATAAATTGAGATCCAAGTCACAGATTTTTTTTTTCCAAATTGGACTATTTGTATTAAAATGTACATTTCAGATAATTCAGTTTAGTGAATATTCCGGTGATCGTTTTATATTTCATTTTTATTATTTAACTCTTCTATGTCTTTTAAATGCAAAAAATAAAATAAAAATAGTTTTCTACTAAAAATGCCCATCAAGGCTAATTTCAAACAATGTGTCAATATTGCTTTACACATTAGTTTAGCTCAGGTTTTTTTATTTAACCAGGAATTGTTGAGAATTACCAAGGCAACTGCACATGTTAAGCTAAAATAGAAAAATAAAAAAGCTCAGTTTATTAATTATGGATTAGAGGGACACTATAGTCACCAAAACAACTTTAGGTTATCTAAACAGTTTTGGTGTATAGATCATGCTCTTGTAGTCTCACTGTTCAATTCTCTGCCATTTAGGAGTTAAATCACTTTATTTATATAGCCATAGTGCATGTGACTTGCACAGCCTCCCTAAACACTTCCTGTAAAAAGTCATCTAATGTTTATTCTTTTTTTTATTACAAATTCTGTTTAATTTAGAATTTCTTATCTCCTGCTCTGTTAATAGTTTGCTAGACCCTGCAGGAGCCTCCTGTATGCAATTAAAAGTTACATTTTCAGACCAGGAGATAAAAACTTTTAAAATAAGTTATGCCTGATTAAAATGAAACCACTTTGTTTCATGCAGACTGTGTCAGTCACAGCCAGGGGAGGTGTCACCAGAGCTGCATTAACAGAAACAAAAGTAATTTAACTCCTAAATGGCAGTGAAGATTTAGAGGCATGGCGTATACACAAAAACTGCTTCATTAAGCTAAGGTTGTGTTGGTGACTAAAGTGTCCCTTTAAGTTAGGATATTTAGCCTAAAATGTGAGATTTTCTTCTCACTGCTTTATTCTTCACAGTTTAGTGTATAAGCGTCTAATTCATTGTAGCTCAGTTTGATTACTTACTGATTACTTCCACAGAAATCTAGATACGTACATTCTCACATTCATGTAATCCACCCTGGGTAACCGATAGTATCTGGGGTATCGTTTTTTTTGAGGATGCCTGCCTTCAGACAGGAACACAGACACCTTGCTTGTAATTCCGTTTTAACCCCTTAAGGACCAAACTTCTGGAATAAAAGGGAATTATGACATGTCACGTGTCCTTAAGGGGCTAAAAAAAGTGATTTTTTTTTTATTACCCAAAGTTTGACTACAGATTGAAGAAAGAGAGGCACTAAATATGTATGCGACCATTGACAGGGCACTTATTTAAAAAAAATCCCACCTAAATCCAGCACCTCTATGCACTTTACGTCCTGGGTTATACGGCAGAGTTACAGTTACTAGTTAAAATGCAAGTTTCCTTTAAAGTGTCGGGATTTATGTATACATTTTCTATGTTTAGTAATACACTAAAGGCTTATAAAGAGTAGTTACTAACTTCTTCAAAAAAGTTACTTCTAACTTAAGAAAAAAACAACACATTGTTGCTTGTTACAAAAGACAAAGTTTGTTTTAAGAAGTGGAAAGCAGCATGTATTGGATGCACATAATTCTCTATTCTCTTAAATCTGACAATGTGAAGGGAAACATGAGTAAAAACAACCCACTATTTACTAATGCATTATATATAAATTGTCTGAATGAAAAAAAAGATTCAAATAAAGATCCTGAATCTCTACGGCTTAGAGAAGCAGATTGTAGCTTCAGGGCGACCCTTCATGCAACAGGAAATGGTTCCACGAATCTCGAGAATATCATTCCGGTCTATGGAGCCTGATTTTGTCCTGTGAACCACTGTCCAGCAGAGGTTTATGGGAGATGTAGTTTGTTCCTCAAAGGTAGTTCAACTCATTGCAAAGGATGAGTGGATGTGCTTTTTAAAGTGAGAGCAGCCATGTTGGACTTGCTGTCGGTACATACGAACGTCAGTTCACAGTTTTATGAATTCGGCCGAGTGTAGTGATAAGCAGAGCCACATGGATAACTTGGATAAAACTGACACAGGTAGCTTAGAATCTGACTGTCAGCTCTGGGGGCTATCTTACAGATACAGTTAGAAAGCATTCTAACACCTGAGAGTGGGTGTATGGTACTCTCTGCACTACAAAATGTGCAATAATGGAAAGTTATTGTGTTTACAGTAAGCTATTAAATATAAAACTATCCCCAAACTACTGCTTTTAGAGTAAAATACATTTACTTAGTAACTATGTCTCCTATAATAATGTTAAATAGCTAAGGATCTATAATAATCTTAAAGAAAATGAGGATCTCTCAACCGATCCAACAAGGCTATTGGTTTATCGTTCTGCTTAAAGCTGGTTATTAGAGAGGCTAAACAGAGTGCCACGAAATAATCTATCAGTAAAACTGGGATCATTTTATATTCTATAAACATATCATTACATCTAATCTAATATCCGCTCTGTGTGTACTATTGGTAATGTCTAACAGCAATACACCATGTATAAATACATCCATCTATTTATAAAATAAAAACATGCGCCACCTTTCCTGTTGGAAAGGAATTATATTAATCTGCTACTCGGTACTTCTATCCAATTTACCCACAATAACCCACCACACATGCTGATATCCGAAGGACTCTGTGGAACTAGAAAGCCATCTAATGGTAATAATAGCTGCCATGAATGGAGCTCTGAGAAGCCACAAAATATCATCAACTGGAACCAAATTGGTTGCAATAATGTCCTTCTCTCTTCCAGAGATGGTCGGTGTCTGTGTCCGTGTCAGGCAGCATGTTGCATAGCTGGAGGCCATGCTAGACAGTAGTACAAGTATTTCTAATCACCCAAATTACCAGCCTCACCATCCCATGTTCACTTTGTCTCCATGCAGTGATCTAAAAGCAGAGGCCCTGTCATTTTATCCCTGCAATGTAAAACACTGCGACTTTGTAGAAACATTGCAAGGTTAATTCCACCTCCAGGCCAAGTAATCACAAGCTTGGCCACACATGCCTAGTACCAATTCATTGCTTCTCTATGATAAGAAATGGATTGGAGGAGATCGCCAGTGATGTCAGCTTGGATGCTGACATCACTAGAGGTGTGACCGGAGGCTACAGTGGAGGAATCCCAGAGCTGGTAACAGGGCATGTAATCATTAGTTAACTTTATTTTTTTAATGCCGAAGGGGGTGGACAATAGGGTGTGGACAGAAGGGAACCTATAGTCCCAAAATAACTATTATAATTTTTAGGACTAGAAGTTCCCTTTAAAGACAATCTGTCTCACACAAGCTACAAATAGATTGTTCATTTTCTTTTGTCAGTCACATTGTGTATGACAAGAGAAGATATAACAGGGAATATTTATCAAGGAGTTCTGAAAAATGGAGTAAATATGTAAAGGGGAGGAGTCACTTATGGAACGTACCTGCTGCTTTTACTGGTTTCCATGGTGAATTCCCAACTTTTAGTACTTTGCTCCATTTTTCAGATTAAGACTTTCTGATTAATCTCCCCGTTGCGTTTTATGCACAAGACAGAATAAAACCATCATAAAAACTACCAAATGATTATATAAATGAAACAATTATTCTAAATGTTAACATGCATATTATTTAAACGCTTTGTTTCCTATTACACGGGGACAACTTGCATTTTACCTGTAAGTGTCTTTCAGTTTCCACGTTACGTTATTCACTATAATCTGAATTCTGCACACGTGTCCAGCTCTCCTATTTTATCTTTGGTTTTGTGAATTGGCTGTTGAATTGGCTCTTTTTTCAGTTTAACGAATAAGCCAGTTATATACACAATTCCTCAATACACAAGCAAGCTTTATCCCCAATAAATAAAAAACAAGACAAAACCCTCATCTGCTTTTATATACACCAAGGAGACTACTGAGTGTTCGCACCTGGCCCCCCTAGCAGGTAAGTCTCATATACCATGGCAGTTCATTTATCTAATCCCAATCTTGGCATGCACAGCACCACCAATGTATTATGTTTATATATTATTCACAATACACAATACACTTATTAAAATGTATCCCTACCCTCACCCCCAGATTCGGAGTTGTTCTCTAAAATGTGAATTATGGAAAATTGCCAAGGAGATTGCAAATTATAGGTTTGTTCCACAAACCGTCTATATTTCTAGCTATTCTACATGGCTTATAATTTGCAATTCATTTCTCAATTTTCCATGTTCCCTGGTGAATAACCCAACTGGGTCCCTTCTCACATTTACTGCTAACATAACGTGAGGACTATTTAGCCCTAGAACTTCTTTCTGAAGGCTCAGTCTGAATGGTAATTGGAAGTTAAAATATAATTGTATTATGTTAACGTTGAAAACACAGCAGATCTTACTTTTTATGTTTCATCAATTAAATTATTTTGTTTTAGATTGCTGTCGGTGTTACAGGTCTAATAACGCAAAATGTTTGAGAATGAAGATTGTGTTTTATGTAAAGTAATATAACCCAAACTGAACCTTGAATCGTCCTTCTATAGCAGTATGGTCTGTAACACATTAACACTTAGAGGGTTTTTTAGTATAGCGAGAATTCAAAATGAATCTAAATCAGCACTTCTTTCAGTTTAACTACATTGTCCCAAAATGTGAAAAACCGTGTGAATTCAATAACACTGGTATTGGAGACTTGGTTTCAAACCCAAATTATCATATTTGAAGCTCCCTCCACCCTCCCAGACACAAGACAGCAGGATAATTACAGACACAAAGAGACGTGACTTCATTTACTTCACAGAAACACATTGAATTGTGGGAAAGTTATTTTGGATTTTTTCTTAAACTTCATATTTTTGCATTTCTCTTTTTTTTTACGCCAGACGCACAAGAAAACAAAACAAAAAAAAAATAAAAAAAATGATAACAAATAATGACCACACATTTTTTTTAAACCGAGAATTCAGATTTTTTTTCTTCTCTTTTTTTTTTTTCACGGTTTCTGCTGTAATTTTTTTTTCACATTTTTAAACATGCAAGCAGTTTTTTTTCATTATTTTTTTCATTTTTTGTTATTTTTCAACCTTAAAACAACTTTTTTTATTTTTTTGCAATTCACATTTTTTTTTTCAACTGAGACGGTATTAAACATCAAAAAATTCTCAGACGGAAGGAAGGAAGAGGGGGTCGCAGGAGGGTGGGGAGAGGAAGCGAGAGAATTCAAACCCCCTTTAGCTGTTGTAGGCCCCTCTGGTAGGAAAGGATTAACATGGTGGTTGGGGGAAGAGACAGAAGGTTTAGTCACATGACAAGCCCTCTTTAGCAACCAAGACGTTAAACAGAACACATTATATTAAAGCAGAGTTTTACACCGTTTTTGATCGTCTCGGAAGGTCTCTACTAACGATCGCCCAGCCGTCAGTCAATGACGATGCCAATATTTTAACATACATCCTAAACTAAGCACCTTTATCTGCTGGAGACATTAAACTCCAAGCTAAAGGGATATAGAGTTAGCTTTGCTGATTATGTGAGATTTGAAGTTTAGAAGCTTCCCTCGTTTATATGCTAGTGAGGGGACCTATGGATTAAACACAGGCCTTATAATCATAAGCTGCAATACTCAGCAGTGGCTGTTTTTCGTACGTAGGGAACATAGCAGTGAGTTGTGGTGACTTCAAAAATTGTTCGTAATATTCAGGTGACAATATCAATGCTGAGAAAAAAGATGAGTTAAGAACTTTCCAAACCCAGTTATTTTAACCTAAATTCTGCAACTCATTTTGTCAACTAGCAGCTTCAATACACTCCGTAAAACACCATGCAGTATCCATAAAGGGAGACATCAGTTATCTCCCTATTCAGTGTTCCTGGGATATTGGTATATCACCTTTATATCACTCAGCCAGCACTATATCAGATGACAATTGCCAATGTTTTAGACCAATGCAAGTAGATAGAACATTTCTGTATTTTCTACGTAGATGAGACTGGTGTCATTATATTGATATCATTTAAAATAGTTGATGTTTTAAGTGCTGGGTTTGTCATGGGGGAAGCAATTAACGTTGCACTCTTCATTTCCGGTTGTGTCTTACAGCTGTCACCTACGCAGGGAGCACTTAACAAACTGAAAACTACTTCCCCATGTATACTGAAAAACATCAAATATTTTACATTGTATTCGAGCTGAATTTTAACAAAAACTCTTACAAACAGGAATAGGTTTTAGCCGTAAAGTCCCCTTAATCTCAGCCTCTGCTTAACACTGGATACCGATGGTCATTAGAGGTACAATATATTCCACCCCTCCTTTTTGTCTTATTTTTTGCCCCGTCCCAAACTCTGTCGCTCCCCCTCAACATAATCCCTCCTTGGAATGCATTTTCATGTAATTATCCTCACGACCAGATATTCTCATTAAATTAAACAAACATGCAAATTTCAAGGCCGCTAACGGAGAAAAAACATTTACAGCAAATCCAAAGACAAAAATAAAGCCAAGAGACACCCAAATTTCCAAGTGCACAACACACACAGTGGGACCAGGGACATTCAAACAATATGGCTGCTGAGGGCGGCCATTTTGAAACACCCCATTTCCTTATGGCCTCTTTGCAGCTGGGTTATTGCGCTCCCAACATTATTATATACAACTAGGACAAGAAGAGACGCCTATGATTTCTCAAATGATGTCTCTATCTATTTTGTTAAGAAATTCCCTAGCAAAATGGAGCGTAAACTTAGGAACATATTCTGCTGTGAAGCCATATTTACAGGAAGGTAGGGGGAAAACAGAACAGGTTCTAGGTCAAGCTAGGCTACTTAGTCTTTATAAACTCATTTTATTATACCAGTAAAAAAATAAATAAAATTCCCAATGACCCATTGGACACCAGACTGTAAATTCCTTCGGGCCATATTTTTTTTCTCTCAGCAGAATTTGTTTTTGACACGACTAAATATCTCACACAATTTTCTTCCCTCAAAGCCAGTCATTTTCTATTTTTTTTATTGTGATATATGTAATCATTTGTAACAATAAATTCGAATAAATTCTTAAAGCTAAAGGCGAGACAAGCCACTTTTCAAATCTGTGTATCCATAGTGGAGTTAAGTAATGAAAACTGCATAGATACATTGGATGTTCTCCATGTCTAATAAGGCAGCCATTTTGTTTTATGACATCATCTATATATTTGTTGCTGACGTCACTCACCAGAAATAACTACATCTTGCCTACCAAAGGAAACATATTTGATTGCAAGTGACATGCCCACTGGTATACACAATATTTTCAGTCTTTAAATTGTTCACAAAGGACTAGTTCAAAATGGCCGCCCTTGATAGAAATCTTTTCCAGGTTTGTTGCTTCCTGCATGCATGTGAACAGCTACCCAACCCTTTCCCCTCTCCCCCAGGTGAAAGTGGAAAATGTTTACTTTGCAGGACAAAAGAGACTAGAAATATCCACAGAGACAGCTCATATTCATGCAAAAGGTGACAGAGAGACGGACAGACAGAAGCGGGGGAGAGAGGTCGAGGGGCCAGTGTGCGCTGAGAACAATTTCTTCTTTTACTGCATAATATAAAATTTCCACTATTGGCAGGAAATGATGATGATATAAGCGTCATTAAGCCACACATACACACACTCTCACTAATACACAGCATCCTGTACTAATCACAGCCTCCCCACACACACAGCATCCTGTACTAATCACAGCCTCCCCACACACACAGCATCCTGTACTAATCACAGCCTCCACACACACACAGCATCCTGTACTAATCACAGCCTCCACACACACACAGCATCCTGTACTAATCACAGCCTCCACACACACACAGCATCCTGTACTAATTACAGCCTCCACACACACACAGCATCCTGTACTAATCACAGCCTCCATACACACACACACAGCATCCTGTACTAATCACAGCCTCCCCACACACACAGCATCCTGTACTAATCACAGCCTCCACACACACACAGCATCCTGTACTAATCACAGCCTCCACACACACACAGCATCCTGTACTAATCACAGCCTCCACACACACACAGCATCCTGTACTAATTACAGCCTCCACACACACACAGCATCCTGTACTAATCACAGCCTCCACACACACACAGCATCCTGTACTAATCACAGCCTCAACACACACACAGCATCCTGTACTAATCACAGCCTCCACACACACACAGCATCCTGTACTAATCACAGCCTCCCACACACACAGCATCCTGTACTAATCACAGCCTCCATACACACACACACAGCATCCTGTACTAATCACAGCCTCCATACACACACACACAGCATCCTGTACTAGTCACAGCCTCTATACACACACACACACAGCATCCTGTACTAGTCACAGCTTCCACCACACACACACACACACACACACACACACACACACACACACACAGCATCCTGTACTAATCACAGCCTATATACACACACACAGCATCCTGTACTAATCACAGCATCCATACACACACACACAGCATCCATACAGCATCTTGTGCTAATCTCAGCACACTGTGCTAATCCGAGTCACTACACATAACATCCTGTACTAATCACAGCCTCTACACACACAACATCCTGTAGTAATCACAGCCTCCACACAGCATCCTGTGCTAATCACAGCCACTACACACAGCATCCAGTGCTAATCACAGCCCCTCCAAACAATATCCTTTACCGATCATAGCCTTCACGCACACAGCATCCTGTACTGATCACAGCGTCTACACATGCAGCTACATGTTCCTCTCTGCACAGAATCCTATTGAAATACCTAACACACACTCAATCCATTTGGTAAACCTAGTCACCACTTAACACTCAGGTAAGAAAAAACAAAACTAATGTTGTTTTACACCCCCTCACACCCTGACCATTGTTCCATGATCAACATCCATCATGATTTCACAGGCAGAACAGCTTGAGGTCCGAGTGCATTATTGCTGTAGGATGAGACACAGGCTCTAACATGAGATAAAATATATCAAAATACATGGAGACTAGCGGAGCAGGGGAGACAGACGCTCTGAACGGTATGGATTTTCTGCAGATTGCCTTGTAGCAATGCAGTTATTTACGCTAGTATTTATTTTGTGCAACACGGTATGTCAGAAACAAAAAATATTATGAGAAAGTGAGCTGGTGCAAAATGTAAAAGGGACAGATATGGAAGTGGTCAGAGGGGCAGGGACAAGGAGATGGGGAGACCTTTGGTTTATATTAATTTATATTTAACTCATAAACTAATATATAACAAGATGCCTGTGAGGATGAGGGAGAGACCTCCATCTATGGGGAGAGTGAAGGCAACAGAGGCACAGACTAAAAAATGTATAAAATTAACCAGAAAGTGCCAACTAGTGGGTGAGCAAGCCAAGCAGAGATACCTGGATAAGGAGATATAGGGAGTATTATATGGAGTAACAGCAGGAGTTACAGGGTGTGTTATATGGAGTACTTATAGGAAGTGTTATATGGAGTAAAAGACGGGGTTATAGGGAGGGTTATATGGAGTAATAGTATGAATTACAGAGAGGGTTAGATAGTGTATAGGAGGAGTTATAGGAAAGGACATAAAAGAAGTGTTATAAAAATAATTTTAAAGATCGATAAGTCCTTATTAGGAGTATTCTATGAAGCATAGGGATTAGAGATATTATTTTTGATTATGATATGAAGCCTATTATATGAAGTAAATGAAAACATACTAATCTTGTTGGAAATATTAGTAACACACCAGTGAACATCTGTCCACAAAATAAAAGCCGAAAAAATGAAAAGCTTGGTATCGTCCATTCCCTGCCCCATCTTACCACAGCGCGTTATACGAGAGACGGGATAACAAGCGAGCAGCGATTTTCCATTCAGCCGAAGGCGGACAGCCCCGGACACACAAATAACTGAGGCACACACACCCACTCCCCCCAACACCACCCGACCAAGAAAACAGAGGAATTAACGTTAAAAACGCGCACACAAGACTTTGGCAGGAACAGAAACACATTCAGCCACCAGTCAAGAAAAAGGACAAATTAAAGCACTGGCAGAGACCCTCTGCCAATGCCGCCAGTTTGTGGGGTTCCAGGGAACATGTCCAGCAACGTCAAATACATTTTGATTTTTTTTTTCTTTTAAAACCTTGACAGACGGGAAAACAGGTTAAGAAACGTAAAAACAGACACAGAGATAATAAAACAAATATTTGGGAATTCTCAACCCTTTTCGCCCCCAGGAGATGTGGGTGATCGATGAAGCTTTGGCTTTAGGTTCACGTCAGTTAACACTATAGCGGCCAGTGCGGTGGAAAGGGAAACCCACTCCTTAAAGGCAAAAGAGCCCCCCGTTGGCTTAAATTAGCTGATGGTAACCTAACTCCTGAGTGAAACCCACAGAGGCGAAAATGGGGTAATGCGCTCATAGCCACAGGGGCTGTGCGTCAAATTCCAATACTTGTCATTTACATAATAATATTTCTTTTTTTTTTCTTTTTATAATTGACTATTTTCTTTCTCTTCCTTTTTTTTTTTTAAATCGCCATTGTGCATTTCTTTATTTCAGAGTCCCAGTGTCCCTCCGATAGAGGAAGCCAGAACAACCCCCAGTACAACACAACAGATTATAATCATAATCTTCTTCTACATACCCAGAAGGCATCGGAAGCAAAGGGAGCAGAGGAGACGCACCAGAGGAAATGGTGAGTCAGGATAAAGGGGTTAAAAAGGAGAGAGAAAAAGAGACAGGGAGAAGAGTTAGATTGAGAAATGGTGCTAAGGGACAGCAATATACAGGAACACACACCTGTCTGTCTATGGATCTGATGACATCTAGCTATCCGGAGAGCCTGATATTTCATTGTGTTCACAGGTCTAATGCTTCAGAAGGACAAACTATTTTTTGAAAAATCTTTATACTTTTATGGGAACACAGCTAAGGCAGAATAGTTTTTCAAGCAATTTCAATCTTTACGATTAAGTGCGCAGGAGGCACTGAATACACAAATAAAGAGCTATACAACTCTACAAGTCATTAAAAAATCCTATAGGAGTAATGAATCTCCTGAGAATCTAATATGATGGTAATAGTGACAGGGGCTGGGTGGAGAAGAGAACAGGAGCTCGGTGGAGGAGGGAAGGACATGGGCTTGGTGGAGGAAAGAACAGGGGCTGGGTGGAGGAAAGAACAGGGGCTGGGTGGAGGGGAGAACAGGGGCTGGGTGGAGGAGAGAAGGACAGGGGCTGGGTGGAGGAGAAAAGGACAGGGGCTGGGTGGAAGGAGAGAACAGGGACTGGGTGGAAGGAACAGGGACTGGGTGGAAGAAAGAAGGACAGGGGCTAGGTGGAGGGGAGAACAGGGGCTGGGTGGAGGAGAGAAAGACAGAGGCTGGGTGGAGGAGAGAAGGACAGGGGCTGGGTGGAGGAGAGAAAGAACAGGGCTGGGTGGAGGAGAGAACAGGAGCTAGGTGGAGGAGAGAACAGGAGCTGGGTGGAGGAGAGAAGGACAGGGGCTGGGTGGAGGAGAGAAGGACAGAGGTTGAATGGAGGAGAGAAGGACAGGGACTGGGTGGAGGAAAGAATGATTAGGGCTGGGTGGAGGAGAGAGGACAGGGGCTGAGGTGGAGGAGAACGGATAGGGGCTGGGTGGAGGAGAGAACAGGAGCAGGGTGGAGGAGAGAAGGACAGGGGCTGGGTGGAGGAGAGAACAGGAGCTGGGTGGAGGAGAGAATAGGAGCTCGGTGGAGGAGGGAAGGACATGGGCTTGGTGGAGGAAAGAACAGGGGCTGGGTGGAGGAGAGAAGGAAAGGGGCTGGGTGGAAGGAGAGAACAGGGACTGGGTGGAAGAAAGAAGGACAGGGGCTAGGTGGAGGGGAGAACAGGGGCTGGGTGGAGGAGAGAAAGACAGGGGCTGGGTGGAGGAGAGAAGGACAGGGGCTGGGTGGAGGAGAGAAAGGACGGGGCTGGGTGGAGGAGAGAACAGGAGCTGGGTGGAAGAGAGAACAGGAGCTGGGTGGAGGAGAGAAGGATAGAGGCTGGGTGGAGGAGAGAACAGGAGCTGGGTGGAGGAGAGAAGGACAGGGGCTGGGTGGAGGAGAGAAGGACAGAGGTTTAGTGGAGGAGAGAAGGACAGGGACTGGGTGGAGGAAAGAAAGATAGGGGCTGGGTGGAGGAGAGAGGACAGGGGCTGAGGTGGAGGAGAGAAGGACAGGGGCTGGGTGGAGGGGAAAACAGGAGCTGAGTGGAGGAGAGAAGGACAGGGGCTGGGTGGAAGAGAGAACGGAAGCTGGGTGGAGGAGAGAAGGGCAAAGGCTGAGTGGAGGGGAGGACATGGACTGGATAGAGGAGAAAGGACAGTTGCTAGATAGTGGAGAAAAGGACAGGGTCTAGATGAAGGAAAGAGTGGATGGAGGAGAGAAGGACAGGGTCTGGGTGAAGGTTAGAAAGACGGGCTGGATGGAGGAGAGAGAAAAAAAGGGACTAGATGGAGGATTGAAGGACATGGGCTGGGTGGAGGACAGAAGGACAGGGGCTGGATGGAGGACTAGAAGGACACACAAAATGGATGAGAGGAAAAGAAGGACAGGGGCAGAGTGGAGGAGAGAGAAAAACAGATGATTGAAAGTGTCACCCTTCATATTTTTGGAGTGTTGTTTTTCACCTGATCCATGTAGATTAACAAATGGCTCTCTGTAAATGTGTTCAGCTATTACTATGTCTCCCTGTCATGACTAACTGTACAGTTGAATCTTATTGCATTCACTCTTGCTATCTGACAGTAACACACTGCCTGTCTCTTAATGTACGTGCTGTGTCTGTATGTATGGCACATCTCTTGGTGCCTGACTGACATACATCTCTCTGTATCCATCTCTCTCTCCACAGTTCATTTGTCCAAATGCTTGCAGTATAGCTACCTATCTAGATTATGTCTGAGTACTCACCCTCCTTGCTTTGCTCTGATATTTAACAGCTTTCTTGGTATCAGACACCGCTCTCTCCACGTAATCCACGGAGTGTTCAACGTTATACTCAATGCGGTCTATCATCTCTCCCTACATGTGAGTAAGAAGCACAGATGGGTCATGTCAGAGACACTAGGTCACCATCCCGCCGTGTTCCTTCAGTACAGAATCTGTCTCTCACCTGGCTCTCCACCAGCATGGCCATATCTACAAACATGTCATGCAGCTCGCGGATACTGGTCTCCAACTTAATG